CGTTATATAACGTGTGTGTGAAGAATAAAATGCTAACGAAATCAAATGTATAATAAGTACCTATTCCATCTGTTTTAACTTTGTCCTTTAAGTCTTTGGCATTTAAAACCCTCAGCTTAGTAGTAGAGTCGTCTTTGACGACACCTTTTTAATTTATCCCCAACACTTACTTATCATTTTAATTAAAAAATAACTAATATAATTATGTGCTAATATTTAAGAAGATGCGAACGAGAACAAAACATGTTCCAGTCAGTTTCTAGAAAAACATTATCTGATTGATAACGATTTCTCTAAAGCCTATGGCACGGTAATACTATCATACAGTATTGTAACTTCATATAAACGAACGGAACGCGAGCTTTCCTTCGAAATTCAAATCTCGGTATGCGCTCGGTATGCAAAAGTCGGGGGTGTCGCGAATGTGCCACAGAAATAAACGGACGATGTATTGTTTTTTAAACAGTTGGTGCTTTTTTATAAAAATAATTACAAGTATACCTATTTATACAGGGTGTTAGGTAAATGGTTTTATAAGCCGACACTCGCCCATGTTAACATATGCATGTAAATGGTATGGTGAAGTCAGTGATATTATCTTTTTTTTAAATTTTCTATATAAAATCAGATTTGTATGAAAATTAAATTATTAAAATGATGGACTTCACCATACCATTTATATGCACATGACATTAACATGGCCTAGTGTCCGATTATAAACCCATTTACATCCCATTACATCTTAACACAAATATTTTTTCTATTAAATCTACTAATCACAAAACAATTATGCATTTTATCCTATTTTATTCACAAAGTAGGTATTTTGTTTGTCAAAATAAAATAAAAATACAATCACAAAATACATTCACAAAACTAGATAGAAATTCTAAGTTGGCAGATGTAATGAAAAAAGGGTCTGCAGGTGGGCAGCCCTATAGCATGTTGTCATACAGTGACGTACCGCGCGTCTGTTGACATTTATTTCAAAAATATGGCCGAGTTGGAATACTGTATAGATAGTATTACCGTGCCTATGGCTTACGATTCCTCTAAAGTAAAGTAAGTTTTCATCTCATCTCGTAAACAAAACAGGACAAAAGCTGGTTCAAACAAAGTACATAAATATGCTGCATCAAATTAACGAGAATATTAAATATTTCACCTACGTTTAGTCTGAAACATACACATTTCCTAATTTATTCATTATTAATATATTATATTTTTAATTAACAATGATTACAAACTCTATGAGCCGACACATTTTTATCTACAATTTATAATTTAGATAATAATTACTATTTTATGCTAACAGAAAGATATCAATGTGATATTAATGATCGAGTATTTTTTTAAATGTTAAATAATATTACCAAAAACTGCTAACACAAAATTCAAAATGCAAAAAAATAAACAAAGGCATACTGTGCATAATACTGTCAATTAAGTTCCAAAAGTTTCCGAATTGGCACAGTATTTAAACGATATTATTATTTTAATAATATTTTTTACCTATTTGTTTAATATAATCATAAGAACATCAAAAAATACGTAGCCTATGGGAATTAAAAATATTACGTGGAATACATGGATTTTGAAATCTGGCGTAAAAGTTAAACAATCACAATATTTTCCATAACATTAATAGTGTAAAAAATACAATACTAAGTGTTAAAATTGATCATAAAATATCATCTAAGAGTAATACTTGTGATAGTAAAGAATTTCGGAAAAAATGGATTACATGATTAATTAAACAATTAATCATTCTTCAAAGGTATATGTATACCAAAACAGTAATAGCAAACGAGAAAAAACATTGCTTAATGTTGTAAACATTTAACACATACTTAAAGCAAGTGTACTTTACATTTTGTAGGTAAAACAACGCAATGGTATCATAATGAGAATCGAGAAACCTATATTAATTATCTTGGACCCGGGAGACTTGACTTGGTCAAAATTTTGGTAATTGATGGTAAAGTTACAAAAAAATATTTAGGATTCGAGTTTACTTATTTAATTTATCAGCATAAAATGCAAAACATTTATTCAATTTAAATTGTAGTGTTGCAGACATCAAAATTGTAATTAGATAAATCGTATACTTGAATATTATATTGTTATTATAATAGTTATTAGTATGCACTAAAACTACACTATATTTGGCTACTTTTTATTTGGCTGAAATAAAAATACCCGTGAATTGGTTAATAACTCGAAAGAGGAAATAAGTTATTGTTAATAGGATTTGAAAAATCATACAAAAAGCATACTTTGAATAATTTTGTAATCTCGCAGGAGATTCATAAATTATAATTACTTACGCAAAGCTACATGGAGGGGTGGGGACTGGTATACGAGTTCTAAATTATAGAAAATACGAACCATATTAATATCGCCAATATTCGCTTTACCGCGAACTATATGACACACGTCATGGTAATACTGGCTGTGTGTTACTGTAAAATTAATGTGTGGTTTTTTGTCTTACGAATACAACAACGGTTACGCCGGTGTTATATGTATAATTTTTTGTTGGCATACAAAATAAACAGATCGTTAAATTTATTTGTTGCCGAGCTACACCGATACCATTTAAGCGAATGCTTCAAATATAGGTAGCTTAATGTTTCTGATAATTATATTGACAGGGCTCATTGGTGAACTTTCTCTGAAAATATATACAATTAATATCATAATACATATTATATTTACTACATTAGGGAATATTTTAATCTTACTTACGATTATTAAACAAAGTCGTAACATAAGTAATACTTACCTAACATTGAGATTGTATCTATGGCGGGATCAGCGCGTCTAATGATGTATAATCATCTAAACTACTTTTAAAAATAAAAGTATTGTTTCAGATACGTATTCTTCAACTAAGCGTGCATATCTATCTAAAAATAATAAAATAAAACCTACAGTTGGTCACTCATATTATTTAATCAGCAAGATTAAATATCGAATCAACAATTCATGAAAAATAACACCAAAACAATGAAGACGCAAAAAAATGATCGAACTACGAAAATCTAATCTCATATTGCGAAAAATTTTGAATTTATAATCTTAAGACGCAAATAAGGTTGTACTTCATTAAAATCAGGTATAACTCTATTTTAGTAACTAACATCAATTTGTTTTTGGATTTTTTGTATTTTTTGTCGTCCTTTATACTGAGTATAATGCTAAATTTTACGTAGTAATTTAAATTTTAATCGTGCTCTCATTTGACTATGCAACTTTTAAGATTAACTTAAAATATCTTAAAAAGATTCCAACATTGATGAACAATACAATATTATGTGGCTTAATCTATGCTAACGGTTGGTAACTATAACACCTAGGTAATAATAAAATTATTAAGAACTAGAGTACCTATTTCACCCACTGGTAAGTGAAATTGATCTTTATTCAATTACTTTATGGTGTTGTCAGCTTTTCTTTAATCTCTGTCAGATAGTTTAATGTTTCAATTATAAGAAATTGATCTCATCGAACGTATGCGTCAAAACCATTTCGTAGGTCACGGGACTAGATGGAATGGACCTAAGAAATGTATAAATGTCTGCTGTTCTAATTTGATCTTATAACTGACACTAAATCATAATCCGACATCGACTAAAGAAAGAAAGACCAAGTTATATCGTCATCGTAAACTTAAAGAGGGTGCATAATTACAAATGAAATAAGGGTATTTCGCCGAAACAGTAAATTTTCTGTGTCCAGGCAGGCGAACACATGTTTTTTTATATCTATCTGTATAAAACTATTTTTATGGGAAAGTTCATCAAAAGTTTTATTTGTTTTTGCTATTACAATAGCAGAAACTACAAATAATACCGTAGAAAAACTTAATCAAAAGTCGTTTTTCTAATTTCCTTGTTATGTCCATTACTGTTGTTTGCCAAAATGAAGGCTCATTATAACAAATTGAAGCGTAATTTAATTCTAATAGCACTCTCTTTACATTTGAGAAACGTTTGGCTATCGGAAAATAAAAACTTTAAATGTCAAATACTTATAGGAAGAAAATAAAGTGAAGTTAAGTTCTTGTCCAGGTCAAAAGTATAATTTCCCTGGGTCTTCGTTTCGACCATTGTTGTAACGAAACGAAAAAACTTAGAATGTAATGCACTGCACCACCTCACTCGGCCATTTCGTCCTAAGAGGCCATTGAGGCAGGACAGTACGTCGTTGATCAGTTTCGCGACAAATCGCATAAATAGGTCCCTCCTTGGGTTTTTGTTTACTAAAAAGTCAATTTCTTTGGACGGTTTTTTGCAACTAAACAATGGATTAATTTTATTGTTTATTTACACAAATGTAGTGTCTGTAGGGGTAAACCCATGATTTAAATAGTAAATGCATAGGGTAAATAGGTTTTTCTCTGTGGTGTCTTTTAGGCATAAATCTAATTTCTTTGGTCCTAATTTCCTTGTTTTCCGTGGCATAAAATGACCTAGGAAATTATAAAAGACCATTAATAATTCGGCGTAAAGTCAAATTTTGAGTATTTCTTCATTGGAATAAGTTTAAAATTTACATTTTAAGAAATAGGTATGAGAATAGATATAGAAAAACTTGGTTTTAACTTTTAACTCAATCTACTGCATTTATCTTCCTTAGTTGTGTAAAAATGTCGTAATGATATAATATTCATTGGCATGTTTGCTTGTGAAAGTACACAAAAATAGGTCGAACAAAAAAAAAGCAAACTCCAGAAGAAAACTTAGAGAAAAAAATATTTATAATAATTTCCTTGGCTACCAAAAATTTATGACCTCATAACTTTGTTTCTAAAAGGAATTATGACACCCCTTCTAGATATATTAGCTTAGTTTTTACTACTTAATGCAATGGGAAACTAAAAATAGTTAAAAACAAAAATAAAATTCGTGCCAAGGAAATTAGGCAAAATTGACCATTTTTGGCGAAATACCCATAAAATCATAAATAAACTGAAAATTTTTCATACGACTGTTCGAATCTCGAAGTAATTATTACAATAGAACAAAACGGGGTGAAAAATTTTGACGTATTTTTGCTTGCCGAGCGTGCCTTAGAGACACAATTTTTAATCCTAATGAAACAATTGTTTCTCCTACAAAAACGAAGGGATGTAATGAAAAAATACAAACATCGCAAGGGTGTGGTTAGTGAAAGGTACGCAGTTTAACTAGCTCTTGTGGAGAATGTTCAAATTGTTGCTAATCATTTGACAGCAGTGGCTAAGATGATGGTTGGTATTTGGATCAGTGTTATATTACTAATAGCTATTATAAGCTCTACGAAAATTGATAAAATATTATTGATAATTAACCTAATTTTAAATCTTAATGATATTATTTATGTGGTTAAGATTAATTCCTAAATTAAAATGTCAAGTCAGAGTGATTGTCCTATTTGGTTTAGCCGGCTAAAAGAAATTTTAATGTAATTCATTCACCGCATCCGATTAAATACAATCTCATCTACTTACCTTATTATACGCTTTCATTTCTCTAAGCACCCAATTGACAATGTCATCGGGACTGTCAACCCGCGGTATCACAACCTTTAATCTATCCATTCATACTTTAGAACTAATATCAGTAAATTCGTATGTGTATAATCCGAGAAAACTACGTCAGATTCATGAAAAGGCAAAGTCTGGTGAAGCTCAATCTCTCAAAAAGTCAATCGGTGGGCAGATCCAGATGAAAGGTTAACAACCCGTCGGACGAGTCAGCAGTCGAACATTGCCGCTGTCTCTTGTGTCATTTCCAGGAGAAAAAATGTCAAATCCAGTGTTATTTGAAAACGCATTTCCGAAGTATCCACATTGCAGAACAATGAATCTGCAAAAATTATACATATTATTCCGTCAATCTTAGATCTATCTGTTTAGTAAAGTAGAAAAAAGAACAATTCATGACGTAATGATAGACGCAATGTTTGGATGCCGATACTTAAGACATGCATTTTGAGTCGGTCGAGATAATAGCGAAGTTGGGATCTCGACATCGGGTAAAGATGTTGACTTAGTTAATAAACGTCTCATCGAGTGAGGCGGGGTTCTCAGCATCGTAAACGACGTTCATTGGGTTGGCGATGATGTTGACAGAGGCGACGTCGTTTCGCGGTTGCTTCCTCCTGAAAAGGAAGTCGGCAAGGCTGGCAGCGCGGCGCGGGGCGCGGCCCTCTAGAAGCTCCTCGATCTCACCGCTGCTGTGGGACTCAACGACAGTGCGCTTGACATTCCTGAGAGAGGAGTTCCTGTCTGTTCGGTCGAAGTTGCTGGAATACGCGCGGGAGTTGATCATCGAGATGATGGTGGCCAGGTTGGGCTCGTCGGCCAGGGACTGCGGGCGCTCCAGGCGCTTCAGCGCGCGAGCGTGAACCTCGCTGGGGAGGCTCTCGCGCGACGCCGATCCATTGTGCATACGTGGGCTCATTGAGCCGTTTTGGTTCTCTGTATCGACAAAAAATATTTTAATCCATTTTATACTAAAGATAAAAATAATTTGTAGATTACTATTAGTAGTAAGTAGAGATACAAGCCAAGAGCTTCCTCGTTGTGGATAAAAAAAAAAAAAAGAAAAAAAAAAGTATTTTGTGAATAAGTCAGTTGTCTTAAAATTATATTCTTTGACATGACATAGATGTTATGTAGTATGAAAATGAGAGATAATTATCTAATTACCTCGTGGAATGGACGCTCGCGGTGACGGACCGTCTTCATCGGTGCATCCCTCCGACAGCGTCTCCAGTGGGTGGTGGTCGGGGCGACCGCCACCGCCCCCTCCGCTTCCACTCTGTCCAGATGTCGATGGTGTGGGGTTCTGGAATGGGAAATTAAGAAGAGTCAGAAAATTAGTCTAGTCAATATCCAAAAGCATTTATTCTTTGATCTGTTTTCACAAATTAAATCAATTAAGTAAAAATAAATACTTACGCTGTAAATATCCATGCATCCAGGGGGGACGGTCTCACCAACTCCCTCCAGGAAGTAGGTAACCATGTTGCCCTTGCCCTTGACGTCAACCGTGCCTCTGCATCGCAGTTTGTAGCCACGGCTCGCCAAGATTTCATACACCTCTTGAGTCACCTAAATATCGCATAGCAATATAAACAACAACATCATTGAGCTTGTACACGGATTCTATCACATAGCAATGAGTGACAAAAATGATTCCAGAACAAGGTTATTACTTCGCCGTGGCAAAACGTTCCAATTACATAAGTGTATAATGGTTTTATATCGTTGATTGTATTGTGGTACCACAATCGCACAGCATTGAAGCTGGAGCCATGTTTTTTAGGCAATCCAGATATACCTAGATGACATTGTCACCACCAAGAAAGATTTCTGTAAAAGTATGAATCTTTTGTCAGCCACTTTTATCTTGGATTACTCGACAAATATTGTTGAGTCCATTAATCACCTGGATGTGGTCCAGTACGCCAGTAGAGTCCATTCGCGACGCAACGTTGACCGCGTTGCCCCAGATGTCATACTGTGGCTTGCGAGCGCCAATCACGCCCGCTACCACCGGGCCGATGTTAATGCCTGATCAAAACGTTATTTACATATCCAGCGTGTATGTTAGACAAAGGTATCATTATTAGTATAACGCTAGCTTATTTTGATAAACTAATTCGCAATTCGCATAGCATTGACCAAATACTCAACGTTAATTTTCTTATTTTATTCTTCAGTCCAGTTTCAAAATTCGTGTCTGTAAATTGACACATTATTAACAGACAAAGAAAACGAATTTTAAGAAACCACATTCTATATTATGAAAAATCTCGAAAATGACAGCATTTCAAACTTGTAAGAAACTGGACTAATGGAAGGCTTTAAGTTTAATACACAGAGTGTAAGCTTTTATCTGATGATTACAATATGCATTTGGTTAAGTATGTTTGAAGGTTTCAGTCCAAAAATTTACACTCAGGGTTTAAGCATGATATTTTCGAACAACTCACCGATCCTGATATGGAAGCTGTTAAACGAGTGCTCGTTGACATACTGAAGCTGCTCACGAAGTCGGAGAGCGTAGTCAGCCATCGCGGTCACGTGGCGGTAGCCGCGGAGATCGCTGGTCGAAACCGTCAGGCCTAATGTAGAAAATAGTTTTAAGACCATCATCATCCCTTTATCTAGCAATGGTTGAATGAGACTATGTTACAATGTCAAAAGAATCTACATTAAAAAAAAATGAGAATTTTAGTTTTTAATGTTACTTTCCTAAGAATGGATCGATATGTACACTAGTCGGGTACCAAAATAGTTTGTAAAATTTTCTATATTTTTTATTTTAAAACTTACCAGATGCAGCCATATACGTAGCGCCAGTGCTCTTGATCTTCTCGATGTATCTGAACTGCTCCTCGGCGAGAATCTCGTCGAAGTCGGCGATGATTTCATTGAGGAGACGGAGGCACTCCACTCCCTCATTATTGCCCTCCAGTTCCACGTAGAATTCGGAGAAGTTCGGGATCGAGGCGAACATAACGCAAACCGATTCGCATTGCTCGTGGTACAGCTCCTGCTTAAGTAACGGAATTAATATGGCTAACGACATACCGAGAATTATTTCTGATGAAAATAGGTCAGTAAAAAAGAGAGAGGTAAAGGACCAAAAAGTAGATGCAGTATGTCCAAAATACTTGGCAATATGTATAATAGTTTTAAAATGAAATGTTATCAGGAGGAGAGTAAAAATATCAAAAAAGATAGTCTGGGAATGAATAAAAAGAATACCATCCAATACTTTGAAGACTTACATCGATATTCTTGTCGCTGCAGAGGAAGTGTTGCGCGACGTGCTCTGGCAGGATATTCGCGAGCAGTTTGCGATTATATGCCTCTAGATGTTCCATCTCCTCCTTCTCATCTGTATGTAAAATAAGATGTTATAATTACAAACACTGGTAATTCTATTTTAATATGATTTCAATCTATTCAGGTGAGGATCCTTGGATGGCTCAAACTTGGAGTGCAAGTGTGGTTTTGTTTGCCAGTCGAAACAACTGCTGGCAAGAAGATTTAATGAAGGCTATTGGCAACGCCACTCTTGTAGCGGAGTTTTGGGCTGACACTGTGTAGATTTGCTGTCGACACGACAAGAAGAAGAAAGAATATGATTTATCACGCAATGTCCTTGTAATTTAAAAAAAATATCTGCTGTGAGATACTTACAGATCATCATCATCATCAGGTCATTCAGTCTCAATTGCAGGAGCACGACCATCCCTAACTTACCAGAAGCAAATGAAGGATTTGGCCTACGTTCGTCACGCTACGAGTTGGGGAGGCCCATAGCATCCCATTTGATGTTTAAGGTGTAATTGCTTCCTTCCGAGCGGGTGCTGTGCTCGGGGACCAAGGTCAAGTCAGGCTTAGAAAGTTGATTTTCCCAAGCGTTTACATAGTTTGATAATCATATGAGTTAAATACCGTTAGCCTGTAGTTTCCAGATGAAGTCCAATCGGTAGGTGCTCTCAGTTTGCTGTGAGTGCAGGATCAGAGCAACAGTAGCACCAACCGCAATGACGATGTTCATCCACTGCTGATTCCAATCCAGTCCGCATTTTTGCCTGGAGAGAACATAATGTTTTATAATCTCAAAGACCTATAATTAAAATTTCATTGGCCTTTTCCTCGTTTTATGTAAGAAGAATATGTAAACGCATATACAAAGGAAGGTTACGATAAATCTGCATAGTTAACTACTATTCTTAGGCTGAGTTGCACTATCATAAATTAATTATAAAAACCACCAGTTATGGATACAATCACGGTTAAAATTAGGTGGTGCAACTCAGCCTTAAACTCTCGGTTAAATGGCCATTGGCTAGGCAATATGGTGTGTAATTACAGTTGGCATAATACGAGTAGTATTTAGTTTTGTACTACAATTTTATTATCCCCAAAAATCACAAATAAGTAAGGTAATGAAACATGAATCGTGATTGTGATACGGAATGAGCTCTCATAACACTCACTGCGGCTCGAGGAAGAAGTGGGTGAGATACAAGTGCTCCTGCGTGGTCACCAGAATGTACGTGGTTGAGATGATGACCAGGAGGAGCGTCTTCATCATTGTGATCAGAATTTGGTGTACAGCACACAGGAACATCACCAGCAGCGTCAGTTGTAGGTAGTGCTGTAAGACAATAAGGAATTTTATTATAAACCTATCTTAAGTGAAAGTGTTATTAACTTTGTTTGTTTGGATGGTATTTTACTTTACAAAACTGATAGCCTCAGGAAGGACTTGAACTCATGACATTTAAAATACGTTTGAGATTTTTTATGAGATTACCTATGTAAAGACAAAATGTGAAATAGGATTGGGATTGGGATTAGGATTGAAAATAGGAAACCAGCTTGTATACCAAGGCAAATTATGTCAATAGTTCATTAGAAAGAGATCCCAATAAGAATCAGTAGCCTCATATCTCCACAACACTCACCTCGTTCATGCTGAATGGGCAGAACCCATCGAATTCCATTAATTGCTGAATGAATTCCGGGTCCATTTGGGCACCGCTGTACAAGCCCAGCACCTTAAAATTTTTCAGTAACGTTAACATTCTACCATAAAAATAAACTCAAGTCAATCTTCTGGACTCTTTCTATCATAGATCATAGAATTGTACCCTTTGAAGATTGTTGTCAAGAATCAACAGTCAATACAACAATAATTCAACATAATATCATCATGAGGCGACAATATTGAATGTAATGAAACCGTTAGTTTCAGTGTCAGATTCCCGATTGGAGGGTCGCTAGTTCAATCTTCATCAACTGCTAAGGGACGCTTTTTATTCTGCAGGAAAATAACTTTCTCCAATTTACTAGAGGCAAATCGAGGATTTAATCTGGTCCGTCTGGCCAGCGTCTCTATACGCTGTGACAATCATCTGTACTTAAAAAAAATCAAGTAAAATACTAAGGGGACTATTCCCGACTTTCGTCTCCACTGCTGCAATTCCTGTGTTGCCAGGATCTACAGCTTGATTTCAATACTTACAAGGTTTTAATAAGAGTAAACAATTTGCTCACCATGATAACTTGGATTTGGACAATGAAAGCGGTGACGACAATGAACGACAGCACCTGCGCAAGAGTGCGGTTGTTGTGGATCCGCACCGCGCAGCGCTTCAGCCGGGGCGTGGTGTGCTGTTGAAGGGATACTGTTATGTTTAATCAGTGTAAAAGTCTCGAAGGATCTATAGAAATACCAATTTTCATTACTCCCGGAAAACTTTCCAGGTAAAGCCATTATTTTGTACCAAATGACTGGACTATTATTTCAATGCATCTAAACTGAAAATGCAATGAAACTCAACTTTTTACTCAATGCAGCTTGCACTGGAGTAATCAATTATTTTAATATCCTTCACCAAGTTAGGCCACAGGCTACAATTTATTATGGAGCATTTGGTTAATTGATTTATATTAGACAGTTTACTGTTGTAGGCGTTCGTTAACAGTAACTATAACCGCGGATTTTACATAGAAACTCATAACAATGAGAAGGATCCGTGCAACACTTGTGTCAGACCATTAACTGCTTTAAGGAAACTTACGCCTGTATTCACAAACATTAATATGAGGTCTCACAGTGCGCGTGGATGCACAGGGAGACACATGAACCAATCACGGAGCTCTATTCAATGCTGTGCGTTCGATTTGCAACTTCACTTAAGCAAGCATCGTTTGTGAATACGGGCGATAGACCTTGGTATTTGATGCTTAGACTTGACGGACGGATGTGTGTGTATAGGTTCCTTACTTTCTTTCCCAGTCTGAATAACGAGCAAAAAACTGTAGATAAAAATATGTACTGTTACCTTAAAGTCAATGCAAAATACGATGTAGCAGGTAGACGAGATGATCAGGCCGCACGCAGCAATCGTGATGAATCCAGCAGCAGTCCTAAAAAATATACAGCAAGCAAATATAATGATATCGCTTTTCCATATTATAACCTAGTGTAGTGAGTGGTGGCATATAATTTTGAACATCAAATATGTCGAGCTGCATTGACTCTCACTGTAATGACTTCAAGTATGATTTTTTTTCATGTGATGATCTATTATATTATTGGCTTATGCTTATAGCATGGCATAATAATAATATAGCTCAAGATGTTTTGAAGACTTCGTATTATTTTATAATTCTGAAATCCAGGAAAAATTAAACAAGTGCGACGAATACTCCGCACGATGGATGTACCGCGACTCCACCCTTCAAAACCGCATGTCGAGAAAATAAGGAATTGTATTGAGCAAGATATTCGTCCAACTTACATGTTGAAGGAAAGCATCTGCACCAAGGACACGGCAACGAAAATCATCAGAGTGCAGATGAAGTACACCTTCAGCATTCTGTCTCTCTCGATGGTGTACTGAAAAAGAGAAACAACAAACAAAATTAATATTGCCCAAACTATTAAAGCTGTAAACGTGTTGAGTGTTTACTCAATGTTTTGTGATTCTGAATACCTATATTTCAAGAACTTTATCTTTTTAATCTACTTAATAATGATGAGCCAATTTTCTGTAGGCAGGTAGGTCTATCTGTTACGCTATTTAATAGATGTTACTATGAAATGAAACATAAACTTAATTCAAAACACGGGTAGATAATGGATTTTTCATTATGGGCCACTTAAACCAACATCACCGATAGTCCATTTAATTTCATTCACGTAATTTTACTAACGATAGGTTTAAATGCACAATCTAACAAATAAATAACAGAGAATAGAGCTTAGATTCACCTCTTATGAACCCTTAAAAACTATAATGAAGAAAGAGAAAGAAAACCAATTAATCAAGTTCTAGACTTGACATAGCCATTAAAAATAATGACGCTGCTCAACAAATAGTATTGGCATATCGATAAAGGCAGCCCGATATTTAATATTGTCATGCAAATATGTAGAATCGTCATGTTTCTTTAAGAGCGTTTACGCCGTTTGGCGCAAAAACAGTACTTTTTCAACTCGTTACAATCATTAAACAGTAATACTACAAATACATATGTTATAGGCATAAATAGTTAGGCAATTTCGTCGTCTAAATAGTTAATTGAGAAAATATTGCGATTAGTTTAGCATTTAAGAATTCTATCAAGATAAGTCCACACAGGTTTTGTAAATTTCCACTTTAGCGTCAGTTTACAAGCTGAAATTTTTATAAAAATACTGTGAAAACGATTTAACAAACATTTATATCCTATAGCATAGATCCTTGGGCAAATAGTTATCTGAGAAAATTTTTAGATTTAAGCATTTTACAATAAGAAATCACAAATTAAAAGAACGTGAAATACCCAAAAATCAAAGTGATTTTTTCACCAATATTCTTCCTTTATTCAACACAAAAATAGCTTAATATAATAGAAGAATATCTTATCTAAAATATTTACTTTGAAATTTAAAATAATTCATTGTAATTTTTTTTCTATGAGTATTTGAAAACTACTATAAATCGCCGCGCACGAATCGTTCAAATTCAGTCCGCCTCGAGGCGTTCCAGAGTGAGGTCACGTCGCTCGGTGCTCTGCTGACATGTGTCACGCGTACGTTGATCTTTGACAGGTAGCTGGACTTTTATAGTGTATCCGCAAAATCTTGGTGGTAGATTTTGCGATCACGTGGTAATTAAAATATTTTATTGTTATTTTTCATTACAGTCTATTNTTGACCTAGGAGGGAGTTGCGCGATCGTAGGGCTGTCCAAAAATTAAAATAATAATAATTTATTTAGTTTTGTATGGGAAAATATTTTTTATTAAATATTACGATATCCACTTTCTGACACCACTATAGTATTTATATGAGTATGTTAACATGGGCTAGTCTCGGCTCATATACCCATTTACCTAACACCCTGTATAGTTCCAAAATACTGGACTGTCCTATTGATGACATTGACAGTGGGGCGCCACCGTCAATACCGGATCGCTGGTTCCGATTTTTGCCATGTTGGAAACCATATAGTTGAACGATGGTAGCGCCCCCCTGTCATTGAGTTTGGTGGGACAGTTCAGCGTGGGTCATCTACAGGGTGGAAACGATAAGTGATCTCACCCGATTATTTCTAAACTATACAAGATATCGAAAAACTGGTTACTGATCCTGAAGGTGCTTCACGAGCTCTTTCAAACGATGCTAATAATAGGTTTCAGAATAATCTGTAACTATCCGAAAATTCAATGTTTCCAGCTTCCATACATTTGGTAAAGTTACATAATTTTAAAAACTACACAAGATATCGTAAAACTGGTTACTGTTCCTAAAAGTGCTTCACGAGCTCTTTCCAACGGTATCAATATCAAGTTGCAGAATAAACTAGATCTATCCTAAAATTCAATGTTTCCGTCTTCCATACATTTTGTACTATCACAGTCATTGCACTCATCTCTTGATAATTTTATAGCAAGTAAAACCTAAAAGTAATGTATTTCACAAATAATTTTAAATAAGATGCAAGTTACAAGTTTATTTAACGGACTTTTTAAATTTATAATTTAACAAAAAATAAATTACACTTTTAATATTGTGTCATCGCCATACATTTAGTATGGAAGCTGGAAACATTGAATTTTGGGATAGTTCCAGTTTATTCTGTAACCTATTATTGGTACCGTTTGAAAGAGCTTGTGAAGCACTTTCAGGATCAGTAACCAGTTTTTCGATATCTTGTATAGTTTAGAAATAATCGAGTGAGATCACTTATCGTTTCCACCCTGTATATCGGCTGTTGATTGACATTGTTCATTCACAGCGGCTCGTGCTGGCGCGGCTCGCGGTCGGACCCGCGCGATTTGGACGCGCTGCTGCAGTACATCGAGGGGCCCGCGCGCCACGTGGACCGCGGCAAGAAGCGCGCCAAGAAGCAGCGACAGAAGGCCAAGAAGGTGAGCTCTGGTGTACCTAGCTCGCCGGAATTATGACTTGAAAAGGGATTGTGATAGAGGGGCGTCTGGATGCGTTGCTGTACAGGGAACCTCGCACCATGGAGACCGAGGCAAGAAGCGCGCCAAGAAGCAGCGACAGAAGGCCAAGAAGGTGAGCTCTGGTGTACCTAGCTCGCCGGAATTATGACTTGAAAAGGGATTGTGATAGAGGGGCGTCTGGATGCGTTGCTGTACAGGGAACCTCGCACCATGGAGACCGAGGCAAGAAGCGCGCCAAGAAGCAGCGACAGAAGGCCAAGAAGGTGAGCTCTGGTGTACCTAGCTCGCCGGAATTATGACTTGAAAAGGGATTGTGATAGAGGGGCGTCTGGATGCGTTGCTGTACAGGGAACCTCGCACCATGGAGACCGAGGCAAGAAGCGCGCCAAGAAGCAGCGACAGAAGGCCAAGAAGGTAAGTGAATGCTAGTCACTAAATGTATTGACTGAGACTGATTCTAGCACTGGGAAGGGGGGCATTTCACCGGGAGGAAAAATCTAGGCGGATACGCGAATCTTGCACCATGGAGACCAAAACAAGAAGCAGCGGCAGAAGGCTAAGAAGGTAAGCTTACGCTAGTCGCCTAGTCGCTGTGTTTACTATCCTGATTCTAGCACATGGAAGGGGGCATTTTGCCGGGAGGAAAAATCTAGGCGCATACGCGAACCTCAACCAAAGCAAGAAGCGCGCCAAGAAACAGCGCCAGAAGGCCAAGAAGGTGAGCTAGTGTACCTAGCTAGGCGGAATCCTAACCCTAGCCTAGTTTCTGGACGCGTTGATATACAGGGAACCTCGCATCATGGAGACCGAGGCAAGAAGCGCGCCAAGAAGCAGCGCCAGAAGGCCAAGAAGGTACGCGCTGGTGTACCTAGCTATAGTCTGGTCCGTGAGCACGTAGAATTTTGTCCAATGACCCCAAGCTACCCATCCTTATCGCTCGCGCGTAATTATATTGCTGTCGCGACTGTGCGACTGGCACCCGCAGTGAGTGTGCGAGCGCGACAGCAACATAATTACGCGCGAGCGATAAGGATGGGTAGCTTGGGGTCACAGACCGGGCTTTAGCCGGAATCCTAATCCTAGCCTAGCTTCTGGACGCGTTAATATACAGGGAACCTCGCACCATGGAGACCGAAGCAAGAAGCAGCGCCAGAATACCAAGAAGGTGAGTGCTGGTGTACCTAGCTTCTAGGTCAGGGGTATTCTAGCACTCGGGGGAATATTCTAGCACAGCATTGGAATAGGGACGATGCATTCTTGCCTACCAAGAACGCGCCAAGAAGACGGAAGGCTAAGAAGGTGAGCGCTAGTTATGACCTGAGAAGCTGAGAAGGCATTCTGATACTGGGGAGAGGCACCTGGACGCGTTGCTTTATAGGGAACTTCGCATCATGGAGACCGAGGCAAGAAGCGAGCTAAGAAGCAACGGCAGATTGCTAAGAAGGTAAGCGAATGCGTTTTCCGGTACGCAGCCTCCATTCCAGAAACTAGTCGCAAAATGAGTTGACTGAGACTGAGTTAAAGCCAGTGACCAAGGGAGTATCCAGCTTGTAGGTCAAGGATGGGACATTCTGACGCAGGAGGGAACATTCTAGCACAGGGGAGGGACATTCTGACACAGAAGGAGTATTCAAGCACAGGACGGACGTTCTGACGGACGGACGCGTTGTTATACAGGGAACGGTTGCGCCACGTGGATCATATTTGATTTAGTCGAAAAATCGCAATAGAAGACTAATGCCCGTTTTCACCATCAATTCCTAAGTTTTTAGTGACCCCTATGAAAACAAAATTCCTATTAAGTGCTACCATAGGGGTCACTTGAAACTTAGGGATTGATGGTGAAAACAGGCATAAGGCTGAGTTGCACCATCTAATTATAACCGTAACTATAACGATAATTGGTGCTTTTTGTATGGAGTTTGACAGTTTTGACGTTTGTTAAAGTCAAAGAAGTCAAGCGTATCCATCTTTGTTGTTCTATTGTTTATTCGTTATCGTTGTCCGCAGACGGAGGCGCGTCTGACGGAAGCGCGCGCGGCTTTAGCGACGGGTTACGCGGCCGCGCGCGGTTACGTGGCGCCGTTGGCCGCCGCCCACGCGCAGGCTCAAGCGAGACTGAAGGAGTACCGCGCGCAACTGCAGAACACTAAGAAAGGTGCGTGTTTACTTTATTATTTTTACCCAACTGCGCTAGAAAGGGCACCACAAGGTGGAACGACGACATCATAAAGGTAGCAGGAAGTCGCTGGACGCAGGCCGCTACCAACCGAGCAACATGGAAAACATTGTTCAATAGTAGACGTCCTATGGCTGAGATGATGATGATGCTAGAAAGGGCTATGTTTGAGAGACTGTTGCCCGTTTTCACCACCAATCCCTAATATTTAAGCTTAAAGGTCACTTAAAAATTAGGGATCGATGGTGAAAACAGGCATGTATGTACATACGCAGCACATACTATCTACATTTGACACAAGCCTGCGTACGCGCAGGCTCAAGCGAGACTAAAGGAGTACCGCGCGCAACTGCAGAACACTAAGAAAGGTGGGTGTTTACTTTATTATTTTTACCCAACTGCGCTAGAAAGGGCACCACAAGGTGGAACGACGACATCATAAAGGTAGCAGGAAGTCGCTGGACGCAGGCCGCTACCAACCGAGCAACATGGAAAACATTGGGGGAGCCCTATGTTCAATAGTAGACGTCCTATGGCTGAGATGATGATGATGCTAGAAAGGGCTATGTTTGAGAGACTGTTGCCCGTTTTCACCACCAATCCCTAATATTTAAGCTTAAAGGTCACTTAAAAATTAGGGATCGATGGTGAAAACAGGCATGTATGTACATACGCAGCACATACTATCTACATTTGACACAAGCCTGCGTACGCGCAGGCTCAAGCGAGACTGAAGGAGTACCGCGCGCAACTGCAGAACACTAAGAAAGGTATGTGTTTGTTTGGTTCTCTTTTTACCCGACTGCTCTAGGAGGGAGAACTGTATTATAGGGACGGACGAAGAAAAATAACTTGTAGGGAGTCAAGAAGTGTGCCCTAGGCAGCCGCAATTCCGCGCACACCTCCCGCGATTCGGCCATCAGGCCAGCAGAACCGTAAGGTTGGTATGGCCATGGGTGGTGGTGAGTTGCTCTAGGAGGGCTATGTTTTAAGAGACATACTATGCATATTTGACACAAGGCTGCGTACGCGCAGGCTCAAGCGAGACTGAAGGAGTACCGCGCGCAACTGCAGAACACTAAGAAAGGTATGAACCTCCTTCACTACACTTACTAACATTCTCATCTAATCTCAGGGAGAAGCCGCACCGCAGACACACCGCACTTCGATTGAGCGAGACGGTGCCGTTGCGGCGCCGCAATCCACCATGTGTGTACCAGCGTTGCCAGTTTTTTTTTTCGCCAAGTCGGGACTTTGGTACTTTTTGAGTGAAAATAGCAGGATTCTTCCGTCAGAAGCGGGACATAGTAAAAAACGTATATAATCAAAGGTTTTCAAATATTTATCTTTTTATTTGACTTAAAAAAAAATTAAATCAGATTTACTCTATCGTTAAATACGTCTTAGGAATAAAAAAGAAACAAAAATCGTTTTTTTTTTTATTCTTTAGAATAATATGGCGTTTAAAACAATAGTCTGGCGAAGTGAGTGTCTCTCTCCGAAAAGCGGGACAGAGCCTGTCCCGCGCGGGACATTTAAATTTGGTTTAAAAATCGGGACGTCCCGCCAAAATCGGGACGTCTGGCAACGCTGGTGTGTACAGTGAGGCGGCAAAATGTTTGCGATGCTGCGCCGAACCGCTCCGTGTGGCTTCTCCTTCAGGAACTACTGGTCCGATTTGGAAGACTATTTTTGTGTTGGATTTTTATCGAGGAAGGGGCGGAGCATTAAAATAAAATTTTACAAAAACGGGAAATATTATTAAAACTTTTTCCACGCGTACGAAATCACGGGCACAGCTAGTCTCTGAGAAAAATGACAAGTAGGCTACTCCTTGATTAAATTCACGAGTAGCCTAATGATACTGTGATGCTAAAAGCTATGGTTTTTTTTCCTTATTTTTTATTTTGCTTTTTCTTTTGTCGTTCTTTTGTTTCAGTTAAATATCTATCACTGCTGAACACAGACTTCTCCCAAGGATTTCCACTACGACTGGTCTTGCGCTGCCCGTATCCAGACACTTAATAGGAGGCCTGTCCACACTATGTCTTCCGCCACTCGAGAACTTTTCTGCCTCAACGGCCATCAGCTCTTGAGCTTAGAAATTTTACGGACTATTTCCTGCAGATCTGTTTCTTTCATCATTCCTCCATAATTTCTTTTCTTTGATTCATCTTCTTAGTGAACGAAACATAAACCAGCGCTGACACATTTTATAACTATAAACTTTATTATAGGCAAGAAAAAGTTGAGTCCAGCTCAGCAAGCGAAGGTCCAGCTATTCGCGGAGCAGATAGGCGAGCTGACGAACCTCGTCAACACCAGTGCCAAGGTACATTCCAGGATCATTGTAGTATCTACTGTAGGAATACGACCATAAACAAAAACTCATTTATTTTTGCAAATAGGCTTTTAAAAAGCACTTACACGTCCCAGTATTAACCTTACCACTGCTTCGGGACAATAAATGGGCCAGTGCTGAGAAGCAGTGCAAGCAACTCAATAGTCAATCGTTTATTGCATAACCACATTAGCACATTCACATTAGGTCTTACAATTTAGGCAGTTATACAATGTGGATCCAGTTAGGGCACAGCAACTTTAGGAAGGAGGCTGATCGACGATCTTAACAGTTTCAAATGAAATTAATGTACAGATTGAGTTTGGTGAAAATTATTTCACTGCCCTCTGCAAAAGGACTACCCTAGAGGTCGTGTCTTAAGTGACACACTAGTCATTTGACATGCTTTATTATGAGCTGTCAAAATACAACACTGTCATTTTATATTGTAATGACATCATTGTGCTTGTGCGCGTTTGAACGTTGTCATTAGCGAGTGCGTCAAAACATCTTAGAAGATTTTAGTTCTTGAAAGCATCCTCTAGGGCAGCGGTTCCCGATTGGTGGTCCGCGGAGCCCTGGGGTTCCGTGGAAAGGCCGCAAGGGTTCCGTAAAAAATATTATCCCACGTTTCGTGACCGACGTTGTTCGCTCGCACCGACTTGTTTACGCACAAGGGAGGGGCAGGGCGTGCGGGCGGAGTAGTACGGGGGTTCCGCTAGGAAAAGTATAATCAATTAGGGTTCCTTGGCAAAAAAAAATTGGGAAACCCTGCTCTAGGGACGCTGTACATTGCAAGCTTAGTTTTTACCCGACTGCATCAGAAGGAGGGTTATTCAATATACAATATTTCAATTATTTCAGGAATTAGCTGCGGCTGAGAAACAAGTGCAGGAATGGTCGGCGAGACTGCAGGAGTGCGATCGACAGCTGGCTGAGGCCAGGGCCGCGCAGGGCAAGCCGCACGCGCAGGTATGTATGTAGAACTAGTGGGGGAATCTTTCGTCGTCCCAATGAGGGCTTTCGTGAATGAAAGATCCGCTAGATGGCGGGACGTGGATGTGGGGTCTGACTGCTGCGTGATTGGTGGATTTTGACATATCTGTCAATGTCATGTCAAAAATAACCAATCATGCAGCATTTGGACCTCGCGTCTACGTATTACCATCTGGCGGATATTTCATTCACGAAAACCCTCATTGGAATGATGACTGGGTAATGAAATGGAAATTCTTTTTAGTCCGTCAGACAGATAATAAAAAAATATTGGACACTAATATTTTTATTCTTTTTCATAATCGAATAATTACAGTATTATATTGAGTTGAACTTGAAATGTCGCGTGACATCATTTCTAAGTAAAAAATTCCCCTATTCCACATAATCCTACCGACATATCCCTACTATAGTCTGGTCTGCGAGCACGTAGAATTTTGTCCAATGACCCCAAGCTCGCGCACTCACTGCGGCCGCCCGTCGCACAGTCGCGACAGCAATATAATTACGCGCGAGCGATAAGAATGGGTAGCTTGGGGTCATTGGACAAAATTCTACGCTCACAGACCGGGCTTTAGTAGGGTCACTTGGATTTTTTTTCTAATTATAGCTACCGGTAGGGGCATATGGATTCTTTTGCTCCATACATCTCCACCGATTGCACTGGTGGGGATAGTTGGATTTTTATTTCCATTTATCGCTTTAGTGTAGCTGAGGTATAACAACACAACTCTCTTCCAGCTGGACCAAGCAGCACTGTTGCAACAACAAAAAAACACGGCGGAGTACAAGCAGAAAGTGCAGGAACATCAGATGGCGCTGAAACAACAACAGATGGAGCAGCAGAAACTTGAACTGGAGAAACAGAAGCGATCGGCTGCTGTGGAGTTTAGTGAGTAGATTTTTAGTTACTGGTGTTGTTTGCCTTTCAAGGCGTCTTTCAAGGATTATTTTAAGTGAATATACTTGTTGTACTAACGATAGAAATGAAATTCTCCTCATAAATGTGAAAGCTTGTGAGGTTTGTTTTTCTTTCCCGCAAAAAATTGCAATGAAACATAACATTTTATTGTTTATACATCAAAATAACAGTCACGGATCTGTAATTCTTCTTCCCGATTCTGGGGCAAATAAATATTCTGGCACCCCCGTCCTGGTGTTTTAGATGCCTAAAAAAAGTCATCCTGTTCAATACAATACGAGAAGCTTTGTAAAACTTCTTTTCACAAAGCGCCCCCTTCTTACTATTTGGCGCCCCTTAGACAGCTACCAGAAGCAGGCGCCCCGGTTTCCCCCTGTTGATCCGTGGCTGTAACAAGATTTACAACAATGTGTTTCTGAGTAAATAAATGAATTATTATCATTATTATTTCTGTGACAAATAGAGCGAAATTAAAGCAAGAAACTCATACTTTTAATTGTATGCTTTCAGTCCAAGAAGGCGACAGAGTGGTTTGCGTGCGACGCCGCGCCGACGCGCCTGCGCCGCTCCAACATTTGCTCAGCAACCACAACAGTGAGTATTACACCATCGCTACATAGTATAAAACAAAATCGCTTTCCGCTGTCTCTGTGTATGCTTAGATCTTAAGAACAACACAACGGATTTTGATGCGGTTTTTTTAATAGATAAAGTGACTCTAGAGCAGCGGTTCCCAAACTTATTTTGTCTACTGCCCACTTTGAGAATAAATTCTTTTTAGCGCACCCATTTGTAGTCGAATGTCGAGTGCTCAGTCGGTGTCTAAGAGTCCTCCTAGCAGATGACGCCTCCCAAGCCTCTACACAACGTCCCGATTTTTTTTCTGGGTCTCTTACCGCCCCCCTTTAAGCCTGCAGCGCCCACAAGGGGGCGTTATCGCCCACTTTGGGAAAGACTGCTCTAGAGGAAGGTTTATAGCTATAAAACATGCATATTATAGAAGAGAAAAGCCGGGAAATTCCATTGCAACGGTGCGAAGCTGGGGCGGGCTGCTAGGAAAGTTAATATTCCTAGCGGAAGAACTGAGCGAGCGAGATGTCACTAGCAGCATTATAAAATAATCCTGACACTGACACAAATGATATCCAGTGTCATCCAAAATCGGTTTCGTGTAACAGGCCCCCCTGAAAAAGAAGTCTAGATACGCCGATACCGATGGGGCAGCAAGGTTCTGGAATGGAGGCCACGTACCTGGAAACGCAGCGTAGGAAATCCACCTGCAAGGTGGACCGACGACTTCATAAAGGTAGCAGGAAGGCGCTGGATTCAGGCCGCTACCAACCGGGCGATGTGGAAGTCATTGGGGAAGGCCTATGTTCAGCAGTGGACGTCCTGTGGCTGAAATGATGATGATGTAAAAAGTAGAAGTTTTGGGAAAATGTTAAATTTAGTTAATTTTTAACCAAAATTGTTATTGTTTCAGTACTAAACATGATGAAAGAAGACACAAATACGCAAAAGCAGCCAGAAGTTCGAACCAAGCAGACCTGGGAACAGGCGCTAGCTCATATCAACCAGCTAGCCAAGGGCACGCAGAAGGTACAGCGCATTATAGTATTTTTCACCTAATATGAGCAATAGGACGTTTCGAGTTTGAAAGTTATAGACTACTAGCGGCCGCCCGCGACTTCGTACGCGTGGATCCCGTTTTACCCCCTTCATCTATCTTACGCGGTTTCGATTTTTTCATACAAACGTTTTACCCGCTAACTCCCGTTCCCGTGGGAATTTTGCAATATCCTGTTGTAACTAAACTTTAAGTTTACTAAGGCACCTGCATGCCAAATTTTTCACACAAGGATTTTCCTGCTAATTCCCGTTCCCGTGGGAATTTCGGGAATTCCTTTCTTAGTGCACCTCTACGGTACCTAAGCTACGTCCCTTCCAAATTTCAAGTGCCACGTTTAGCCGTTTAGGCTGTGCGTTGATATGTCAGTGAGACTCGTGGCAGGCGGTGTAATAATAAAACAGTGCATATCACGTTTCCTCTCGCACTCACACTGGTTATTGGTGACGTCACACAGAGGCAGACATAGAGTTGTTTATAATACGTAATAATTTATAATACTCACGTTTGAAATTCAACTTGAAAACCAAAAAGCTAAAACTTCAGCTTTCATACCTAATTTAAAATCATTTATTTTGTTGTAGAAAAAGCAAAAAGAAGAGAAGCAAGCGAAGCAAGAAGCGAAGCGAGCGGCGGAAGCGAAAAAAGCGGCCGAAGCGAAGCCCAAACCACCTCCAGTAGAAGAAACGCCACCACTATCCAAGAAACAACGGAAGGCTCTGGCTAAACAACAGGTATTATGTCACTTCCAGACATAATTATCATCATCATCATTTCAGCCACAGGACGTCCACTGCTGAATATAGGCCTCCCCCAATGATTTCCACATCGCCCGGTTGGTAGCGGCCTGCATCCAGCGCCATCCTGCTACCTTTATAAATAATAAATAAATAAATAAAAAGTATTTATTTCGGATAACAGGGATCCATAATGTTAGTAAAAAACTTAGGCTATGTTAGTATCTTATTTCTAAAACAGACTTCGTCCTGCTGAGCATGTGGCCGATCAGTGGACAATCCCCACTATCGGCTATCTCCTTCAGTACGCTGTGGCAGCTGCCGCGCACTCTGTGCAGTAATGATGCGCACTTTTTGCGCATTATAGCTTCAAAGCTATCTACGCCCGCCAACGCAAACATCGCAGACGCACTACAAAACCGCGGCAGCCGCAACAGCGCCCTGAAGGCGTTATTGTATTGGACACGCAGAGCACTGTAGGCCTTTTTGGTATAGTTGGTCCATAAGCTGCACGAATAAAATGACACACAATATGCTTTAAAAAGCGTTATTTTAACAGTATCTGTGCAGCGACCAAATCTATGTGCCAACATATTCGCCCTGACCGACAGCGCCCTACGTTCCCTATCAATATCTTCATCGTCTTTAAGGCTGTCAGTCACGATATGTCCAAGATATTTAAATTTATAAACTCTTTCTAAGGGTTCATCGTAGAGTTTTATAGGGGGAACTACATTAGGGCATTTACTGCCAGCCTTAAATACCATGAACTGAGACTTTTTGGCATTGTATAGCAAACCATGCGAGACAGCGAAACCTTCACAAACTCCGAGAAGCGCTCTTAACGCACTGACCGAGGGCGCCAGCAGGACCATGTCGTCTGCGTAACTGATGTTGTTAACGCACACTTTTCCAATATGGCAACCGACACGCATGCCGCTGAGCTCCCGAACCAGTGCGTCTACGTACAGGTTGAAGAGCCTCGGAGAGGTCAGCCCCCCCTGCCTCACACCGCACTCCATCCTGTACGGCTCGGAAAATTCATTCGCCCATCTCACATAGTTCACCTGTTTACAGTACCAAAATCTCAGCAAATTAGTGTAGCCATCAGGTATTCCTACATTTTTTAACTTGCGCCATAGGATATCATACGAGACCAGATCGAATGCTTTGCTAAGGTCCAGGAAACAGGCGTACACCGGTGTACGCCTGTCCGTATAATATTTGACAGTGTGCTTTAAGCTCAATATTGCAGTCTCTGTAGACAGACCCCGCGTAAAGCCATGTTGACCATGATGGAGCTTACAGTGCTCTTCTAACACAGAGTTAAGCACTCTGTCAAATATCTTGGCTATTGTCGTTGCCAAGGATATTGGCCTGTAATTCGATCTGTCCGATAGGTCACCTGTGCGATTCTTTACAATAGGAACCACGGTGGTTCTCATCAAGTCAGCGGGCAGGTAAGAGTGTGCGACACAAACATTAAATAAGAGCGCTAGTACCCTAGGTAAATGTACACCCGCATATTTTAAATGCTCAATACTGAGACCATCGTGACCCGGTGATTTACCTGTTACCATAGATCTTAAAATACGTGCAATTGTTTTTCCACTGATAACCACATTAGGATCACTCATGGCCCCAGCACTGGGCGTAAAATCTGACGACAGTCCCAGCGGTGATGATATCATAAATTGCTCTCTAAAAAGGTTAGCAATTTGCTTTACATCACTCACCCCGCCTACAGCCACAGGGAGACCAGGCCCGGTGTTTAGCCGATTAGTGGACTTCCAGAAATTCTTAAAGTCGTTTTTCGAGTGATGAGTAGCCAAGATGTCCATCTTCATTTGATTATTATGATTTTGACACCACTTTAACCTACTTTTGAAAATACGTCGGCTGTCCATCATTTCATCATAAACAAAACCCTGCTTTGGTCGACCGTAAAAAACCCACATCATAAACTTGGACCTGGCCTCCCTGTGTGCCGCACTTACATGCTTGTTCCACCCTATTAGGGCACGTTTTTTCTGTTTAGACACATTTGTTTTATTAGTTTCAATTGCTGCGGATGATAAAATAGACACTATGTCTTTGTATAAATTATCAATTACACTTCTATGACATACGTCATTACAGACGCTATAACTACATTTTATAAAATCTGATGGAAAATCAATTAATTTTAAGTTCTTATTGCATATTTCTGTATAATTTTTTATCTGTACATCAGTTCTGTTGCCCCATTTAATTTCATTGCAAATTGTATGAAATTGATTGACCTTAGGTGCAACACAGTTAAGCCTACATTCAATAAGGATAGTACGNAGTGGGAAGTGGTCAGACCAATATACATCGTATAAAATTCTAGTGCTACATATTAATTTGTGCGCTGACTCAGTGACTATACAGTGATCTAACCACCTCCCCGTCCCATGCACATCACTGACATATGTAAATGAATTAGAATCTAGTGTACTCACGTCGGCACAAATCCAGTTCTGTTCCGAGCAAAACATATTTAACTCATTATAAAATGGCTGACCAGGATGTGCATTATAGTCACCCAGTAAAAACACTGCCTCACATTCACCTTCCTCTACTATAGCATTTAAATAACTTAAACAATCCGTAAAATCTGCTAAATTATCACTACAGTCAACGGGCATGTATACACTACACACTATGAACTTTTGGTTACTATGTTCAATTTTAATGGCACAGATACGAGCACTTGCGCACGGTATTAATGACACACAGGGAAAAACACTTTTTCGCCAAAGCAGCGCAACCCCTCCATGGGGTCGCCCCACCAGCATTCCAGCTGTAGTGTCGACAGCAGACGTTCCGGTGCTCCCGAAGTCAGCATCAATACTCGCAAGGTACGGCAGGTCATGCGGCAGGAGCCACGTTTCCTGAAGGGCTATTAAGTCAGCTGTCTTACATAACCGACGAATTCCCTCAACCGATCTCTTCACCGATCTACAGTTAAATGTAACAAAACTGTTACAAGGCAGGGCTTTTTCTTTGATGTCCATTTTGACCCGGTACGCTAGCCTCGGTACGACTCTTTACGTGGGAATTAAAATTCACAAAACGTCGAAATATAATTCCTTCAGGCCACAATTTTTCATCAAGAAACATGTATAGCTTGTGCCGAGGAACAAACATCTTAAACGCGCTGTATCCTCTTTCCTTTCGTTGTGATATTTTAATTAGAGATATCCTGTAATATGNCTCATTCGTCTGTTTGTATACATAGTCACTGATTGCCTCTGGTTTAGTATCCTTGTGCACATTAGATAAAAATATAGGCACTTTTAAATCCGCTGATTTAAAGTTCGATATTTGTCTTGCCGCTCCTATTTTATTGCCATAACGTTTAGAATTCTTCTTATTAGTGACCGTAATCCATTCAGTTTGTTTATCAACAACATTTCCTTCCGCGATAATCGTACTCTGCATAGTTTTTGTAGCAGGCGCACTCAGCTGATCGCTTACGTCACACGAAGCCTGGCTCGGCTCCGGCGGCGATACGAGTGTCGGTCGTGAGTATGATTCATCGCAGACGCTCGGTACAGGGGCGTCCGTTAACTGTGGTGATTGTTTAGTACAGTTTTGCAGGACTACCTCCGCGCCGCAAGATTCTCCAATTTCTGAGAAGTGAATACCCATAGGGCCACTATCGACATCCGAATCATTCAACAAATAGGCGCCTCTCCGTCTTTGGTTAACGTTAAAATTATTCACTAATGAAGCAGATTTGAGATTATCCAATTCGATTTTTAACTGAGAATATTCTCGTTTAGACACAAATGCATCCTGCACCAACTTAAGATCACGTTGTAGTATATTTATATCTCTCAACAGTTTTGATGCGTCCACATAATCAAAGGTGACAGGGGGTAGTTTGTTTAGGTCCCTTGCCACAAAAATAGGGGTTAAGTCGGGGTCGGTTTCCTTGAGAAGGCAAATGATGTCTTCTATGTCCCTCTGTGATTTTCCCTCGCCTTTTCTGGTAACTCTTCGTACTGTGGTTGAGATAGATTCAAACAGCAACTTTTTCGCCTCAGCTACTTCTTCAACCGAGAAGGAAGTAGTGCAGATACGTCGTATACTTTCTTCATCCATGACCTGAATTTTATTTTGAATAAAGGCCAGTACTTCAGAGATCACAACATTGCAGCTTCCACATTTTACAATCATCGACATCGTAAAAACACGTAAACAAACACTGTGAGCGCAGAGCGCCTACACGAACGGGCTGCGTGCGCATGCGACGAAGCGCCGAGCCGGACTGAGGCCGTCGGTCCACCTAAGCTATTTTTTTATACAAGTTAAAAGTTTTATAAATAACTAGCGGCCGTCCGCGACTTCGTACGCGTGGATCCCGTTTTAAAGTAAAATCCTGTCTTAGTGAGCACCTACGTTCTAAAACTCCAATGCAAAATTTGAGACTATCTGCATTTGTAGTTTCTGAGATTTCGTGATGAGTGAGTGAGTCAGTCAGTGACCTTTTGCTTTTATACAGGGTGTTAGGTAAATGGGTATATGAGCCGACACTAGCCCATGTTAACATGGGCATATAAATGGCATGGTGAAGTTAGAAATCAGTAATTAGAATAAATTTTATAAAATCCGATTTGTATGAAAATTAAAATGAAGATATCAATTTTCTGACTTCACCATACCATTTATGTGACCATATTAACATGGGCTAGTGTCGGCTCATATACCCATTTACCTAACACCCTGTATAGATATAGATTCACATGATATTTCAAATAATCTATTTCTTATTCCAGGCGGAAGAAGAAGAAAGAAAGAGACAACAACAGGAGCAGCAGCAAAAGAACAAAAAGACAGAAGCGAAAAAAGCGGAGCCCGCGAAAGCGGAACCTAAGAAAGCTGACAAGAAGAAAGAACCGGAAGCTAAGAAACCTGAGCCTGCCAAGAAGAAAGAAGAAAAGAAAGATAAAAAAGCTGAAAAGAAAGGAAAAGAGAATAAACAAGAGAAGAATAGTGAGTCATTATTTTAGAATGTTTTTTCTTCAACGATTTTTCTTCTTTTCCAATGATAGTCCACAGTTGAACGTAAGCTTATCGAGGCAAAGTTATCACAGTTAAGAGTAGGCGCACACCGTTGATTTTTAGTTGGCCGATAGTTGTGCCCTATTTTAATTTGTATGAAGAATCGGCCAAATCGAATCGGCGTAGTGTGCGCACTCCCATACATGCCCATACTGATCAACTGCCCGACTAAACTATCGGCCGACGAAAAATCAACGGTGTGCGCCTACTCTAACAGTCGAAGTTTGTATGGGAAGGCATTTTTATTGCAATTTGCTCCTATTTTGTGAATATTTGTTTGATTTTTTTTTATACATAGACGCCAATTTACAAAGAATCCTCATCATCATCAATTCAGCAACAAGACGTCTACTTCTAAACATAGGTCTCCCCTAATGATTTTCATATTGGCCGGTTAGTAGTGGCCTGCATCCAGCGCCTCTCTGATACCTTTATGAACTCATCGGTCCACCTTGTGAGAAAAATATAAAGCATTATAAATTAGTAAAGTCACTCATTTAAGACTATGTACTAAATAAAAAATAACAGTGCACACTTTCCACAACTTTGAACCTTATCCCATCGCATTAAGGTACAAATTACCATCATTCCAGCCCCGGCGCCGGCGCCCAAACAAAAGCAGCCGCAGCCACAGCCGGAACCTAGCAAGAAGAAAGAGAAGAAGAAACAACAGGCAGCTGAACAACCTAAGGTCATCAACATCACGCAGGATACTACCCTTGAAGTTGTCAACAAGAAGGTAACTATTCCTACTATGTATACTAATATTACAAAGCTGAAGAGTTTGTTTGTTTGTTTACTTGAACGCACTAATCTCGTGAACTACCGGTCCGATTTGAAAAATTATTTCAGTGTTAGATAGCCCATTTATAGAGGAAGGCTATAGGCTATGCAACATCACGCTACGAGTAATAGGTGCAGAGCAACAATAAAAATATTGCGAAAACGGGTTTTCACGCGTACGAAGTCGCGGGCACAGCTAGTAAACACTTACAATCGAATTGAAGTCGGTTAAAAAGGATCATTGAAAAGTATAAAGTCCGGTCGCCGAGCAGATCGAATTTCGTCCAATGACCCCAAGCTATCCATCCTTATCACTCGCGTGTAATTATATTGCTCGGCTACCGGACAGTATACATTTGCCTGGACTAGAGTTGAGCAGCTTAAAATCATCAACATCACGCACCATACTACCCTTGAAGTTGTCAACAAGAAGGTAACTGTTCCCACCAGAAGCACATACACTCGAATTGAGAACTTCCTCCTTTTTTTGAAGTCGGTTAAAAATGATTCACATCCTGATTTAAACTTTATCGTCTATATTCATCGCAAATAATGTAGGGTTCTAATGGTGAAAGAATTTCTCAGATCGGTCCAGTAGTTTCGTTTTATTTTCGATTCGATTCGATACAAACACAATCAAATCTTGCCTCTTTATAATATTAATGTAGAAATGTTGATCAACACATTAATATGTACTAGCGGCCGCCCGCGACTTCGTACATTACTATGAGGTCTCACAGTGCCCGTGGACGCACAAGGTGACACATGAACCAATCACAGCTCTATTCAACGTTGTGCGTTAGATTTGCTGCTTCACTTAAGCAAGCATCGTTTGAGAATGCGGACGTGAGATTTTGTGATAAGTGTATAAATGTTGATCAACACGTTTTTTGTTGCAGAACCAGTGCAACAATGAGCCGGAGAAACCGGCGTCTTGCAGCATCATGGAGCAACTTAGTTCAGGAGTACAGGTATGAAATGACCACATTATTTTTATGTATAATGAGTATTCTCTTGATAACCACCACATCTAAGTATTAGTTTCTGAGTTGAATAATTTGTTGACATAATATACAGGGTTATTTGTATGACAACCTCGCAGGACAGGACTAGATAATTAACATCATATACAAAATTTGTCCGTCAGATGACTTATTAAAAAATACCTGACAACTATTTATTGCTTTATCAAATCAATCAAAATTGACACAGCAAAAAGTGGACACGTCACTGCGTGGTAAAAAATTTAAACTTTATAATTACTTTGATTGACAAAAAAGAAATAGTAGTGTTGAAAAAAAATATGTGTTCAATATTTTTTGATATTAAACGAACACTTAAGATGTTCTTTATCTAGTACCGCGAGTTTGCTGGTGTTTTAAAAGTAACCCTGTATATTTATATGAAAAGCCATGCTTGTTATTCATACTTATGATTTCTGTTACTATTCAGTTGGCAAGTGGTATTATAAGGTATATTCACACCTAACAACGTATTAATGTGAACATACCTTTATTTGATTCACTATGAAAATGAGATATACCCTTTCTCAACAGAAATCGTGTCACGGAAGCATTCAACTAAATGTATGTGTATTTTGTAATATTATCCATTTTAAATACATATACCCCTATAAATAAACGAATATTCACCAAAAATAAGTACAAATCGACGAATTTGCATTCTCATTCAAAATTCTATAGTCTATTGATTAATAGACAAAATCCATCGAAACGTAATTCGAAATCACAACATTTTTAAAAAGACAATTATTTTATTAATTCTGGTCAAACTTAATTAATTTCAAATTACCAGTAAATTAAGATTTTTGGTTGCATTGTAATTGAAAAAAGTAGTTTGAGTTGACAAAATAGTGACGTCACTTGCTTGTATTGCCATACAAAATCTATGAGAGACTATCGTGACAGTTTTAAAAAGTACGTCAATTGATTGGTGGTTTCAAGTGCCCTATTTTGAATGGGAAAGCAAACATTTTGTTGATTTGCTTGTTTTTGTTGAATCTTTGCTTTTATGAGCGTAGTCACCTCTTACTTTATTCAATCTATACTGAGACGTGTAAAAGTGGTTTTTAAAAGCCTATTCCGTCGCGTTAGAGTGAAAACCTCGAGAATGCATTTTATGCATTTCGTTCATCATCATCATCATTTCAGCCATAGGACGTCCACTGCTGAAAATAGGCCTCCCCCAATGCTTTCCATGTTGATCGATTGGTAGCGGCCTGCGTCCAGCGCTTCCCCGCTACCTTCACGATGTCGTCGGTCCACCTTGTGGGTGGACGTCCCACGCTGCGTTTTCCGGTACGCGGCCTCCACTCCAGAACCTTGCTGCCCATCGGCCGTCAGTTCTGCGTACTATGAGCCCTGCCTATTGCCACTTCAGCTTGCTAGCCACCAAGCATAGCCCTCTCCATAGCATGCTGTGCAACTTTGAGCTTCTGTATAAGCATTTTGTTCAATCTCACAGAATATAACAGTTCTGCATATAAAAGCGGGTTCATTACTTTTTTACACTTCAGAGGTTTTTACTCTAAGGCTTGCAGAAATTAAATGACTTATCGAATTTATCGTAAGGTTGACAATTGCTTGTCTCACAAAGGAATCGAACCGTTTGTTTCAGGTGGCAGATTTGCGACTACCCCCGGGCATAACATTAACGCGAGTGCAGCCTACGGAGAAGAAAGAAGCGCCCTCTATCAAGTCTGTGGTATGTAACATATCCTAATGAGGGCTATCGTTTTAGCGCTCACCAGTTAGCGCCACTGTAGAGTAAGGTCCTGTCACTTGCTAGTAGCGAAGACAGTGGCGCCAACTTGTGAGCGCTAAAGTGGTAGGAGGACTATCGCATTTGCACTCATCAAGATGGCGCCACTGTAGAGTAAGGTCCTGTCAATCGACAGGGGTGCCAACTGTTAAGTATAAAAACGATAGCCCTCATTAATATTATAAATGCGAAAGTTTGGATGTCTGGATGTTTGTTACTCTTTCACGCAAAAACTACTGAACGGATTTTGTTGAAACTTTACAGTATTATTGTTTGTAACCCAGATTAACATATGGGCTATAATTTATGCCGATCTGTGACACTAAATTTCACGCGGATGAAGCCGCGGGCAAAAGCTAGTAATAATAATATGCCCTTGACACCATTTATAAATGTTGCAAGGAACAACTTTGCATAAAGAACACATTTTGATTTTAAAAACTCTAAAAGTTGTTTTGAAATTAATATTGAGAAACACGGATCTCAACGCAACATTTTTGCTTTGGAATTATATAATAAAAACGGGACTATTCCCACCTCTCGTTCCCACCACTGCAACTCCTGTGTAGCCAGGATCTACCTACAGCTTGACCGCCATAAAAACCCAAACAATGAAGGTCAAGTTTGTCCCGGGGGAAAGTTAATTTTTTTTTTTTTTATGTGATAGGAGGCAAACGAGCAGACGGATCACCTGATGGTAAGCAATTGCCGTCGCCCATGTACACCCGCAACATCAGTGAAGTCACAAGTGCGCTGCCAACCTTTTAAATCCCATTCCCCCCCAATTGGGCCTCCGGTATCCTCACTCACTCGGCGAAACACAGCGCAAGCGCTGCTTCACGCCGGTTTTTTGCGAGGCCGTGGTATCACTCCGGTCGAGCCGGCCCATTCATGCCGAAGCGTGGCTCTCCCACGGAACAATTGTTGAGTGCTGAACTGCTGGGTCATAGGTTATATAAAAAACCGAAATATTCCACTCGGGCGAAGCCGCGGGCGGAAAGCTAGTCTATACTAATATTAATATTAAGAGGAAAGATTTGTACCTATTTTTGTATGTTTGTAATGAATAGGCTCAAAAAATACTGGGCCGTTTTAAAAAAATCTTTCACCATTCGAAAGCTACATTATCCACGAGTAACATAGGCTAAATTTTATTTTGGAAAAACATAGGGTTCAGGGGTCCACGCGCGTATCTTATATATATAAAAGAAAGTCGTGTTAGTTACTCCACTTATAACTCAAGAACGGCTGAGCCGATTTAGCTGAAAATTGTCAGGGAGGTAGTTTAGAGCCAGGAGAAGGACATAGGATACTTTTTATCCCGTTCGAAATTAAAAAAAAAGTCTGCTTATTTATTGCCATTAAGGCGGAACAAAGTTCGCCGGGTCAGCTAGTATTATAAAGAAAGTAACCTATTTGAAACATAAATCATTGTGTGTTACAGCCTCTATGGAAGTGCGGCGCCCTAGCGGCGACGCCGACGCCTGTCGCGCGGCCGCCGCCCGTCATACACGCCGATCCTTCCATGATGATGTTCGCCCATCACCAGCCTGGTAAGAACCTTTGTTACATCATCATTTCAGCCACAGTAGCCTAATGAATACATGGCTTAACCATGTATTTGTTACGGTTAATGTGATAAATTGAAAATTATTAATAAATAATAACCGGTTATTATGAATAATTCCCGACAGTCGCGGTAAAAGTGATAAATTAATCACATTTAACAGTGATTATTTAATAATTTAGCCTTAATACTAACAAATTTCATAAAAGAGAACAACATCTTGTGTACGTGTTCGTGTACAGCCAAACTTTTGAACGTTTTGATATCATATATTAATATAATTTGACATAATGCGTTTGGAATGTTTCTTGCATAATATTACTTTTCCATGATGCCTATAACATAATGTTTTGATTTAAAGTGAAAAATAGGTTAAGGTGCGGCGGGGGTGGCCCTTGGGCCACCCCTAAGCCGCCTATTTAGTTTTATACACACATAAATGACCTCATATTAACACTAGAAAGGCCGCCGTCCCATTTTTGTCCCACTCGCGAGTTTGATCAGCTCTAACTTTTTTATTTTTCAACGAAAGTCCATGAAACTTTTTGACTTTTTCTGATTTATTGAATTTCATCATTTTTTAATGTTTTTGATAATATAACATCTAGATAGAAAATTTTTTAAAATCGGTTTTACCTAGAAGCGCCACTGGGTCAATTTTGTCCCACCCTGGTATTTGCCACAATAATTCGATGAAGAGTCCTTTTTTTCGAGGAGATAAAGTGGAGAGGTGAGGAGAGTTTTGGTGGCTCGTGGCAATGCAGAAATTTAAATATATTGTACTAGTTTTTGCCTGTGACTTCACCCGTGAGAAATTAAATTTATCATAGAAAGACCTAATTTCTTGACACTTGTCGTTGCTTTTTGACCAAATAACTGAATATTATTCTAAATTGTAGCCTATACTAAGTTATTCTAAAGTATTAACAATAAAATTGCAAAGTTTTATTAAGATCGGCTTAGTATTTTTTGCGTAAAAGAGTGAAAAAACATCCATAGATCTAACCATGAATCCATACTCACTTAGTTCAAGTTCCAGGCATATATCCACCTATTCATCCATCCTATCCATTCATCAGTCCATCCATCCTTCAATTCATCAATATTTATTAACTTTTATATTTATAATATTAGTAGGAAGATGGCCTCTAGACATAAGCCAGTTCATACATTGTATGATTTGATACATTTTTAAAATGTGTGCTTATAAAATTTTGAAGATTAAACGTACATACTTTTCATTGTAATTGGTCAAAAACTTCATTGTTTGTGTACAGATAACAGAAAAATAACCATACTTATAGAAATTCCTAAACACATAGTACACCAGATAGACAAAAAACCATACAAAAAAACTTTGTGCAAAATGTGCACTATTATTTTTAAGATATTTATTTTTTCTTTAAAAATAATAATGACTAGTTAAAGTAGTAATTTCATGATTTTAATACAGTATACCACCACGTAATATGTGACTATTTTTAAATGAAACCAAAAATATCTAAATTTTAATAATTCCAAATTAAAATTGAATACATTTATATTTTTAAAGAAATAAGTACATATTGTTTTAACTACATAGATAAACCTTTTTTTAAGGATACTACAAATAGTTTTAACCATAATATTCATGCCTGAAACTAAAAAATGTTACAAAATACATGCTGGGACAAAATTGACCCAGCGGCGCTTTTAGGGGGGTCGTAATCTTCGGCACTTCTAGTGTTAATCACATTTACCAAATCATGCGGTAATTATTCATAATAACCGGCGATTATTCATAATTTTCACATTTATCACTTTGACCGTAACATATTCATTAGGCAACATTTGTTGATAAACACTGTTTATAAACTGTTCATAAACAATGTTGCGTAATGTTTCATCATCTCTGTAAACAGTTTATAAACAGTCCATAAACATAGGTGATGAAACATTGTTTATGATACATGTTGCCGTGCTCCCCGCTATGAGTGGAGAACAAGTGTGGACGGCCAAGTTTCAGAAACCTGTGTTTATGGTAAACTTGTTTCACATTAGTCATAAACAGTTGATCAACAAATGTTACCTAATGAATACATGGCTTTATTCACGTTACAAACAAACCTTCAACAACAACAAATCGCTGAGTTGCGGTCCTATCGAGTAATCGTTCTATCGAAATGACACGTGAATACGGATTTAGAACTGTTTTTCAATGGGACGATCGCGACGTAAACTTCAATGACAACAAATCGCTGAGTTGCGATCCTATCGAGTAATCGTTCTATCAAAATGACCCTTGTGAATACGGATTTAGAACTGTTTTTCAATGGGACGACTTCTAAACGTCAACGAGATTTTGACTGTGTCAAAATACGCGAATTAGGCCACAGGACGTCCACTGCTGAACATAGGCCCCTCCAATGATTTCCACATCGCCCGGTTGGTAGCGGCCTGCATCCAGCACCTTCCTGCTACCTTTATGAGGTCGTCAGTCCACCTTGTGTTGTCCCATGCTTCGTTTTTCGGTACGTGACCTCCACTCCAGAACCTGGCCGCCCCACCTACAATTAAATATTCACAAAATAGGACAAATGAGCCAGAGTTCCAGCTATCCATTTCCGGTCATGTCGTCTCGTTCTATCGCATAGAATCGCCATTTGAGAGAAAAAACGGAAATGGGTAGCTGGAACTGTGGCCCACTGCACATAGGTGGCCTCATTTTCAATAAAGTACTAAAATCTGGTAACCGAGCACGTAGAATTACGTCCAATGACCCTAAGCTACCTGTAGCGGGCATTAGCGAGATTACTCATACGTATTCCTAATATGTAAAGCGTTATACAAAACTGTTTGAGATCTTATGTGACAAGTCAGTGTCTAATAAATCATCATCTAAAGTGTACGTTTCTTTTATCTTATGGACCCTCATACACACACAAATAGAGTAGACACCAAATACCCATCCTTATCGCTCGCGCGTAATTATATTGCTGTCGCGACTGTGCGACGGGCGCCCGCAGTGAGTGTGCGAGCGCGACAGCAATTTAATTACGCGCGAGCGATAAGGATGGTAGCTTGTGGTCATTGGACGAATAAAAGTTAAGATTTAAAATTGCGTTATTGTTCTCGGGAATAATGCTGATTTGATTTTTATCCACAGAACCTCCAAAACCAATAATCGTCCCGGAGCCGCCGCCGCCGGCGCCTGCCGTCAAGTCCAAAAAGGCCAAGAAGAAGGCAAAGAAAGCCGCCACCGAGGAACCCAAGCCCGACGCCAAGATGGTCACTCTAAGAAACCCGATGTTCCATCCAAATCTACCTCCAGTCCAAGTCACCTCTGCTCCAGTTCAGAAAAAAACAGAACAGATCAGGATACCTGATCCTATACCGATGCCGCCGACCCCTTGCCAAGCAACTATTACTCCTACGTCCAATGGGATGTATACCATCAGAAACCCTCTTATGTCCATGATGCATCAACAAAGTTTAATGGGAATGCGCCCCCAAACGCCCCAAGTGAATCCCATGTACAATCCACAGTTCAACTACGTCAATCCGAATGTCTACAATCCAGTGCAGACAGTCCCGAATCAGTACATGGAGAGAACTTCACCTAAACAGGACGAGTTTCAAAATAGGATCATGAATTTGGCATCGTTCACACAAAAGAACGATGAGGGGTATTCCTTGTTCAAGACCAACGATGATCATCATCAAAGAAGCTTCCTATCACCGGAGTACTACGTTGACAATGCTAGCCCGAAGCCAGTGGTCTCACCGAACCCAATTGGAACGAGACCGAACAACGAATCTAACCGTTCCTTCGATTCAAACGACTCATCACTATTTGCAAATCCCATACAGAGACCGGAGCCAATTGGGACTCCGTTGAAACGTGATGAAGAAAGGAACGACTTCACCGGACTGTACACTCCGTTTGGACATGAAGACAGGAATGTGTTCCGCAGTGCACTGTTCAGTGATAAGTGTGACATCGGTGGAAACGCTGGCAAGTTTGACGATGTGGCCAACCATATGGCCAACGGTGACTCGCTGCCTTACTTCCAGAGGCTACGTGTTGGGTCCAAGCTGAACAACGAAGTGACCATACACCATGTGACGGAGTCCAAGTTTTACAAAGGGCAGGTTAGTTGTTCCAATTTTGTGCCTAAGCTCAACTTGACTTCAGACTTGTTTACAAATAATAAGGGGTAATTTTCAAACAAGTTTGAATCAGTTGGAAAAAATGGCATTTCAGCATGCCACTGGGTTTAATGCACAAAATCTACTGACATGTTGTTGGGTATAGTATAGATTTAAATAGATATTGAAGTTATACAGTATGGATACCAGATAATGGTACAGGAACAGTATAGACCACCTGTATTTTGCATAGTTTGATACTGTGTCGCGCTGTTTATTATTTGTATACAGGTTGTAAAATAGCACCCTACAAATAAACATAACATGCGTCTGCTAAAAGTCGCATAGTTTAATACAGGGTGACCCATTCGTAGGTTGATAAAAAAAGGATTGATTCTTCTGCTGAAAAGTAACAACTTTCCCCAAGAGAGAAAGGTAAAATTTTTCAAATAGAAACTGATTCATACAAATTGTCATCAGTAACAGCCAATTAGTATGGAATCCTTTCCTATCCTTTATGTTTCATACCCCACGAATGGATCACCTGAATAACACTAATACCGATTTAGCATTGTTATTAAAAACTATAGTATGGTCTGCGAGCACGTAGAATTTTGTCCAATGACCCCAAGCTACCCATCCTTATCGCTCGCGCGTAATTATGTTGCTATCGCGCTCGCACACTCACTGCGGGCGCCCGTCGCACAGTCGCGACAGCAATATAATTACGCGCGAGCGATAAGGATGGGTAGCTTGGGGTCATTGGACAAAATTCTACGTGCTCACAGACCGGGCTTTAGCTTTGGCTTTAGCTCAAGATCGCTAAAGGTCAATTTGTTCGTTCCAGGAGCCAATAGAAGGGGAGTCGCTATTCTCTCGCATGCACAGCGGCTGGCCGGCGCCGGCGCCGCTCAGCAACAACAACAATATCGGTGAGTAGTAAGTATTGTTCTCATTCTTAACCGTATTATTTAATTCTTAAGGCTTTTAATCGGATAAGCAAATAATAATTACAATTTTTATTACTCTTAGGGCTTTTATAAAAAAAAATCTCAGTTACCATTAAAAGGATCTTTTATGCGATGAGTGACGAGACGATGCATGTTTTTTTAGTGTTATAAATTTGATTTTTATTTCGTAACTAAATTGTAATATCATTAAAAAACATTCAACTCTGATATTAATAGTCGCTAAATTAATCGTCGTAAGAAGTCATTGCCATTAAGTTACAAATTCAGATTTAATTTTACTAACATAAATGCAATGTTTATATGAATGTTAGAATAATACTTTTAACACAAAAAAGACTGAAGTGATTATGATGACTGTCGTATTATTGTTTATACATCAAAATAACGTAGGCTATTGGCTAAGAATAACGTTACTCTTGTAGCAGAGTTTTGGCTAACCTGTGGCAAAATTAATTTCATGCAGGCGAAACCGTATAAAAGCTAGTTTGTAAATGTAAAACATGCAATTGTGAGACCTGTAAGCCTAAGATGCACGCCGTGATAAGCGTGTTTATCAGGTAATTTAATCGATTTCACGTGATAAGCTCATATATTTGTCGTCTAAAAACAACGATAAGATTTTATCACGGCGCGCATCCTAGCCCGGCTGATCCATTATATGTGTCCATCTGTTGTACCACATTTAAAGCAAATAAATGATGATGATGATGACATTCGTCGACGTTTGAGATCTTCCAACCACAGGCCATCACAACATTTATTGTTCTGAAGCCGTGGTTGCATTCATACTGGGACGTGTAAAAATCGTATTTGCATCAAATAAATAATTTTTCTTCCTTTCCTCCCAGGGCACCCCCACCAATCCGGCCGCTCGTCTCCCACGGGATCCTCGCTGTGCTCGTCGTCCGCCGGCGCCTCCGCCGAAGACGACGCGCCCTTCGGAGCCGTCGGGACCAGGCACGCGACCGTACATGCTCACGCGGGCTCGCACGTGGGGTAGACGTAACTAGCACGTGCCAGTGTACCTTTGACATCATAGTCTGTTTATTATACAGGGTAACTTTGCAATCAGAAAGAAAGAAAAAATGTTTATACGAAAACAAAACACGCACGATGGCCCACCTACAGGATACTATCCGACAAGGCCTCACATACGAGCGAACATTGACTCACGCACGCGTATTCTTGTGTATGATGGAAGAAAATAAAGAAAATGGTGTATTTAACTGCCTAAATAATAATAAAAACACAGAATTTACTTTTTTAAACTGCCTCAAGATACTGAGAGGTAAATAAGTAGTTAATATTATTCATGATAATTCATGCTAAATCATGTATTTCCTCCGCCATTTTCCGCAGTTTGGCACCTCACGTCACATCATTTTACCGAAGTCAGCCCTATAGCTTCGGCGCAGTGCCGATCACTGACGTTTGTCAACAAAATGGTGCTTGANGATAATTCATGCTAAATCATGTATTTCCTCCGCCATTTTCCGCAGTTTGGCACCTCACGTCACATCATTTTACCGAAGTCAGCCCTATAGCTTCGGCGCAGTGCCGATCACTGACGTTTGTCAACAAAATGGTGCTTGACTCTTGAGACAGGCTAAATTACACCATATTGTTAATGACATTGAGCATACATTTTTTTAAATACCTTCGCGAAGTAAAACTTCTGTACGTAGTACTTATTATTATTCTGTGGTATCATCGACAATACACTTGACTTACAACAATACTTAAAAAAAATTTAACGAGTAATTACAATGATACTGAAAAGGTATCCACTCGGCATGGTGTCGTAGCATCTCAATAGATAATGCCACGACGCTGGTCTTCCGTAGAAACCCAGACAAAGAGAGCACTACTAAGCACAACAATTGCTCATTAATCATTATACCTACTCGTATACCTTAAAAATCCGTTACATATTGCACACCTTATATTATTTAACTCTTTACATAATTATAACAAAGTTAGCACACAGTTACCATAATAACCATAAATAGCAATACATATTTTCAATATTTATTTTCCGAATCGTTGTATGATTAAAAATAATTAAGATAACATTGTATTTTAAATTGTTCTATAGAATAAGCTCTATAGAGCTTTTTAAAAAAAAATGGATACTGATTGCTAAATCACCCTGTATATTTTCTATTTCTCTGTAACTAATGTATTTTGATGCGATTTTCACTAAAATATTGTTAACATTCTAAAGATTATTTTGGTCTACTTTAGACCTCGCCCCTTAAGAATAAATTCCAATTATTGGAGAATAATTTATTTAAATATTATTAATATTACATGGATGCGTGTAGTTTCTAAAGTTATTTCATTTATATTGATAACTGATTGCAGTCAGTGCTAGACTATGATGTCAAATGTAAACCGAATGATAAAAAACTAACGGCTTATACTGACCGCGTCATATCTAAAGCCTTGATCACACGTACCGAGCAAACGGGCGACTCGGGCGAGACAGTGCTCTCGGCCGAGTACTCGGTGTGTATGAACATTACGCCGAGTGCTCGAGTATGTGACTCGCTCACCCAACTGTCTCGACCGAGTAAACATTTTACTGTCTCGCCCGTTTACTCGGTACGTGTGATCAAGGCTTTAGAGGGTAGTTTTGGGGTGCAACTTAATCACCCTTTTATACACGTTTCTCTCACACGCCATACTCATCGCTTATACCGTTAGCTGTTGCAATTTAGCTCGGAAATATTATAAACGTTTTAAGTTTTTTTATTTCTGTCACAATTTAGTACTTACAGAGCAGGCCTGTATATCCAAAATTGTACTATAGGAATCTTTTTTTTGTAATCTTTGTCACTCATTTAAAAAAGCTGTTTCTCTGAGTTACGTTTTATTGCAATAGCTATATGAGCAGTGAGTATGGTATAATAGCTACACTTTAATCGAATGTTGACCATTCGACAACATCCTTCGTATTTTTAATTGATATACAAATTTTGTCTACCACTATTTTATTTGAAATAGTTAGTTTCTTTCTTAAATTATCATGTATCTGTTTGTGTATATTTGTGATTTGACTAATGTGTAGCTAATCATGAGATTAAATGTGGTATATTCCTTCATTGATATAAATGTAAAAAATCATATGGACAGCAAGTTAAATTGCCAAAAGTGACGATATAAAGGATTTTGAATTGTATGTCTTAAAAATAAGACTTAAATTGTACTTTAGTACAGTACACCGACAAGCCAATGGATTTTTTGAAATAGTCAGCGTCAAATAGTTCGTGACCCCCAAAGTAGTCAAAAAGTTCGCAACACGTCTTTGTTGGAATTGAAATAAGGTTGTGTAACTTTTTGGCCACTTTGGGTGTCACGGACTATTTAACTGACTGTTCTTTAACCAATAATATTTGTTTAAATGTTACTACAATATTACTTTTCTTAGTATAAAAAATCCATTGGTGAATACATGTCGGTGTATAAAAATATTTACTTGACGTTAACACGGTTATGACAGTGATGAAAATCACTTACCCAAATGTGACTGTACCGTTTTCGGTAAAACTTTCAAGATTGTGACACATCCAAGATTGACAAAATCGTTTCGTCCAACGTTCATTGCAATTTGGATTTAATTTGGGTGCATTTGAAATAAATTTTTGAATGTACATAATAGTTTTCATGCTGAAATTTTTATTTCTGGTCAAATATTTGCGAATTGATCGATTCATAAAATTAATTGTTATCTCTAGTACACTAAGGTTAATTTTTCTCTGGACAGTTATCGCAAATATTTGACCAAATACGCCAAGTGAATGCTGCATTGTGTGGGTAGTCAGGTGCATAGTAATGTATTCACTTCGGGCAGACGTTGAATCTTATTTCAAGTGTATACGGTTTAAAATTGAATAGAAATATGTAGTTGCTTGTGCATCTGACTACATACTATACGAACGATTATTTTCGTAGAAAATGAAAGGAAATATTTCTTGTCACAAAGTTTTATATTGATGATTTATTATTTCTGCCAAAATTGTGAATGACGTACATTGTTTAACATAAATCATGGTATTAAATACCATAAGTATATAATTGTAATCCCAAGCATCTGATATACAACGGGCGAGACGCAATTTGACAGTCAAACTTGAGCGTTAAATGACAGCTGTCAAAATAGCTTGTACATTACACACCGCTTATAAGCCTGTAGTTTGCCAGATGCTTTGGAGTTTGACAAACTTAAGCATGACTATATTTTTAACAGTGTAAATCTTTAAAAATGTTTTGTCATCCCTGACATTTAAGTCGTGGATAATTTTGGCAACCCTACAATGAAAGTTGGACGTACAACGTCAAGTTAACTGCGCACCTCGCTGAATGCGTCGATGTGACGTCACGGCCGCCAGGTGTGCAGTTAACTTGACGGTTGTAAGAACTCGCGAGAGACCTCGCCATTGAGCCCGATTGTATTTAGTAATCACTATAAGCGCCACTAAGCATAGTATCTTGTATCACTATATATAATAGAATGATTTTGTCTGTATGTCGTCTGTGCAGAGGTTGTAACGACGTATCTGATAAGTAAAATGTATATTATAGCTGAGCTTGCAGTTTCATTACTTACATAATATCCTTTGGTGTAGTGTGCCACAGTTCCAACTACCTATTTCCGTTTTTTCTCTCGCTCTCATCAAATTATTCATCTAACATGAAAAGTGAATTTAATGATTGATAACGACAGTTGATTAAACCTTATAACACTGTCACTGTATTAACAGGAGTTATACTAATTTCTCTGAATACACTTCATTAAATTTTATAATGTTGAGAAATACATAAATTATAATAATTTTATAATAATTTTGGCAGCTTGCAGTAGTTAAATATTTTTTTTTTTTTTTTTTTTTTTTTTTTTTTTTTTTTTTTTTTTTTTTTTTTTTTTTTTNATTATTAGTAATTTGTTATTACACAAATTACTAATACTCCCGTTAGCCCCTCGTACTAAGCTAAATATGCTTGTGTCACGAGTGAGCTCACCACAATAGTCGAGCGGCGGCGGGGACCGAACCCGCGTTCCCCGGATCACGAGTCGGCCAGTCCGACCCCTTCACCATTCGGCTATCGTGGCTTCTTTAAAATGAGTAAATGAAATTCAGTATTCATTTCAAATTAGTTTATTCTTAAAAGTTATATGTCAAATGTCGCGACGCTGTTACGTCACGATACAATATAGCAAGTCTCAGTTATGCGCTAAGCTATTCTCCGCTAGTGTCGCTTGTTCGGCGCGTGCGGCGAATGTTCGCGGCGGCGCTTGCGGCGCGCGAGCGGCGCGGCGCTCAGGCCCGCGTGTGCCTGCGCCGCCAACAACATGCCCAGCTGGCCTGCAGCCTGCAATGGAAATACACCTTTATGTCTGTACTCGATGAGAGATGGCGGAAGATCGTGCGGAGAGTTATATCCGCCTCTACAACCGATGTGAACAACGCCTCAACGTGACCACGACCGCTCTGCCAAGAGCGTAATGAAGAAGAAGTCTGTACTCGGAAGGTTGTCTATTGCTAGCTGTAGGGCTAGGGTGTAAAATCTTTTCGACGATTTCAGAAAAGACGAATGTTTACAACAAGCCTATCGTTGTAAAATCGATAAAAGTTTATAGTGACGCGAGTCCGCGATACTATCATCATGTTCTGTAGAACATGCCACACTGACTAAAAGCCATTTTGGTTCAATAAATTCTGACAAATTATTCGTGTTAAACTGTTTTAACCCAATTTTTTCTTCTTCTTTCATCCTAGTCTAAGGATAAACTTGGCCTTCACTGGTTGGGTTTTTTTTGGCGGTCAGCTGTAGATTCTGGCTAGTAGCTACACTAAGAGTTGCAGCGATGGGAACGAGAGGGAGGAATAGTCATCTGAACTGTCAAATTCAAAAAACGGTTCTATTTGATGTGACGGCGGCATCTCGCATATCTTTTTATCACACAGTGTTGCTGCTCGTGACATTTCGCTCGCTCAATTCTTTATTGCTCTATTCCGCTAGGGATATTATCTTTATGCCCTAAAGTCCAGTCGCCGAGCACATGGAATTTTGTCCAATGACCCCAAGCTACTCATCCTTATCGCTCGCGCGTATTTATAATTATTGCTGTCGCGCTCGCACACTCACTGCGGGCGCCCGTCGCACAGTCGCGACAGCAATATAATTACGCGCGAGCGATAAGGATGGGTAGCTTGGGGTCATCGAACGAAATTCTATGTGCTCGACGATCGGACTTTAGATACGCCAATGGTGGACTGACCTCTTCATGCATCTCCTTGGCCATGCAATACACGCTGTGCTCGCTGCTGTTGTACATGAGCGCGTTGGACAGCATCAGAAGCACGTCGCGTTGGAACTCCGCCGTCGTTCTGCAGAACAAACGATACACTCGATTTAGAATGAAAATATACAGGATGTAAAAACTAAATAATGAAATTAGCAGCAGTAATTTGTATATTTAGAACCACCGCACACAATACACATGTTACGTTTAGCGCAAACGCGACAGCGACAGCTCGGCCACTCGACGCTAATTCTTATCAATTTATACTATTTTATCGAATCAAATGTGCGACGCTTTGAACAAAATATATGTAATTGTCGGCCGCAGCCTGACGTCGCGTCTAAGTTGTCGTCCAGTGTGCGCCTACAGTTAGCATCGGCGATTTACCAGCTTTTAGAAGCTGAATGCAGCGACAGCAGTCGCTAAAATGCGCGATTCCGATACAGTCGCAAAATCGCCGATCACCGTTTGTAATCTCTTAAATGTAAAGTTAAATTAGCAATAAAACAATCATTTAAATATACGCAATATAAAATTATCTATGTTACATAATATAAAACGACAAAGTCAGTTGAGGGATGTTTCCTGGATAAAAAAGAGTGTGTTTGAATTAGTCAGTCAGTTAACTTTTAAATAAATACTCGACTTTTTAAAACTAATGAAAATGTTAAGAGATTAAGCACGCCAAAGCTCAAAGAAGAGGCCCGAGACGTCAATTCGTGCTTAAATGTTTAGCACTTTGTGACGTCACGCGGAACATCAACGCACCATAACATCGCAATTACTTGTTTGTTTGTTTGACATACAAAAAATATGTATCCAATATTGAAGAAAACTTGACTGAATATATTTGAAACTAGCTTACTGATGGAGTACTCTACTAACACCACAGTTAAAGAAGAAAGCATACCTGATGACGCCATTCTCGATGTTTCTTCGAATAGCTGTAAGGTCCATGGGCCTCTTGACGACGGTACTATAACCGGGCGCCTCCTCATCGCTGATGGGTCGCAGAAACAGCGACGCATACTTGTGGGCACATAGTCTGTGGATAATTAAAACGATTAAAGTCTGATGAAGTATAGTTAGCGTATCGGAAAACGCACCGTAAGACATCCACCCACAAGGTGGACCGACGACATCATAAAGGTAAAGCCTGGTCCGTGAGCACGTAGAATTTTGTCCAATGACCCCAAGCGACCCATCCTTATCGCTCGCGCGTAATTATGTTGCTGTCGCGCTCGCACACTCACTGCGGGCGCCCGTCGCACAGTCGCGACAGCAATATAATTACGCGCGAGCGATAAGGATGGGTAGCTTGGGGTCATTGGACAAAATTCTACGTGCTCACGGACCAGGTTTTAGCAGGAAGGCGCTGGACGCAGGCCGCTACCAACCGGCCAACATGGAAAGCATTGGAGGAGGCCTATGTTCAGCAGTGGACGTCCTGTGGCTGAGATGATGAAGTTTAGTTGTTGCAATTCACGAAGGCGAGTGAGCTTTACATGTGTGGTGGCTTGCTACTGTTAGTTTGTCAAAAGTTTTGATAGACATATTATTACACTACCGTTATGTGCATGTACTATCGGCAACAGTGTTAACAGCCTATTGCCAGTCATGTCATCTCGTTCTATCACAAAGAATCACTATTTGATAAGAGCGAGAGCAAAAACGGAAATGGATAGTTAACAGTGTGGCCGTGTGTACACGTACAGTTGCTTATGGTCTCAACAAATCCTAACATTAAAAAACCATAGCAATAGTAACAGGACTCAATTAGGCTGTCACAGGTAAGACACACAATTTGGAAACCGGTCTTTTTATTGTAAAATCCTTGCATCGTAAGGTAACAAGCTAACGAGACGGGGAAGATCATTCTCTTTTACTATACATTACCTATTTTGGGTTCAGGTATCTTATGAAGACCTACTAAATATTCTTGAGACCAACTACGACAGACATTTCACCACAAATACACCCTAAATATTTATCTTAGGGTACAATTGCACACAAAATATTTATCTTAGGGTACAATTGCACACCAAATATTTATCTTCGGGTACAATTGCAACCCACATATTTATCTTCGGGTACAATTGCACTCCAGTACTAAACCGACCTGCTATAGACCAGCATGACAGACTTCTTCCACAGCCTATGCTGCCGCTCGGCATCGCTTGCGGACGGCGAATCCGGTGCGCTCGCTTCTGCCGCGCTCTCCGACCCGGAACATGCTAGAAGGAAAAAAATGAATTGTATACATATATTTTATCTATAGGTAGACTGAAATACGGACAGTTAAGTTACACCGAGTTAATAAGATCCGAACGTGTGGGCTAAGGTGAAGTTTCATAACGAGTATATTGAAACCAAAGGAAACTAAACTATAAAGCATTTATTATACAAGTACTTTTAGGCTTTCAAAAAGCGCTTTTACACGTCCCAGTATTCCTTTAACTTTAATTGTAAATGGACCAGTGCTGAGAAAACACAGCACAAGAAATTCAGTCACAACCTTGGTGAACTTTGTTTTTGTTAATTTCGTGCACAGTCTGTTTGTACTATAGACAGTAATACTCAGTATACAGGGTGTTAGGTAAATGGGTATATGAGCCGACACTTACCCATGTTAATGTTCATACAAATCAGATTTTATAAAATTTATATTGTATGAAAATTTAAAAAATTAAAATGATGTTATCAAATTTCTGACTTCACCATACCATTTATATGACCATGTTAACATGGGCTAGTGTTGGCTCATATAACCATTTACCTAACACCCTGTAAAGTCGACCTGTCGCATTAATCTACCCCAAAATTACAAATTTACATACAATAGAAATTAAAATTTATAATTTATTATTAAAATAAACTGTTATTTAAAACATTAAACAACTTACTTCTCGAATCGGACTTCTTCTTCCGCGAATAATCTCTCTTCTTCTTCCCATCTTTTTCTTCTTCTCGACTCAGCTGTAAATAAATTGTATTTAGGCTTAAATTATTATTTAAGTTTTTACTGTTAAACTAGTGACCCGCCCCGGCTTCGCACGGGTGTTAAGTAAGTAGGTATACATTATAAATATACCTCTTAAATCACTCTTCTATTTAAAAAAAAAACCGCAACAAAATACATTTGGTTTTAAAGATTTAAGCATACATAGGGACAGAGCGGAAAGCGACCTTGTTTTATACTATGTAGTAAAAACAATATGGAATAATGGATGAGGGCAGCGAAGGACCGGTCATTGTGGATATCCTTGAGGGAGGCCTTTGTCCAACAGTGGGCGTTCTGTGGCTGAAATGATGATGATTCTTTGCTACAATAATGCTCCTGCAATGGAGACTGTACATGTGCCGGAATACGCAGCGTTGACCAACCACAAGGTGGACCGACGACCTCGTAAAGGTAGCAGGAAGGCGCTGGATGCAGGCCGCTACCAACCGGGCGATGTAGAAATCATTGGGGGAGGCCACAGATCACAGAAACTGAAGGGAGATGTGACAAGGGGGCGGGGCCGTTGTCGCAGCAATATGCCCAAAAACACACATTGCTCGCGACAGCAATGATGACAGCAGCGACGTCATAATGTAAACAGTTTACATTGCTTGCATAGTACTAAAGATTATTCGAACGTTGAGTATTGATACCGCAGTGGATAATGAGGACATATTTTGATTACTTTGGGTGTGTGAATTTCTAATGCGACACTGGGTTTCAAACCCAGCGCATTAGTTAACATCTCTCTATATCTATGTGGGAGGCCTACGTTCAGCAGTGGACGTCCTGTGGCTGAAATGTTGATGCATGGCGACTAAGGCCCAGAACAGACGGTGAAACGCAACTGCAACGAAACTGCAACTGCTAGTTACTTTTGAGTTGCATCTAAGTTTCTGCCATAGCGTCCGTTGAGAGACCACACATGACGCGACCAGTTTGAAACTTTTAGTTTCAGTTTCATTTATCAGAATCATTAGAAAGTTGCAGTTTCGTTGCAGTAGCGTTTCACCGTCTGTTCTGGGCCTAAATGACCTGTTGATGATATCACTGACCTCCATCGGTGTATCGTCATCAGTTTCCGTGTGCGTATCTTCGGTCTCTGCCCTCTCTGTTTTTGTCTCTGCGTCTCTCTCTCTCTCTTGCGCGACAGAGGCGGCCTCTTCGCGCATCATCTCTTTCAATGGTATTGAATCCTGAAACAACATACAAGTGTGACTTTGTGACGTCACGCGGAACTTCATCGCATCATAACTTCGTAATTACTTGTTTGATTGACAAATACAAATATTCGTGTTCCAATATTTTTTGTTAATGCAATTGACGGACAAAAAGTTTTTCTTTAAGAAACTAGTTTTTTGGATTGTATATTTGTAAGGATCGAACCCGGGACCTCTCATTGTAATTCGATCTAAATCTGTTTTTTGCTTAGTATTCTAATATCTTATTATGGCTTCAGGCTTTTAACTTTTTTCATATATCGTACTGTTTATACTGCATGCTAAATAATTTTTTTTGGATTGTACATATTTTGACATGCTATTTGTGAAAACTGTGTAAGACTTTTTGATCTTAAGTATACCCATTTGTAGATCAAATTATCGTAAAAATAGTTTCATCATTAGAGCCACTAACAAATATAATACAGCATTTTGTCATTTAGACATCTTTCATGGACGCATTGTGAAGTTTCGCCGTCTCCTTCAATCTACTTGATCTTTAGCGTATCCATGTTATTGTGTTTAACCTTTTTTTTTTTGTTAATTTTTTATAATGTTTTAATGTTTATATTTTCTTTTGCATGCATAAATTTATGCTTCACATCTGTCTCCTTTCCAACTTTGACTGTACAACCTAGCTTTAGAAACTTTAAAGGCCAATGTATAACCCACTTAATTTTAAGCTGCATGTGTCAAACAAGGCTGTATGTTTCTTTAATAAAGATAAATAAAATAAAAATAAAATTAACCGCTTTATCTATATGCTGTTTGTTTTCCATAAAATAAATAAATAAATACCTCAGCATCTTCGTCTTTCTTGTCATCTTCTTGGGTACTCTCTTCTGTGCTTTGCTCCTGCTTGATTTCTTCTAAAATGGGTTCTTCTACGTTGCTTGAGACTTCTATTTCTTCTTCTATGATTTGTTCGGCCTCTGGCTCCGGCGGCGGCGGCGGTTCTGTGGGATATTGAATTTTAAATATATAGGACAGTAGGTTTATTCTTCTGTGATTGTTTATGGCTACCACTTTCTTAGATTAGAACCTGTATGGATTTCAATATCCAAAATTATATTTCTGTAATAAATTTTAACTTATAACGGCATACAGTTCAACCAATTGGCTTCTTAAAGTCTCATAATAACTATTTATTTATTTACTATTAGTACTAGCACAGAATAATAATAAGTACTACGTACAGAAGTTTTACTTCGCGAAGGTATTTAAAAAAATGTATGCTCAATGTCATTGACAATATGGTGTAATTTAGCCTGTTTCAAGAGTTAAGCACCATTTTGTTGACAAACGTCAGTGATCGGCACTGCGCCGAAGCTATAGGGCTGACTTCGGTAAAATGATGTGACGTGAGGTGCCAAACTGCGGAAAATGGCGGAGGAAATACATGATTTAGCATGAATTATCATGAATAATATTAACTACTTATTTACCTCTCAGTGTCTTGAGGCAACTTAAAAAAGTACATTCTGTGTTTTTATTATTATTTAGGCAGTTAAATACTACACAGTATTTAGTACACCATTTAATTTTTCTTTATTTTCTTCCATCATACACAAGAATACGCGTGCGTGAGTCAATGTTCGCTCGTATGTGAGGCCTTGTCGAATAGTATCCTGTAGGTGGGCCATCGTGCGTGTTTTGTTTTCGATGTAAACTCGCGGAGATGAACAGGCCTGGTACTAGTAACTACCAACCTGAATGAATTTTAATTTGAACTTTATAATAAAGGCCCAATGTTCAAAATCTATTATCTCACTAAATACTTTAAATATACTGTTAATTGTGAAAAAATCTAAACGTTCAAATAACGGCATCGTTATAGCCAATGTCATGGTGACATTGACGTAGTAATGTCAATGTCACACTAGAAACGTCAGAATAAAGGGACGCGCGTGGACGACTCCGCGCGTTTTCGTGCAAAGTGATGAATTGTATTTTAAAAATGAGGCAATATAATGTGAAAGTTAAGTATCCAGTATTTTAATGAGAATGATGCCTGTTTTCACCATCAATCCCTAATTTTTAAGTGACCCCTATGGTAACACATAACAGGAATTTTGTTTTCAAAGGGGTCACTTAAAAATTAGGGATTTCCCAGCCTCTAATAAAATACCAACCTGCGACCGTTTCTTCCTCCTTGCTTTCCTCCGGCTCTTCAACCGGCGTTTCTGTGGGCAGCGGAATGGTTTCAGCGGGGGGCGGGGCCTCGGTAACAGTGGGCGGGGTTTCAGTCTCTTCTGGGGGCGGGGCTATCTCTTCGGCCGGTTCCACACTGGTGGAAAAGAGATAGGTATAACTTACCAAGGTAAACAGGGTTTAAGTACGACGCAAATTATAGAAAGAAAGAAATATTTATTACGATAACATCACTTAGAGAAAAAAGAAAGTATACGGAAAAAAAAACAGAAATCTATACTAATATTATAAATGCGAAAGTAACTCTGTCTGTCTGTCTCGCTTTCACGCCTAAACCACTGAACCGATTTTGACGAAATTTGGCATAGAGATAGTTTGAGTCCCGTCTTGTCCTTAACATAGGATAGTTTTTATCCCGGTTTTTGAAACAGGGACACGATAAAGTTTTTCTGTGACAGACAAAATTACACGCGGGCGAAGCCACGGGCGGAAAGCTAAAGCCCGGTCCGTGAGCACGTAGAATTTTGTCCAATGACCCCTAGCTACCCATCCTTATCGCTCGCGCATAATTATATTACTGTCGCGACTGTGCGACTGGCACCCGCAGTGAGTGTGCGAGCGCGACAGCAACATAATTACGCGCGAGCAATAAGGATGGGTAGCTTGGGGTCATTGGACAAAATTCTACGTGCTCACGGTCCAGACTATAGTAGCACATAATTAAGTATTACAAGGAAATAAAAAGTGAACTGAGCAGTGCCACCCTGTCGCACAGCGATGCCCATCGCAATGGGACCCCACTCAGCATATGCCAAGACCCACGGTGAGGAAGGCCACGACGCTGGTTTTCAGTGTGCCCCATGCCGAATGGAAGTCACAATATAGAGGGTGGTTTGTTGTTTGTTACTCTTTCACGCAAAAATTACTGAATTAATTTTAATGAACCTTTACACTATTATTTTGATTCGTCATAATAATATTACTGGCTATGATTCATAACGATGTAATTTAATTTATCATGCTGTGTATACTAATTATGGCTTACGGTCCAGTTTGTAATTTATTACCACTTTCTTTACGATCAAGCCTAGACTGTAAACTTTATACACCTATTACAAATTACAAATCCCAACTAAATGCGAAAATTATAAATGCGAAAGTAACTCACTCTGTCTGTCTGTCTGTCTGTCTGTCTGTCTGTCTGTCTGTCTGTCTGTTACGCTTTCCCGCTTAAACCTCGCAACCGATTTTGATGAAATTTGGCATAGAGATAGTTTGAGTCCCGGGAAAGAACATAGGATAGTTTTTATTCCGGTTTTTGAAACAGGGACGCGCGCGATAAAGTTTTTCTGTGACAGACAAAATTCCACGCGGGCGAAGCCGCGGGCGGAAAGCTAGTACATACATAAATGTGACAAATCAAAATTTCGGCGAAGTTGCGGGCACAAGCTAGTGTTTGATTTATGAGTCTCGTTTTGACAGTTTTAAAAAGTACGTCAATTGATTGGTGGTGTCAATTTTTTTATGCATAACAAGGCAGTTATTTGACCACAATCGCACCTGGTGTTAAGTGGGATGCAGTCTGGGATGGTACATATTTGCCCTGTAAGTGCCTATTCACTCTCGCCTTGAAAAGGTAAATAGTCTATTTTGGGACGCCCTGTATTACCTTTCGACGTCGACGGGCTGCGATTCCTCTTCTACGTCTTCATTGTTTGCTGCCTCCTCGGGCTCCGGCGGTGGTGGTTCTATTTCTTTCACTTCTTCTTTTACCTGTTTGAAATAAATATCCTACTACAATATTATAAATGCGAAAGTTTGGATGTCTGGATGGATGTTTGTTACTCTTTCACGCGAAAACTATTGAACGGATTTTGATGAAACTTTACAGTATTATTCTTTATAACCCAGAATAACATATAGGCCATGACGTTCTGTAACAAACTAAATTTCACGCGGGTGAAGCCGCGGGTAAAAGCTAGTTTGTAATATTGTAACGGGTTGTAAAAGTACTGTTTTTGCGACAAACGGCATAAACGCTCTTAACAGTGTAACCTTGTTGGTGATTTAAATAAATTAAATAACAATTTACTGACCTTTTGCTCGTCCTGTATGACCTTGATCTCAGGCGTGGGGAATTTGACCTCGGGGAAGGCAATCTTGACCTCGGGCTCTTCGGGCGGCGACGGCTCCTCTATCGGGACCTCATGGGACACCTGGGTGTTTATTTAGAACTTTATTTGTATGTACAGTCACGGAATGAAAAGGTTCGTCAGTTTTCAAATTGATTCCTTCAACGAATCACGAGCACATATTATTATTACCTTTTGAAACTATGTTACAGAATAATTTCGAGTTAGAGAAAATAATCTTTAATCTAAAATTATTCAGATCAAAGTTGTTTGACGATTTAACTTGTCAAGAAGATTATTATGATTGATAAACGAAAACCTTTTTGTTGGTTCAACCTGCCATTATCTATTAAATAAAAAAAACTACATTTTGTAACATTGCACTGATGGGATAGGAAAATAAACAAGCAAAACCTTATTCGTTAGCAAACGTCATATTTATTTAAATGTTAGCAGCACTGTTTCTTGCACGGTTATGTTGGCAGGTTTGACTCTTACAGTACCTAAAGCCTAGTCCGTGAGCACGTAGAATCCCGTCCAATGACCCCAAGCTACCCATCTTTATCGCTCGCACGTAATTATATTGCTGTCGCGACTGTGCGACGGGCGGCCGCAGTGAGTGTGCGAGCGCGACAGCAACATAATTACGCGTATGTATGTCATCAGTAACAGCCAATTAGTATGGAATCCTTTCCTATCCTTTATGTTTCATACCCCACGAATGGATCACCTGAATAACCCTAATACCGATTTAGCATTGTTATTAAAAACTATAGTATGGTCTGCGAGCACGTAGAATTTTGTCCATTGACCCCAAGCTACCCATCCTTATCGCTCGCTCGTAATTATGTTGCTGTCGCGCTCGCACACTCACTGCGGGCGCCCGTCGCACAGTCGCGACAGCAATATAATTACGTGCGAGCGATAAAGATGGGTAGCTTGGGGTCATTGGACGGGATTCTACGTGCTCACGGACCAGGCTTTAGTGCAAGCGAAAACCGACACTAAGGTCACGAACCTTTTCATTCCGCGACTGTACAATAAGCCACAAAACTATCTATAGGTGTAGCGTTTGACTGAGTCAGTACCTGAGGTATGGGAACGGCGCGGGAGGGTGTTTTTGATGTCAAACGTCAGGGAGACTTGATTTTATGGTCTGTCACGTCTATGTCAATGGACAAGTTTCCAACTTTTTCTTTTGATAAAACTTGAAAATATAAGTAAAACCAATAATAATTGTGAAAGAATCATGAAAATATCACAAAAGCTACAGGGCCCTAAAGTTGCGCATAACAAAATTCGCGCCATTTTGATCGGTGTAGACACGACAGTCATTCGGAGTACAAACAGTATATCACCCCTGGTCCAGTGCTGTTGACAGATCCATTTTTTTTACTACTACTAATTTTGTAACTACTAGATTTAGTAGTTTTAAATTTTTCAGCCAGGGTCACTCAATATTCTTTATTAGTGTAAAATTGTGTAACCTTTTTTGACATATCCAAGACCTGACTATATTTAAAAAGAAAAAGAAGACTTTGACATTATAGTGTCATTTTCGACAATGCGTTAGGGGTGGTATAGTTCCAAAATACTGAACTGTCCTATCGATGACATTGACAGCGGGGCGCCACCGTCAATACCGAATCGCTGGTTCCGATTTTTGCCATGTTGGAAACCATATAGTTGAACGATGGTAGCGCCCCCCTGTCATTGAGTTTGGTGGGACAGTTCAGCGTGGGTCATCTATAAGCATTGTGATTGAAACTTGAACAGGTGGCCTGACATCACGGCACCGCCTATGTTTAAGTTCCACGCGAAAATATGGAGGTAATTTAAATAATTAATTTCTCAGCCATTTCTTGATGGATTTCAAAAATAACTTCACCGGCTTTTTAGTTTTGGTCTATATTTTAATCCCATTCAGTGAAATCTGAAGTTCTCAACATCACGAAACTTGTCCATTTCACACGTACATGTCAATGTCACCCGTCCCGTGCCGCTTCCATACCTCAGGCGCTGATTGAGTTAAGCGCTAGATCTATAGCAAACTGGATGAGAATGCCTTATGGCATTAAGTTCGCCTAACATATCTATATATATATAAAAGAAAGTCGTGTTAGTTACTCCACTTATAACTCAAGAACGGCTGAACCGATTTAGCTGAAAATTGTCAGGGAGGTAGTTTAGAACCAGGAGAAGGACATAGGATACTTTTTATCCCGTTCGAAATAAAAAAAAAGTCTGCTTATTTATTGCCATTAAGGCGGAACAAAGTTCGCCGGGTCAGCTAGTTTTTAAATAAATAAATAAAGTCCTTTATTGCTTCTACAACTTACTTAGCTAGTTACAATAATGTTGTTGATTGATTGACATAGTATAAGAGTAGGCGCACACCGTTGATTTTTAGTTGGCCGATAGTTGTGCCCGATTTTAATTTGTATGAAGAATCGGCCAAATCGAATCGGCGTAGTGTGCGCCCTCCCATACATGCCCATACTGATCAACTGCCCGACTAAACTATCGGCCGACGAAAAATCAACGGTGTGCGCCTACTCTAAGGAAGCAATTTTAGCATTAAAGTATAAATAAATAAAATAAACAATAAATAACTTACCGGTTCCACCGAGTTCAGTATCACGGTTTCTGGCATGGCCTCTACTGACATCGGCTCTTCCTGCAGAGATATACAGGGTGAGTTCGAAATAGTAAACTGGGCATCAAGCGAATGTGAACCGTATGGAGTGGGAATAAGGTACAAATTGCATCGACATAAAGTATCATATTATTTGACGCGATTCAATGAACAATGCACCTTATGCCAAGGACAGTGTGAGTTTGATTCAAATCAAATCAAAAATGTTTTATTCAATTTAGACCACTAGTGGCACTTATGAACGTCAAAATACAGTAAAAAATAGGAAGCCCGTAAGGGGCACTTTACATGTCTGCTTATCTTTTGGGCCCTACCAGCGCTTCGAGACAAACATGATGGCAAATGATGAGAAGAAATGCCGGAACAAACTCTATCGAACAAAAATCGATCACAATGTAGTTATTTATTTATTTATGTTATTTATTTATTTTAAATTAGGAAGACCAGGGTTTATTTACTGTAAGCTAATATAGACTATATGTTGTGGGAATAAGGTTAAAATTTGATTGACCCATGCTCGATGCGTTTTAATACATTCGCTTGACGTTATTTGTATAAATATACGAGCTCTCTAAGACATTTTTGTAAAGTGTACACGGCTTTTTTTACCTTAATGACATCTTCTATGTTGACGTCCGCATCCTCTATAGGTGGCGCCACTATTTCCGCTTCATCCTTCTTGAATGTAGGTTTTTCTATGATCCTATAATAATAATATTTATTTATTTGTGCCCGCCACTTCGTACGCGTCAAAATAGTTTGAATATTTCCAGTTTTCGTGACATTTTTCTTCACTGCTCCGCCCCTATTGGCTGTAGGGTGATGTTAGATAGCCTAAAGCCTTCCTCGGTAAATGGGCTATCTAACACAAAAATATACTGATCATCACAAAAATCGGCCCACCTACGTTTTACAGGAAAACTCGTTTCTACTGACACAACCATGGTGCCCCAACAATATTGGTGTTATTTGAAAGCCCAATAAATATCATGAAATAAAAACACATTTAATATCTTAATAAACGATTGATTTCACTTTGGGCTCACCTCTGGGATCAATTAGACCAATTTTTATGGTTATAAAACCAAATAATGATCTCATGTGTCCTCTTTAACAGATGGATAGCGATTAATCTCAACTTATATACAGGGTGGAAACGATAAGTGATCTCACTCGATTATTTCTAAACCATACAAGATATCGAAAAACTGGTTCCTGATCCTGAAAGTGCTTTACGAGTTCTTTCAAACGGCACCAATAACAGGTTACAGAATAAACTGGATCTATCCGAAAATTCAATGTTTCCGGCTTCCATACATTTGGTACAGCCTCATAATATTAAAAACTACAGAAGGTATCGTAAAACTGGTTACTGATCCTAAAAGTGCTTCACGAGCTCTATCCAAAGGTATCAATATTAAGTTACAGAATAAACTGGATCTATCCAAAAATCCAATGTTTCCATCCCCCATACATTTAGTACTACCACAGTCATGGCACTCATCTCTTGATACTTGATACAACACTTTATAGCAAGTAAAGCCTAAAACTAATTTTTTCCTTGAATAATTTTAAATAAAAATGCAATTTACGAGTTTTTATTAGGTTCATTATTTAATTTTAAAAAATTACACTTAATATTGTGTGGTTGGCATACATTTAGTATGGAAGCTGGAAACATTGAATTTTCAGATACTTCCAGTTTATTCTGTAACCTGTTATTGGTACCGTTTGAAAGAGTTCGTAAAGCACTTTCAGGGCCAGTAACCAGTTTTTCGATATCTTGTATGGTTTAGAAATTATCGAGTGAGATCACTTATCGTTTCCACCCTGTATATATGTTATAGCCATAAAAGTTGGCTCAAGCGTAAATACGTATTTTTTGAAGAAGTGACTCTGGATTCTTCTACAGACACATTTTTGGGGTAAAAACCTTTCCTTTAATGAAATGAAGTTTAGAACTAGGCTTTTAAATGGTGCGAATATTGGTGGGAGGGAAGTGGGGATGCATACGTTTGAAAGTGCTTGTCGCGGGAGGGTCGATTTTTGTGATGACCAGTGTAGTTTTTTCAAATCGGACCAGTAGTTCTTGACATTAGCGCGTTCAGGGCCATCTTCAACCTACTAGGGGCCCTGGGCTCTTAAGGATCAAGGGGGGCCTTATCATTTGGAGAAAAGGGGGTAAGGTTGCGACATATTTGGCCTTTTAAGGACGTGTCCGGGCTAATATTCTCTCGTCCGGCCTGTCCGGCTTTTCTTAGGCTTTAGGTGGCTGCAGGGCCTTATGTGGTAACGTGTTGGGGGAGTCGGGGACACCAAAAAAAGCACAAAACATTTGCTAGCACATAAAACTTTTTTGCCGTGTTTTCACGCTTTTGTTACGAATGATAGATGTCATTATTATAGATCGTTTCATCCACGTGTATTCTGGGACGCGCCCCATGTTTGGTCTCGGTCGCGCGGGGTGCGGGGAGGTCCGAGCAATCCGTAAGGCATTACTGTAGTGTGCGTGTGCACTCATGGAGCATTAGCGTGTACCGATAACACTCAAACATTAGCGGAAGAATGGTGGGGCGCGTCCGAGTGGATGAAACGATCTAAAGTCCGGTCTGTGAGCACGTAGAATTTTGTCCAATGACCCCAAGCTACCCATCCTTATCGCTCGCGCGTAATTATGTTGCTGTCACGCTCGCACACTCACTGCGGGCGCCCGTCGCACAGTCGCGACAGCAATATAATTACGCGCGAGCGATAAGGATGGGTAGCTTGGGGTCATTGGACAAAATTCTACGTGCTCGCAGACCAGACTATAGTATATTACTATTACTTACCGTGCGTTAGCCTTATGCATGTGTGCGACGGGCGGTATGTGTATGTCAACATCCCGGAAGGCGTACACGTCCTCCGCCTTAATCTCTATGTCGTCGATGTCGACCGCGGGTGCAAGCGGGACGGGAGACGCGCTGCTTGACGCTAGAAAGAGACGGGTATATTTAAATAAATAAATAAATCTTTAGATAATTTCACACAGCGCCAGCTAGCCCCAAAGTAAGCAACTTAATGCTTGTGTTATGGGTGCTAGCTTAACGGATATACTACTTATATACTTTTTTTTTAAATACATAAATATTATACATAGTCACACCCAGACCCGTCACAGAAATTAAAATTCATCATTTCAATTTCTGCCCGGCCGGGAATCGAACCCGGGACCTCTCGGCATAGTAGTCCGTTCTGAACCACTACACCAAACGGCCGACAGAAAGAAATTTGTGAGCACGTAATACAAACTTAGGCCGTATACAGAAAGAAAGCTGGAAACTTATAAGCGCTTACCGGCGCTTGACAGCGTTGGTAACCCGCACAGGAAAATATATGAACGCGCGCCGATAAGATTCAACACGCGCTGGTCAGCACTGGACGCTGCCATATAAAATGCCATTCAACTTGCTTCCTTTGTGAACGAACGGACCAGCGCTGACAAGTTCCAGCTTTCTTACTGTATACAGCCTTATGTTTCAAAATCAAACTATGTATGGATGAAATTAGAAAAACCTTTAAAAATATTGGACACGTATTTTTTTATTTGTCAATCAAACAATTACGAAGTTATGATGCTTCAAAGCTTTAAAGTCCAGTTAATAAGGGGGTTAGTGTCAAAGTTGCACAGCATGCTATGCTCGGTCACTCTGTGTTTCTTTACGAGATCGAATCAGAAATAAGGAGATCCGTAAACGAACTAGTCGCTGACATAGCCCGACGGATTAGCAAGCTGAAGTGGCAATGGGCAGGGCACATAGTACGCAGAATTGACGGCCGATGGGGCAGCAAGGTTCTGGAGTGGAGGCGCAGCGTAAGGTGGACCGACGACATAAAGATAGCAGGAAGGCGCTGGATGCAGGCCGCTACCAATTGCTTAACATGGAAGTCATTGGGGGAGGCCTATGTTCAGCAGTGGACGTCTTATGGCTGAAATGATGATGATGAAGCCCATATTTCCAATACTTACCACTCAACTGCTGTTCTATTTGCTGTAGTTGACTCTTAATATGCTCTATAGCTGCGTGTTTGCTGTCCTGAGCAGCGTGTTTATTGTCTTCCGTGTGCTTCGGTTGCTGTTCCACTGGTGGCACGGAGTTTTCTAGAAGCATCGATAGCGTCGGCGCGGTGGCTGACGGTGATACAGTATCTGAAAAGATGTGACACAACCATGAAGTCTTTTAGTGGTTTCAAATGGGGTGCTGCTGCGCCAAAGGTGGCACATATTTTTCTAACAGCATTGATAGGGGCGGTGGCTGACGGTGATACGGTATATGAAAATATCGACAAAACCATGCAGTCTTTTAGTGATGTCAAATGGGATATCCCTGTGCCACTAGTGGCACAGAGTTTTCTAGAAGCATCGATAAGGGTGGTGGCTAACTGTGATACGGTATCTGAAAAGATGTGACACAAAACCATGAAGTCTAGTGGTGTCAAATGGGGTGCTGCTGTGCCAAAGATGGCAAAAAGTTTTCTACGAGCATAGGATAATGTCGGGGCGGTGGCTGACGGTGATTCGGTATCAGAAAATATCGACAATATCATGAAGTCTTTTAGTGGTGTCAAATGGGATATCCCTGTGCCACTAGTGGCACAGTTTTCTAACAGCATCGATAAGGACGGAGGCTGACGGTGATACGGGTATCTGAAAAGATGTGACAAAACCATGCAGTCTTTTAGTGGTGTCAAATGGGATATCCCTGTGCCACTAGTGGCACAGAGTTTTCTAACAGCATTGATAAGGGCGGTGGCTGACAGTGATACAGTATCTGAAAATATGAACAAAACCATGAAGTCTTTTAGTGGTGTCAAATGGGGTGCAGCTGTGACAAAAGTGGCACATAGTTTTCTAACAGCATTGATAAGAGCGGTGGCTAACGGTGATACGGTATCTGAAAAGATTGACAAAACCATGAAGTCGTTTAGTGGTGTCAAATGGGGTGCTGCTGTGCCAAAGGTGGCACAGAGTTTTCTAAAAGCATTGATAACGTCGGCGCAGTGGCTGACGGTGATGTGGTGACCCTGTGCGTCCACGCGCACTGTGAGACCTCATAGTAATGTTTGTGAATACGGGTGTTAGTGACTTAGTTAAGGTATTGCAAAGGTTTGTTTACGGAAGGCATACATGTTCATATTGTTCATACTGACCAACAGCCCGACCCAACTATTGGCCGACAAAAAGTGTGTAAAGTCTGGTCTGTGAGTACGTAGAATTTTGTCCAATGACCCCAAGCTACCCATCCTTATCGCTCAAACGCATCAAAATTGTGGGTATTTAACTTTTTTTTTTTTTTTCTTTTTTTTTTATCCACAACGAGGAAGCTCTTGACCTGTATCTCACCTGATGGTAAGTGACGATCAGGCCGAAGGTGGAAGCGAGCTTCACCCGGAATCCTCAACCACGGAGGAACTGGCTATCTTACCTCTAACTGTCGGAACACAATAATGCTGTTAACATTGTTGTTATGGCGACAGACTTAGGTAAGATGGTGGTAGCTAGCCAACCAAACCGAACAGAAAAATCTGCCCCCACTGGGAATCGAACCCGGGACCTCTGCGTCTGAAGCAGGTGGTCTAACCACTAGACCACAGAGGCGGTTAACCTAAAACCGAATTAAATTTGACAGTTGAAATCCGGATTTGGACAAGGATTGAATATGGAAAAAGGGCGCGAATGATGATGATGATGATGAACTCACCAATGACTTTATTGGGATGCGATATGTGTTGGGGCGTGGTCACCACCGGCGATGACTTCAGCAATGACGTCAGCAAAGGTGACGACGCCGGTGCTGGAGTGGCTAGAACAAAACATAGTAAATAAAAATCTACAGGGTGGAAACTATAAGTGATCTCACTCAATTATTTCTAAACTATATAATTAACTTTTTTTTTTAAATATAACCGACTTCAAATGCGTGAACACAAAAAAAAAAACTAAAAATTAAAAAAATTTGATAATACCTATTCAACAAAAAAATAATCGTTCAAATTGGTTCATAATCGGCGGAGATATTGCGCATAAAAAAGTTCATCCCCAATTTTCCACCCTTGGGGGTGAAATATTTTCTTCAAATTCGCACGAAACCACCCTTTTGATAATACCTATTCAACAAAAAAATTATCGTTCAAATTGGTTTATAATCGGCGGAGATATTGCGTATAAAAAAGTTCATCCCCAATTTTCCACCCTTGGGGGTTGTTTTTTTTAATATTAAATTTAAATGGGACCACCCTTGAGGTTACCTATACGCCGAAAAAAGATTTGTTCAAATCGGTTCATAATTGACGGAGTTATCGCGTAACAAACATAGAAAAAAAAAAAAACATACGGGTCGAATTGAGAACCTCCTCCTTTTTTTGAAGTCGGTTGACAAGAGGGCCTAGTGTGAGTTTCCATTAGTGAGCGCGTAAAAAAATGACATTAAATGTATGACGAATTGAACAGCGCCCCTAGCGGAAACGTTCAAGAACTAAAATTTTCATTTTTTAACGCAGTCACGTGCTAATGAGGACTCACACTCAGCCAAAAGATATAAAAAACTGGTCCTGGATTCAATGTTTCCAGCTTCCAAACATTTGGTATGCCACATAATATTAAAAACTAGCCGTGGCTTCATCCGCGTGAAATTTAGTCTGTCACAGATCGTCATAAATTATAGCATATATGTACCTACTAGCTTTCCGCCCGCGGCTTCGCCCGCGTGGAATTTTGTCTGTCACAGAAAAACTTTATCGCGCGCGTCCCTGTTTCAAAAACCGGGATAAAAACTATCCTATGTTCTTTCCCGGGACTCAAACTATCTCTATGCCAAATTTCATCAAAATCGGTTGCGAGGTTTAAGCGGGAAAGCGTAACAGACAGACAGACAAACAGACAGACAGACAGACAGACAGACAGACAGACAGACAGACAGAGTTACTTTCGCATTTATAATATTAGTTGGGATGTTATTCTGGGTTATAAAAAATAATATTGTAAAGTTTTATCAAAATCCGTTCAGTAGTTTTTGCGTGAAAGAGTAACAAACATCCAGTCAACCAGAAATCCACACATCAAAACTTTCGAATTTATAATATTAGTAAGACTATACAAGATACAGCCTGGTCCGTGAGCACGTAGAATTTTGTCCAATGACCCCAAGCTGCCCATCCTTATCGCTCGCGCGTAATTATGTTGCTGTTGCGCTCGCACACTCACTGCGGGCGCCCGTCGCACAGTCGCGACAGCAATATAACTACGCGCGAGCGATAAGGATGGGTAGCTTGGGGTCATTGGACAAAATTCTACGTGCTGACGGACCAGGCTTTATAAGGGTTCCGTTTTTCTTTTCAGGTAAGGAACCCTAAAATACCTGGTGACGTAGGAGTGGTGGGCTGAGCCGGCCGCCACGTCCTGTCAGCCCTGGCGCGCCGCTCTTCCCTCTCTTTCAGCCACGCGGCGCGGCGCGCGTTTTCCCTCTCCCTCGCACGTTTGGCCGCCTCGATGTTGGCCCAGAGTTCGCGGAGTCTTTCTTCTGAGGTGGCAGGGTTGCGTGCTTCGTTCATTTCGTTCTGGAAATAGAAATGTTAATTGGCATAAAGTACTTCAAATCTGTATCTAAAGCTTTTTAGAACGTAGGTGCTCACTAAGACAGGATTTTACTAAAAATCCTTCAAAAACCCCTAAGGATCTACGCGTACGAAGTCGCGGGCGGCCAATCTAAATAATATAACTCAAATGTGACTGACTGACTGACATAGTGATCTATCATCGCACAGCCCAAACCACTGGACGGATCGGGCTGAAATTTGGCATGCAGGTAGATGTTATGATGTGTAGGATTTTACGAAACTCCACCCCTAACGGGATCCAGGCGTACGAAGTCGCGGGCGGCCGCTAGTTTACCAATAAATTCAATGAACTACTTGAGAGAGAAGAAGAAAACTAAAGAAATTATCGCAAAACATAATAAAAAAAATCTGATTTTATTTCTTAAAATAAAAAAAAACATGTTTTTTTAGCTTTAAGTCGAAAGCTTACAAAAAACAAAAAGTCAAAAGGTCAGTCTGTTACCATAATCTGTTCGTGCTGTTGGTTCATCTCGGCGACCGTCTTCTGTATCTCCACCATTCGCTCCTGCGTGAGGCGCCGCAGTATGCTCTCTTGCGGCGTGTCCACTCCGCCTTCGGAGTTACGTTTCTTTCGCTTCGGAGTCTCCACGTGTTCCAGCATCGCTCCATACTGGGCTGCACAGCTGCAAGTTTTGTATGGCCTTATGTTAGACAGCATCGCTTCATCTAAATATATAAAAGGAGAAACTGACTGACAGACTGACATATCAACGCACAGCCTAAACAGCCGTTTAGCCAAACGTAGGCACTTGAAATTTGGAAGGGACGTAGCTTAGGTACCGTAGAGGTGCACTAAGAAAGGAATTCCCGAAATTCCCACGGGTACGGGAATTAAGGGGAAAATCCTTTTGTATGAAAAATCTAAACCGCTTAAGTTAGATGCTTGAAATTTGGCATGCAGGTACCTTAGTAAACTAAAAGCTTAGTTACAACAGGATATTGCAAAATTCCCACGGGAACGGGAGTTAGCGGGAAAAATCATTTGTATGAAAAAATCTAAACCGCATAAGATAGATGAAGGGGGTAAAATGGGATCCAGGCATACGAAGTCGCGGGCGGCCGCTAGTAGTGTATAAAATACTAATGTAAAAGACCACCCTGGCCTCACATAGCTATAGGTGCTAAGTATGAATAAAAAACCGCATCAAAATCCCTCGCATAGTTTCAAAGTTCTAAGCATACATATAGGGGCAGACAGACGGGAAAGCAACTTTGTTCTATAATAGTAGTGATGTAATTGGTCAAAACTGATTTTTGCAGTCAAAACTGGTTTTGACCGATTATGAGTTTTAAGTGTAACAAATACAGAGTGTCCAGGGATGTAGTGATCAAACTTTAAAATACTACTTTTATGATCTGCCTGTCTGTGCAAAATTTGGTCATGGGGTCTATGAAAACAAAGGGGTCCATTTGTTCAGCAATAGTCAGTCCCATCAGTGTTAAAACTGTAATTCTAAAGGAATGTATGTGGAAAGGTTCTCTACTGTGCCTACAGTTTCAACTTTCCCTCTGGACAAACTTGACCTTCACTGGTTGGGTCAAGCTGTAGATCCTGGTTACACAGGAGTTGCACGGGTGGGAACGAAAGGTGGGAATAGTCCCGTTATTGTGCCTTGGCTCATGAATTGATGTGTTATGAAATGAAAATGGCAGTGGTATTTTGTTACACCATGAAGCAATTTTGAGGTATGAGCTATCATGCATGGGTGTATCTACCCTCCCTGCACATCTTCCCCCTGGAAATCCCCCGCTTTGAAGGAGCTAATTCAAACGATCTGATCTAAAAATCTGACTTTTTTTTATGCTAGACAAGGCAGGCATTTAACCGCAATCGCACCTGGCGTTAAGTGAGATGCAGTCTAGGATGTTACATATCTGCCCTGTAAGTGCCTATTCACTCTCGCCTTGAAAACGCCCGGATTATAGTGTTCAGGAAATACAGCAGCAGGCAGCGAATTCCAGTCCCTAGCTGTTCGCATTATAAACGAGTCGTCGTAACTTACCCCCCCACTAGGGCAGAAGCGGAGTACACCCATGGCCAGAAGAGATAGCTACTAACTTGAAAGTATGACCTACACATATCCAAGAGCGTATAAACAACTTTTACATGTACCTTTTCTGCGAGTACCAGTCAGGCGGTCTATTCGGTTCGCCGACGGTTTTCAGGGCGCGGGAAACCGACATCCAGTTCTGATCGCCGCTTCTTAACACCGCAGACGCAAGGCATAGCTGTTCCCTAATGTTCCAAGTGTCTAAAGGCACCCTTTTCAGCTGCAACCTTTCTTGTATAGAACTCATTTTATAGGTTAGATTACAAAAACGCCAGTCTCAAGCTGAATTCGTATACCTTCTGCTTATAACACTTATCTTAAAAGTGAAATTCAATTATTTAACCATTTCTAATCGTTGCAGTTAATTTATTTCGTAAATGGAAAAAATAAAAGCACCACAACGCACAACAAACAAAATTTTGTTTGACAACATTGACAAATTATTGTGCCATGACAGTGACAGCTTCATGAATGCATGGCATGCATGCATGAAGCAAGATAAAAATGGAGGGCAGAGTTGAAACAAAAACTTGAGTCAAATACCTATCTTAGAAATAACACCCGCTACGTCAGCGTGACGTCATATCGTTCGATCCTGTTGTCTCTGTCTTAGAGAGGGAAGGCACGAGAAACCGGCCGCCCCGCGCGCCGCCACACTTTGCTCGAGTGCTTGGCTGTGACGGACGTTCTCTCGGTTCAGGGACTGTGATATTTGTGACCTAGATCATTATTTCTGGCATAGGCATATTTCTTTGTTACATTAATTTGATTTGTGGAATTATTGGTTTCGGTTATGTAATAAATCGATATCTGCTGGTGCCGTACATTACTTTTAAAAAGCACTCTCACCTCTGATCCTTAAGATCAGAAGTGGGATTGACCACGCGTTCTAACCGTTTTTGCCATCTATTTTTGCCTTAGTTTGTGATTATCAGTGCAGTGTTAAAAGTGAAGAAGACCAGGCGTTCGTCTAGATTAAAAAAAGAACGTGATTATTCTCATAAACAGTGTCGTGATAAAAGTTAGTTAAACGTCGGGTTTGTTCGAATATCGAATGCCGCCGTTAAATGAACGTGTGCATCGATTGAGTATTGAGTATCGAGGTAGGTCACCTAGGCGATGTGTACGCACTCCGCGTCGTAGTCCTATTGGGAATCGTGAATATTCACGTAGCCCTCATAGTGATTTTTGTAGGCGCTGTGACAGTTCGTACGGCCGCCGCCATAGCTCGCGCGACGATGTGTTTTGGAAAATTTCGTCGCGAATTGACTCGTTTGAGGGTGGATTGCAATTGTAAGTGACACCGTCCCATATTATTTTTCTGGAGCTTGTTTGTGATGGAATTGTTAAGTGTCATTTGCGGCAGGATGGGCCATAAAAAGGGTGGCGCTGCCCAAAGGAAACTAAATACGGAGAGTGCGGTCCTACAGCGCGACGCGACTGCAAAACCGTCACCGTCGACACCGGATGATGGGAGGAGTAATAAATAGGCTTGTGTAGTACATGTACTATGTACTAATGGGAAGCAATTCCTTTAGTTCACTTTAGTACAGCTGATCACGAATAAATAGGTGTGAACGAGACGTTAAATTGGTGACAAGCGCGCGCGTGCGAGATGGATTCGGCTCTGTGAGTGTGTTGCGAGTATTTTGCGACATTGTACTTAAAAGTGATAGTAATAAAGACGTTTTTCTTCCGATCTGATTAAAAAAAGTCGGTTTACTAAAATGAACTAACTACATTTGACTGATTGTACTAGTTCGGAGCGATCCGTTCAGTGTCCGAGTAAGAACAAGCCTAGTAATAAATATTGCACGTTTTGTATTGCTCATATTGTCGATTCTTGCTTTCAAAAGCAGCGTTGGGGGATTCGAGTGGGAGGCGGTCTTCAAGTGTGGATTTTTGCTTAGAGTCGAATCCCAGCTCAATAACAATTACTCACATTAGTGCAAAATGTACCCCATGATATTTCTATAGACAGCGGGTCGGACATTTCGTTAATTTCAGAATCAGTTTTGAAGCGTTTTAATTTTATTAGAATAGAATCCCGGCTTATCGTTTGATGCGAGGAATCGGAAGTCGGATCAACTTCGTACTTGACGACTTTTCAAAATCTTGTAAGCAACGCGATGGTTTTTGTGGTTTTCGTGATGGATCACAAGACCATGTCTTGGTGAAAATTTTGTTTTGACCAAACAAAATAATTATGTAGTGGGTAACCTTCCCACGTCTTCGTCAGTAGTAGGTACTACCGTCGACTCCAAATCAAATCAAATCATTTATTGCATTACATGTGTGGTTTGACAATATCGCGCCCTGACCCTGAGTGTAGTGCGCTGCCTTTGCTGGATTTCGAGAGGTGCATTCCTGTGGATGCGGTGGCCCCGGGGGCGTGGAGCAGGAGCAGCAACTACCAGGAAGGACGTAGTGAACAGGAATATTGGTGCTTTGTCTAGTTTGCTACAAACAAGGTCCTGTAACTTTTGTCTTTCTTTTCTTATCTACCCTTGTATACTCACGGACATTGCCCGCGGGTGGCGTGACCGGAGGGAGCGGCGAGCGTTCGGCGAACGAACGAGCAATGTTCGGTTCGCGAGGGGACATCGAAGAAGACGATCCTGACGAATATGTGCATAATTTTTGATATTTGATGTGCAGAGGAAGGCCGAGCGTGTGTTTTGAAGTAAACGACGTGCTGCCCATACAAGTTTGAACGGGCGCTGGCGCATCACCACTATGACTTGGAGTTGCTGGCTGGGTCCTGCATCGAAAAACCCAGGAGGCCGCCGAGCACATGGGCTCGTGGCGCGGCGAGTGGACTCCAGGGGCTTGCGGAGCATTCTTGGAGGATGGCGAATCTTCACTTGACATGCAAATACGGCCTCTGTCAGTTTCTGGCTTTGTCCAGGCAGACGCTGACTGGTTTTTAATACCTGAAGCGTAGTGTTGANATGAGTGCACGCATGGGATTGTGCTAAAAGGCTGTGATCTTCCTAATATTTGTGAATTTTAACTTCAAGAAACGACGGTTTCACTTCGGTTCCTTGTAACTGTCATACATTGAACATACACCACTGACATTCCAGATGATAACCATGGAACCGAACATGGGTGAACCAACCTGGTGAGGGTCAGCCTCAAGCTGCACCTCAGGACTCCGAGCATCAGCTTCCTGCGGACCAGGGCTGCGATGACCAGCCTTTGGCGGGTTCGAGCTGCGCAGACCAGTTTTCAAACGTCGGCGAGGTTATGCTGCGCGCTGAAGAAGCCGTGGCTGATGGGGAGCAGGCAGCGGTCGAGGACGCCGCACGATCAGGAACGGCCGTCTTAGAAATAACACCCGCTACGTCAGCGTGACGTCATATCGTTCGATCCTGTTGTCTCTGTCTTAGAGAGGGAAGGCACGAGAAACCGGCCGCCCCGCGCGCCGCCACACTTTGCTCGAGTGCTTGGCTGTGACGGACGTTCTCTCGGTTCAGGGACTGTGATATTTGTGACCTAGATCATTATTTCTGGCATAGGCATATTTCTTTGTTACATTAATTTGATTTGTGGAATTATTGGTTTCGGTTATGTAATAAATCGATATCTGCTGGTGCCGTACATTACTTTTAAAAAGCACTCTCACCTCTGATCCTTAAGACCTACTTATATCTATCTCGCTCTCTGCGGCCCTACCTCTCTTTTTAGTGTGAACTGTAGTATTGCTATCTTCTGATTTAAATCTCCTTGTAAATTCTTCGAAATAGCCAATTCACTAACCAAATCAGAAGTTAAACAAATAAATAATTAATATTTGAAACTAAGATTACCTAGTTAAATAAAAAATCACAGAATTGTCAGCCATTTAGACTTAATTTGTTGGCGAATCAGGGAATTACAATCCCAATTCCTGGGTAATCGGTACCATGTGGCAACATCGGCCCAATCCGGCCCATCATGGCGGTTGTTTATTATTTTGTTTATTAAGCAGTTAATTTCGTTTGAGATTGTTTTCAGGAAATAATCATTGGTTTATCACAAGAATTGGTGCAAAATCTTGTAGTGCGTGGTTGCGGTAGTACGTGGTGTCCTGTAGGCCTAAGATGCGCGCCGTGATAAGCGGTTATCACGCCATTTTACCGATTTTGCCCATACATTTTGACGTCGATAAAGTATATCACGGCGCGCATACTAGCCCGGCTGGAAGTGACATAAGATTCCACGCGTAAGTGTTTATTTCGTGATTTCCGACATTGGATCATTGTAAACATTTTTCACATTTTTTACAGTAATTTCTTCCTAAAACGTTTTACCAGTAATTACACTTATCATTTTTAATGATACCTATGTCAAGAAATAAAGATTTTACATTGGTTTCATTGAATTTGAGCAATTTTATATTTTTTGTTTATTTAGAAAGAGCGAGTCTGCCCACAGAGAGCGAGATAGTGATACTTAGTTTGTGCTTCAAGTAGGTATTCGGAGTGTGGCCTCCATTTTTATCTGTAGCTTCATGATTGCATGCATGCCACTGATGCCACTTAAAAAAAATAACTGCCAAAGATATTGTAATAATTACATATATGAAAGTAGAAGGATCATGTTGGTTAACAAACTTCGACCTGTGTTTGAGTCACATTTGAACTTCTTGCCTTTTTTTGATTATTGTTTTTATGTAGTAGTATACCTACAATATTTTCACTCATCTCAGATGGGCCATCTTTACTGAATCGCCACGCCATCTATCACACTATGCATGTTTGTCGCCAGAGTAGCCAGCAACAAACAGCGAACTGCAATGCATTAATACCTCCATGATGCAATACGATCCTTGGAGTATGAGTATTCTTTGAATACGATCTCGTTTGTTATAGGTTATAGATAAGCAACATGGCTTTTTTAGAAACTCTGTGAAGGGGAAATCCCCTTTGCCTTTTTGTCTCACACATAGTGCTGTAAGTATAAGCTATAGTTCATTTGTGCATGTAATTGAATAATCAAATTAAATCTATCGATTACAGTAAATTTTAATTGATCACATCACATATAAGCACTCAAAAATCCGCCTACAACCGATAAAAATATTTGTATTACTTTGTAACGCACCGGGAGTATGGCTTAGTTAATGCGTGAATACGTTAAAAGTCATCTCCTTTTTAAAATTATTTTTAAATTTGAACTAAGTGATCGTTTTTATTCGCTTTCTATTTTAACCACATGGAATAGAGATAATTGCTGCTATGTAACGAATGCCACAAATCAAATGTCTTGAGTTCACACGACGGCTTCATTGTTCTCCAACAAATGATAATGATCGGATATTAAGATCGTCTATATTGACGAGCTTCTTTGGATAATTATACCTACCCTCAACACAATCATGCTCGCGAGTCGTGGGTACATAATAATCAATAATTTATTGCATCTACATCTATGTTAATTTAAGTACAAAAGGTGGTTGGTATGGTAATTTATATTAGAATCACAATTAGAATTAAATAATCTGTGTTCGCCCACCTTAGAGGGAGGGAACTATTGCATTGGTTTGGTGTAATGGTGTCCCATCATGAATGATCATGACTTACCAATAAATTATTGATAATTGAAAAAAAAATCATATCGATATACAGCATCGATTATTGAGTGAATACTCAATACCTAAAACCTAAAACTGCCCTATTAAGAATAATGACAGCTCGTCGACCACCATCGATCGTTCGTTATTTTTCGTGGTTTTTTTCCTTTTGTTCCCGAGACCTCGTTGACTTGTCGTTGACTCTCAAAATTACAAATTAAAATAAATAATGTAATAATATATCAATTTATCAATATGTGATTGACTGTTCGTATTAGATATCTTGTGGAGTGTTAAATCCTTAAAAAAGACGTAACAATGCCGTTAGTCTTTTAGTTTAAAAGTTTGGAGTCTGTGTAAACTTTTGCTGAGTCTGCTAACTGATAAAAGTTAAAATGGATATCGTATCAAGTGATATGTCGTATTTAATAAATTTGGACCACTTAGATTTGAACTACATTTCAAATTACGATTTTAAAAATGGTGGTTCACATTTTTCTTTGTGGGACGTGAACAGTTCTAAAGTATTTGGAAATGAAAAAGAGTATTTCGAATTTAAAGTTATGGCCAAAAAGGTGGCAGATGATGGAGCGGACTCGTCTTCTGAACCAGGCGATGATGAAGGTAAGTTTGCATTTTTAAAGAATTCAATTAGAATGTGGGAACAGTGGGACATTGATGTTAGTGACAGTATTAAAAATACAAAAACACATTTTTAGTAGTCCTAATGCCTTAACGAAGGTCTTCAAAAATTCTGTTATGTACTGCAAAAAACGTGAAAAATTTCTACATACAAAATAATAAATATCAGTTATTGAGTATTGAGTACTTACCTACCTAACTCACGCCCGTATTCACAAGCATTACTATGAGGTCTCACAGTGCGCTTGGACTCACAGGGTGACACATGAATCAATCACAGAGCTCTATTCAACGCTGTGCGTTTGATTTGTTGCTTCACTTAAACAAGCACTGTTTGCGAATACGGGTATCATTTTATCATATCATATCTATCTTCAAATCAGAAGTTGATACTTCAACTGTTATTTATTTATTTTATGTTATAGATTTTTCCTTTCATGAAGACTAGCCCCACCAATTTTTGGTCGAAGGAAGCGTGGGGAGATTGATTCGAGCAATCTGAGCGTCACTATTGTAATGTGTGCACTCATGGATAATTTAGAGTTTTTTCGTCGGCCGATAGTTTGGTCGGGCAGTTGATCAGTATGGGCATGTATGGGAGTGCGCACACTACGCCGATTCGATTGGCCGATTCTTCATACAATTTAAAACCGGGCACAACTATCGACCAACTAAAAATCAACGGTGTGCGCCTGCTCTTAGTGTGCAAATGTGTAACACTCAACAAACATTAGGGACAAGACGGTGAGGTCTGTCTTCATGGATGGAACGATCTATAGTCTGTAAGAGCGCTTTCACATAATAGGCGTTTTTGTCGCGCAACTGTAGTGCTTCTTATCAATAATTTTTCAAAAACGCCTATGTGATAGTGCTCTATAACTTTTTGTAAATGATTCATTTTTATTCTAAATAACATGGTTTTTCAGTTAGATAGATTGACTATCCATAATACCCAGTAAATTTTTTTTACTACATTATATTTTTTAACCAATGATCATATTTTGTTTTTTTGTTTCAGACGAAGCAACCGTAGATCCACTTTACAAGTGCGCAATCTGTGACCGTGACGTTCCTTTAACGTACAAAAAACAGCATATCGACAGTGTCAAACACCAGACGTGTGTCCAAATCGCTAAAGCAGTCCTCCAAAGAATCCAAAATAATTTAACGCTGGAAAACGAAAATGAAATCATCAAGAATTCAACATTGACTTACTTCTGTGAACCGTGCACGGCCATCGTTAGAAATACAGATAAGCAACAACATGAAGGATCGGAGGCTCACCAGAAGTCTGTGCTGCGTGACTTATATTTGAGCGACTTACTTAACATTTACAATGATGAAAATTATTTAGATACAGCTGATATGCAGTATATGAGTCAGAAACCGAATGAACACCCAAAAAATTTTGAAAACGGTGAATCATCTCTGGCTGTAGGTAATGAGACAGTTGCTCAAGAAATAGGTATACAGGAAGGGAAAGAAACTTTAGTAACTGACAATAAACAAATAAAGAAAAAGAATAATCCAGTTCATGAACAAAATGGTAAATTTAGTGATGCATCGTCTGATATATCGAAGGATTCATTAGATCAAGATAATACATTAAAGGTCACTGAAAACAAAATTCCAATTAATAAACCATCAAATATTAAGCAAAATAATACAAATAACGATCAGACTGATTCAACAGAAGAATGTGATTTAAATGACAATAAAGTAGATAAGCAAAAGCAAACAACTTCAATAACTGAGCAGAGCAAAGTTACCGATGAAAATAACTATTTGGAAAAGTCAGTTTATGAACAGTCTCCAACAACTAGCCCTGCTAGGAAAAAAGCTAAAATCGAAAGCCAAAACAATGTGACAAGTAAACGCAACGATTCTGAAGTTGACTACATAATGTTGGTCGATACAAACGAATTCAAAGTTGACACAGAAGCAGATACTGTTCTCGGAGAGACCAAATTAAGAAGTTATGTTGACTTTTTGGATCGTAAGAATGTTGGATGTGAAACTAACAATCATAAAGTGACGGTTATAAGCAGAAATTATGTTCAAATCACAACGTTAGATAACAATGTAGTTACTGTCCCAGCGGACAACTTCAACGGTTTTCAGAAGCCCTATGAACTTCTTCTATGTAATATTTGCATGGTTAGGGTCGATGATCCAGGCATGCATATTTTGGAAAAGATGCATTTGGAAATGATAAGGCTACCATTGAAGGATATTCACTGCTTTAGAGAGGTAAGTAAAGGACGAAGCACACTTAGGCTGGTTTTAGAGTCACGCTGACGCACGCTGACCGTCAGCGCTGACAGCCGAAATGTATGAAGCGTCGGCGCCGAGCGATTAGCGTCAATCAAGAACGTTTCCTTCAATTACATACATGGTGATCTGTCAGCAGTGCCGTATTATCCATAAGGCACTTTAGGCCAGTGCCTAGGGGCCCACTATGGCCAGGGGCCCAGCACTCCCGATAAAAAAATGAAAAAAAAAATTGTTAAAGCTTATTTTTATGCAACAAAACTCAAACCACCTCAAAACTTCGCCTTATTTTGGTTTACACATTCAATCGTCATAATAATTTCGATATTGTGGAACCAAATTAATTTTCGTGACGTTGGCATTAGTGCTTTGGTTTGCATGACAGTCTTGTGGAACCTAGGCTTCAACTGGCTCCTCCGGGGCGTCCTTCTCGAGGGCATGAGTGTCACCATATCATATGCTATGCGGATGACACTCAGTCTGATCACTGCCCGGGGAAGACATCTGGGGCCGCGGCACGGCTGGCGTCGGCGGGCGGCACATTAGTCGCTCGCAGAATACGACGCCTCGGTCTGAAAGTCGCGCTGGAGAAGACTGAGGCCCTCTTCTTTCCGGGGCCTCGCCAGCGCGCCCCTCCCGACGCGTTGAGGACGTTAGGATTGACGTCAAAGGCCAAATGAAATATCTGGGCCTCACGCTTGACGGAAGGTGGCATTTTAACGCACTTCAACGGGCTCACGCCACGCCTCCTTAAGGCAGCCAGCGCACTGAGTTGGCTCCTCCTGAATTTGGGAGAGCCACAAACGAGGTGTCGTCGACTTTATGCTGCCGGCGTTCTGAGGAACATGGCGCTGTATGGCGCCCCAGTCTGGGCGGACGCACTCAACAAGAGGGAGGATGCTGCCCTTCTGCGCAGACCCCAGCGGGCCATAGCGCAGAGGGTCGCAAGGATCTTTCGCTTCCGAGCCTAATCATCGCCATGCTGGGAAGTGAATGATGCTGGAAGGTGGTCGCCTCCTTTTGCGAAGAGGTCATCCTTCAGAAGGAGGCAGCGGAGCGTGAGCGGGAGAACGATCCTCTCGCCCCCTAAGCTCGCCCCATCGCTCTGCAGGCGGAGAAGGGCCAGAGAAGGCTGTTGTACGACCGTTCTACTCTGCTCCCAGGTGGCGGCCAGCGGGCCGGGGGTGCGGGGGCGCCCTTGTCACCTCCGTCTGACGGGAACGGCTTGGCGTTTCGGGCATTCCCGTCGGACCCCCACAAGGGGGGCGTGTAGGGTCCGCCGTGTAGGTGAGCTGTCGCTGTAGTGTGGTGTCGCGGAAGTCTAAGGCTACGGCCGGATACTCGCGACACCCCCACTCAGGCTACGACGGAACGCCGCGGAGGTTTTAGTGGGTATACCCCGTCCTTTTCTCTTTTTAGGGCGCCGGGAGTCCCACACACAACACTGTCCCCCGGCAGTGGTGACGGTGCGCAAAGCATTTCCTCCGCGACAAAAAAAAAGGGGGGCCCAAAACGAGCTGTGCCTAGGGGCCCCGAGATGGTTAATCCGGCCCTGTCTGTCAGCGCCGACGTTCAGCGAGCGGTCAGCGCGATTTTAAAACCAGCCTTATCAACCCGAAAACGGATCGTTTCCGTATCAGTTCGAGGTGGTCAGTATTCTTTGTTTGAAACTCCGTACTGCATCTGCAACGCACATTCATCCGCACGTAACGTAAACGCCTAGCCTCGCAGTTTACAGCTTGGCGAGGCGATACGGTGTTGATCCCTTTCCGGGTCTAAAAGTGTGCTATGACCTTAAAAGAGAGTAAAACTTATAAAATTGAAACTACCTAGCTGATACTAGTATGTATGTTAGGCTATTATAATAATTTTACAAGATTATGTAATGTATGCTGATATGCTGTGAGCTAAGCCTTTTCAAATACAATTTTATCCATTACACATTCAACGTCAAGACACACAAAGTGGCAAGAATGTTGACAACATAACCTTATTCCAATGAGGGCTATCGTTTTTATACTTAACAGTTGGCACCCCTGGCGATTGACAGGACCTTAATCTACAGTGGCGCCATCTTGATGAGTGCAAATGCGATAGTCCTCCTACCACTTTAGCGCTCACAAGTTGGCGCCACTGTCTTCGCTACTAGCAAGTGACAGGACCTTACTCTACAGTGGCGCCAACTGGTGAGCGCTAAAACGATAGCCCTCATTGCAACAAAGACATGTTACGAACTTTTTGGCTACTTTGGGTGTCACGAACTATTTGACGCTGTCTGTACTTGGCAATCCACGTCAATCTAATTGCTCAAAACTTATGTTTCAGCTCAACGCAATGTGCAGACACTGTGTCCATTGCAACGCCGTTTTCGTTAGCACCGACGCCCACGAAGAAACCAGTAAACATAAGGCAGCGTTACAAAAATCCTTAGAAGGCACCATCCCGACTGAGCCAGCCCAAACCAAAAAGGTGGGTAGAACGTACTGCGAGCCATGCAACCTTTACATAGACAGCCACAACTTTAATTCCCATACAAAAGGCAAGCCCCACAAGAACAATCTATCCCTATTTTTCACTAAAGAAAAGAAAGAGTCAAGCACTAATAACAGTCAAGGCAAAATTCACTGCGAACCCTGCGGAACGTTGATACGTACAGAAATGTTTTTAGGCCATACGTATGGGAAAAGCCATAGAGCAGCTTTGAAACTGACGAACGAATCGAAAGATCTTGAAAACTGCTGTAGTATTTGTAATATTCTCACTGAAGATTTATCGGTGCATCTTACGAGCAATTATCACGAATTCCACGTGAATAAAAAAAGCGGTAAGAAGGTTTGTGAACCAAAGCCTTCAAATCTACCATCCGAAGTGGTCAACAAATACCTGATAGAATATCGTTCAGAGTGCCAAGTTACTTGCCGAGTTTGTGGCGTAAAAATCTCGAATCGTGTGGATAACGTAAACGAACACTTAAACGGTCGTTCCCACAGGACAAACTATAATAATACATTGCAAAAAAATTCGATGAAAACAGTTGGAGAAGATTTATTTTGCAAACTGTGTAAAGTCACCGTCAAAACAACTGAGGAACTTGACCATATGACATCAACAACTCATTGCGCAAACAAACTCAAGTCAAAAACTCAAGCTGCTCCTTCAATATCTACTGAAGATGCTCAATCCTCAAGTTCTTCGATACCTTCTCAGTCTACAAGTGGTAAGATTAGTGAACCAAAGCATTCTAAACCACCACCCGAAGTAATCAAGAAATACCAAGTAACGCATCACTCAGAGACGCAAGTTATCTGCCGAGTCTGCGGTGTAAAAATCCCGAATCGTGTGGATAACATAAATGAACATATAAACGGGCGTTCCCACAAGATAAACTATACCAGTACATTGCAAGAAAATTCAATGAAAACAATTGGAGAAAATTTCTTCTGCGAACTGTGCAAAGTCACCGTCAAAACAAGTGAAGAACTTGATCATATTATATCAACAACTCATTGCGCAAACAAAATCAAGTCACAAACTGAAGCTTCATCTGTGATATCTACTGAAGATACTCCAATATCTCAATCCACAAATTCTTCGATACCTATTCAATCCACAAATTCCTCGATAACTACTCAAGATACAAGCTCACTGATACCTGAAGCATCAACAACCACCACATCTGTATATCGGTGCGAAACTTGCGAAGAAGACGTTGTAAATACGCCATCAGCGATCGAAGAACACATGGAAGGTTTAAGCCACAAAATAACTAAAATATTTTGGAAACTAACCAACGGAAGTCTAGAAGACAATCTGCACTACCACTATGAACGGGTCTCAAGCAGTATGGTTTATTGTAGAATATGCAAAATAGATGTGCTTGCGTCAAACGCTAAAGAGCATCTGGAATCGTTTGGTCACAATTTAAAATACCGATCCCATCTTGCCGAAAATGATGTCCGAAAGCTTAGCGATTCGATGTTTTATTGCAATGTCTGCTCAATCAACGTGAAAGTAGAAGAAGAATTACAACATATTAGACTGCTGTCTCATTCCATGAAGAAAAGCAAAACCAAAAAAGGTCCTATAGAGGAGAAAACTATAAAAGATTCTGCTGAAGAAACGGCATCTACCACAAGCCAAGCAAGTTCCAGCAGTAAAGGCACTGGGTATCGCTGTGCAGTTTGTAATGTAGACGTTCCGAACAACCCTAAAAACATAAAATTGCACGACCAAGGAAATATACATAGAACAAAGTTGAAGAACCTCTCGCTTGAGGAAGAAGAAAAGGTGTTGTTTGCCAAAACCCCCAACGATAAGGAGGTGACATGTACGTTGTGCAACGTGACAGTTCCTGTCACCGGCTTGTCATGTCATGTCAAAGGCGCTAAACACAAAGCGAATAAAAATGCAGCCGTAGGTGGTAAATAGTAGTTGTTTTTATACAGTTTGTTATAAAAAAGCTATCTATAAAGATTTTTTAAACGCGAAAATATCTAATTTGAATCGCAGGCGATCTGTGTGCTTAGTGCGAATTTGCATTGAACGTCGTCGCTAGCGAGTGCGTAAAAAAAATCTACCAAGATTTTAGTTCTTGAAAGTATCCGCTAGGGGCGCTAGTTTTTAACGCAGTCGCTAACTTCGACGAATTGAATTTGATGTAAACAGCCCCCTGTTTTTTATAGTTATGTGTATTATAGTATAGTTACCAGCTTTTGTATTGTTATGTTTTAAGTACTTAATGTATTAGCGCTAATAGAAACTGATTATAAGATATTAATATTGGACTGACGACTTCATAAAGGTAGCAGGAGGTGCTGGATGCAGGCTGCTACCAACCGGGCGATGCGGAAATCATTGGGGGAGGCCTATGTTCAGCAGTGGACGTCTTGTGGGTGAAATGATGATGATCAGGTGTTTGTGTTCTAAAGTTAAAGTAATGATTTTAAAAATCAATTTAAACTCTAATCGAGTGGTTAGCGAGTTGTCGTGTGAACAACTTGAAGCCACGATAGCCGAACGGTGAAGGGGTCGGACTGGCCGACTCGTGATCCGAGGAACGCGGGTTCGGTCCCCGCCGCCGCTCGCCTATTGTGGTGAGCTCACTCGTGACACAAGCATATTTAGCTTAGTACGAGGGGCTAACGGGACTATTAGTAATTTTAAAATTATTAACTAAAAAAAAAACTCGCATGGACTGATGTCGTTTTGAAAAAACATTTTTTTTGTTGCCTTCGAAAAACCTGCTTACGTTAATGTCTTGTCAGTTTCTATTGTGCGTGCGAATTATACATACAACATGATTGAGTTAACTGCGTACCTCACTGTGCCTCTAGCATACTAGCATGAACAACTTTCGTCCTCGAATCGTTTGCGTACTCGACAAATTTCGATACGCAACCTTCGAATTAAACGATAACGTGACAATTTTGATTGTCAAAATAAGTTTCGTGCAACCATTTTTCATACTAAGTTCACTTTACGACACGTTAAAAAAGGCGCTGTTGTAGTTTTCGTACTAAATATTTTGATGGCGATTCGAATACGCAAACGATTCGAACTCGAAAGTTTTTCGTGCTAGCCGTACTGGAATGCGGCTCACGCACACCTAAACGCTCGCCCCGTCCGTACCAGAGCGGCGATGTGACGTCACAGCTGCCAGGTGCGCAGTTAACTTGTATATTCTAGTGGCCATACGGTTTTAGTCGTTATGTAAGAATTAGTGATAAAGTCCGGTCGCCGAGCACGTAGCTCGGCAATAAGTAGCCAGTACAAAAAACTGTAGATATTTTGACCAAAAACATTGAAATTTGACAGTTCACAAACGGATTTAGATTTAATATAGAAAACCAGCATTAATGTAGCACGAAAATCCTAGAATTCTCAAATAACGTGATACTTGGTGCTGACAACATCCTCCGAATTACTTGTTGTTAAAAGGCTGCCTTAAGGTCATAGCAGACTTATCAACACGGAAAGGGATCAACACCGTATCGCCTTTCGCGAGCTGTCAACCGCGAGGCGTTTACATTACGGTGCGGATAAGGCCCAGAACAGACGGTGAAACGCAACTGCAACGAAACTGCAACTTTCTGATGATTCTCATCAATGAAACTGAAACTGAAAGTTTCAAACTGGTCGCGACATGTGTGGTCTCTCAACGGACGCTATGGCAGAAACTTAGATGCAATTCAAAAGTAACTAGCAGTTGCAGTTTCGTTGCAGTTGCGTTTCACCGTCTGTTCTGGGCCTAAGTGCGTTGCAGTATGGAGTTTCATACAAATAATACTGACCGCCTCGAGTTCATACGGTTACGATCCCTTTCCGGGTTGATAAGTGTGCTACGTCCTTTAAAATTTTTGTTAGTGTGTAAGGTTTACTGTTACATTTCAACTTTTGTGATATTATGTGGTATTGTACTGCATTATGATATTTTTGTAAAACTTTTCCATTATGTGTATTAATGTGAATACTTCTTAAGAAAACCTTTGTATTTTGTTTATGGAAGAAATAAACGTTTAAGTTTTTTAAAATTTGTATTTTACTTAATTTCAATTATAGGTTTTGCGTTTAACTGAGTCAGAGCCTGAGGTTATAGGAGCAGCACGGGCGAGTGTTTTTTGGGATGTGAAACGTCAGTGACTGATAGATCGATAGATAGATAATTAACTTAAAAAAACCGACTTCAAATGCGTGAACACAAAAAAAAATCCACTAAACATTTTCTTCAAATTCGCATGAAACCACCCTTTTGATAATACCTATTCAACAAAAAAATAATCGTTCAAATTGGTTTATAATCGGCGGAGATATTGCGTATAAAAAAGTTCATCCCCAATTTTCCACACTTGGGGGTTGTTTTTTTATTATTAAATTTAAATGGAACCACCCTTGAGGTATTACCTATACGCCGAAAAAAGATTTGTTCAAATCGGTTCATGATTGGCGGAGTTATCGCGTAACAAACATAGAAAAAAAAACATTACGGGTCGAATTGAGCCTTTGTTCGGTATAGGACAGATTCTGGGATTGGACAGATTCGTGGATTCGGCAGGTACTGGATTGGACGGATTCGTGGATTCGGCAGATTCTGTGATTCGACGGATTAGCTATACGACAGAAGTACAGGTGTAAATAAAAAATAAAATAAAACCCACTTTTAGTTATAGAACAATATTATAAATCCGAAAGTTTGTGTAGATGTCTGGATGTTTGTTACCCTTTCACCCAAAAACAACTTGATTCGCACCGACTTGTTTACGCACAAGGAAGGGGCAGAGCGTGCGGGCGGAGTAGTACGGGGGTTCCGCTAGGAAAAGAAGTATAATCAGTTAGGGTTCCTTGGCAAAAAAAAAATTGGGAAACCGTGAGCTAGAGAATCCGCGAAGCGCACGAGAGTGAGACTTCAAATATGCTTCAGATTTGTATTCTCTGTCACGTCATAGTCAATGTCGCCTTTCCTGTGCCGCTCATATCTCAGGCACTTACTTAGTTAAGCGCTTGACCTATAATAGACCATTCTGGGATGGGCATTAGAGAAAAGGGGCGTAGTGTGTGTTTAACGTCAAACGCATTCGATGTCGACTGCGTAAAAAAGTGACATTAAGGCTAAAAAAGTGACATTAAGGCTAAAAAGTGGCATTAAGGCTTAAGAACTCGCGGCGTGGATTGCGGTTTTATTTCAAAACTCACGGCGCGGTTATTCTAAGAACTCAGCGCGCCGCGCGCTATGTCACTGGTACAAAATGGTCGCCCGCCGATCGGCCGAGCGGGACCCGCATACAACCGCGCCCGCTGCGGGCGAAAACCGCGTCGTGAGTTGTGCATTAGTTTTCACATAAGTGTCTGCATTCTACAGAAGCTGCGGGCCCGCAACGGCCGCGGGCGCGGGTGAAAATTGCGCCATGAGTTCTTACCCTAAGTGTATGACGGATTGTACAGCGCCCCTAGCGGAAACTTTCTAGAAGTAAAATCTTCATATATTTTTTTAACGCGCTCGCTAGTGACGTTTGATAAACACACACTAAGCCCTCTAGAGTGGGTGTTACAGCGCCACCTCGATTCTCTCCACCGAATCTACAACATCACTTTTCAAGAATTTCTTGAGGGTAACTTTTTTCATGACCCTTTCAACTAGAATATCTGTTAGATCATCAATGATTTTCGTCGACGTCATTATATCCAGTACCGTAGCCACGCTAACTTTGTCGTCTGCTTTAAACTTCATGTTTTCCTTTGCCTTGTTTCCAGCGACGAGGGAGAGTTTCTTCTGTATAGTGTCACGTAGCATCTGTCTGAATGTGTCCAATTTGGAATTAAAGGTTGCTACTTGCTTCAAACTGTTGAAATGGAACTGCGCCACTGGAATTTGAATTATTATTGTTGAACAAAGTGGCCAAAAAGTTGACAAAACAACCTTATTCTAATGAGGGCTATCGTTTTTATACTTAACAGTTGGCACCCCTGGCGATTGACAGGACCTTACTCTTGCGCCATCTTGATGAGTGCAAATGCGATAGTCCTCCTACCACTTTAGCGCTCACCAGTTGGTGCCACTGTCTTCGCTGCTAGCAAGTGACAGGACCTTACTCTACAGTGGCGCTAACTGGTGAGCGCTAAAACGATAGCCCTCATTGTGACAGTAAGCCAGGGGCGTAGCTAGTAAGGTTGCAAGGCGGGGCAGTTCGGGGCCCCCGAATCCTTACCAGAAAATCTCATTGAACTGAAGTTTGAAAATTTCTCCCATTTACAAAATAAATAAGCAAAGAGAAATTCAAAAGCTGTATCAGGAGTAAGTAAGCTTTAATGTCAATAAATTTGATAAAACCTAACTAGTTTAGAATGCAGTGTGGCCCCATTTTTTATTTGCCCTAGAGCCCTTGGTTACCTAGCTACGCCACTGAGTAAGGCCCGGTTTCCAGTCGCGAATTGGAGAGAGTTGTTGAAAACCAATCTTTCGTTATTTACACATCACCTCCCCGCTCAGTTTCGATTCAGAAATGTGGGAGTAAATTAATTTTTAACTTTGCATCAGGAAAAAACGGGATTATTTAATCGTATATACCTAGAGGGTTAATAAAGTCTGCACTCTGTTAGTTCCTTAAAGTAGGTAAATAAAAAGGGAACAAGGGGCCATCTTTGGCACTGATATGGTACTGAAACGTTAGGAAAATTGGCCATCATTGGCACTAAAATATTGGTCTAGTCACTAGCCAGTAGCGCAAAATAGTGAACGCAAAATGAGCCCTCATGGTACCAACTTCCTGCTTATATTAACTTCTAGCACAACTTCTAGTTAAAATTAATTAAGTCGTTTCCATACTCACTCACTAAGCTCAAAATAAATTGCCATTTCATTATTTTCCGCGTGGTTAATCTTCAAAATCAAAATCGAAGAACAGCATAAAGAACATTTTTCTTAGATTATACTGTACCGTTTCTAAGAAAATGTAGAAGTAAAAACCTATAAGTTATGTATTTTACTTTATACAGTTTTATCTGTAAGTTTCGTTAACAATTTTATAGATTTTCTTTTATTGCAAGACCATAAATTTAAAATAGTCAAAATACAAAAATCTAGCTTTTTCCCGCGATTTCCTCCGTGTGAGTTTCTTTTTTTTTATGGCGCAAGGACATTGCGAGAAATTGGCTAAGACGTTATAGTGTGAACACCATCTTTGTCTGTTACTTTCGCCTTCCCCATACTTCGATGTGCGGGCTAGCGCGAGCGCTCCGACTTGGTCAATTTTCCGCATAGTGTACCATTGGAAAGAATAATTGCGCTAATGTTTCCCATTCAATAATACAAATTAGGCAATAATAATCTCATTAATCTCGTGGTACTAAGCTAAATATGCTTGTGTTACCAGTGGGATCGCTACAATAGTCGTGCGGCGGCGGCGGGAAGGCCCTTTATGAAGTAAACTTTGTTTTAAAATATATTTATTTCAGTATTTTTAACATCAGCAACATGTTTTAACGTCGAAAACCCTCAAACGCGATTATCCAGAGCCTACAACAATCCGTATCACCCAGAAGACGATGGCATAATAGAAAATATCTCGGACGAAGATGGCGACAACCTGCGATTTGGCGGGAAAAAGACTGGCCAACTCAGCGACTCGGAACAAACCAGCATAGTGCAGAAAAAGATTAAAATCAACGGCCGCTATTACGAGCTTGTGAAAAATAAAACGGATTTTAGTTACAAATAAAATAAACCTAATTTAGGCTCAATAATTCGATTTTATTCATGACGTATTAAAGTTACTTTAGGTAATTAATTGAGTAGCTTCCACGGAGCCTCTCCGTCTTCGAAGGGACCCCCTATTCCCTCTTCAAGTTGTTTAATAAAGAAGTTTTCTCTTGTTGTCCCTGGTTGAACAGGACCCCCGGCTCGCCGACGTAGCGGATTACTCAAAAGGCGACTAAAAGAATGGGACCCGTCCTTTTAGGGGCTTATTCCACTATTCCCCGTTGAGTTCATTATTCCCCATTATAAGTTCAAATTTAACGTTAACGGGGAATAGTGAACAAAAAGTTCACTTATCCCCGTTAAACATTGACAGTTTCAGTATGGGAAATATGTCAAAACTGATGATTTATTCTGAGATTAATATTACTATTGTTTGGTCGAATCCACCCTTACTTAGACGTAAACGCGCTAACGCGCTAACCTGTGAGGGTTTTTATAGATGTCCCCCGCATCATGATGACTAAGTATAGGGCAATTTGGATAGCAGAATAGTTTTTTAAACTGTATGGCTTCCGATTCTGTAGCATAAATAAATCTATGGCATAATTAGGTATCATCATCATCATTTTAACCATAGGACGTCCAGCAGGGCAGCAAGGTTCTGGAATGGAGGCCGCGTACCGGAAAACGCAGCGTGTGACGTCCACCCACAAAGTGGACCGACGACATCATAAAGGTAGCAGAGAAGCGCTGGACGCAGGTCGCTACCAATCGATCAACATGGAAAGCATTGGGGAAGGCCTATGTTCAGCAGTGAATGTCCTATGGCTAAATAGGTATAGTTAAGGTAGGTATAAATCTATGGGTTTGGCTCCTGAGCAGGGAGACAAAAAAATGAAAATACTATTATTTAAGTATTTATTTTCTTAGTTAATATATTCATTCGACGATTTATCATTATTCTTATAGTCATTCTCCTCATCAAAATTGCATTTATCGTTTGTATCTGAAACAAGCACACAAACTATCAGCGGAAAGCTTAGATCGAAAGGGGTTTGACGCAGACCGTCGGCCATTCGCAAAATGGTCACACATGAATAAAACTTAAAAAAAAAACCAGTCAACAAATGAAAATAATATGGCACAAGTATAGATGACCCACGCTGAACTGTCCCACCAAACTCAATGACAGGGGGGCGCTACCATCATTCAACTATATGGTTTCCAACATGGCAAAAATCGGAACCAGCGATCCGGTATTGATGGTGGCGCCCCACTGTCAATGTCATGCACAGGACAGTTTAGTATTTTGGAACTATACACATAGACGGGAAATTGGGCAAGACGTAATAGTGCGAACACCATCTCCGTTCCTTTCTCCTTCCCCCACCCGTGAGTCGTTCATACATCGGTGTGCGGGCTATAGCGCTTCGACTTGGTCAATTTTCTGCATAGTGTAGTTGCGCCAATATATCTTTTGGGAGCAAAGAAGTATCCGACATATTATAAAGCCCGCAGAATTGCCAAATTTATATGACAGTGGGCAGTGGGTGGGGCACATAGCTCGTAGAGCTGATGGCCACGCTGGGACAGAAAAGTTCGCGAGTGGCGACCACGGGCTGGAAAACGTAGTGTAGGCAGGCCTCCCACTGGGTGGACCGACGATCTAGTGATCTAGTGAAGGTCGCGGGAAGAACCCGGATGCGGGCAGCACAGGACCAGTCGTGGAAATGCTTGAGGGAAGCCTTTTGACAGTGGACGTCATTTGGCTGAAACGAACGAAAAAAGTTGTACATTATTATTTTTGACTCACGTGTTTCATCGCCTCCAACCATAATGTTGAGGCGTGTTGGGCCCAGCTTCCCCCTGCTTCTGCAGTTGATGAATCTTAGGATCTGAAAACAATAAAGATCATATATAATTTATAGAAACTCGATCTGTTAACATTGGGAATTACGCGTCACAAATATCGCGCCTCCCGCGACAAGCATTTCAAGCGTATGCATCCCCACTTCCCACCAATATTGGTACCATTTGAAAGCCTAGTTCTTCTTTGGTCTCAGTGTACTGCCTACCTTCAGTGGTAACATCAAGGTAATAATTAGTTAACTAAAAAGCAAGAAATAAGTAAAATTTTATAAAAAAAAATAAAACCGACTCCAAAAAACCTACACTAAAACGTAGAAAAATAATTACTAATTACCTACTTATTTATTAGGACGAATTATTAATATTTATGTAGGTATACCATGATTGATACTTGGCCTCTGTCAGTTTCTGGCTCTGTCCAGGCAGACGCCGCGGGTTTTTAATACCCAAGGCGTAGTGTTGGCATGCAAATATGGCCTCTGCTGACGGCAACGGGGTAGTAAGCACATTATGCAAACTTTGGGCCTCTTTTGTGCTTACTGTTCTAACTTGTCTACGGAAAATAGCATTCTAGAGCTAAATATTATTCGTAGGACTAGTCATTTATTTCCCACATTTGTAATTTTATTTTCACTAATTGATTTTTTATTATTCACCGTCTGAGTTTAGTTATTTTTAACATCAATTTTGGATCTCTTATCGCAATCACATGAGTGCACGCATGGGATTGTGCTAAAAGGCTGTGATCTTCCTAATATTTGTGAATTTTAACTTCAAGAAACGACGGTTTCACTTCGGTTCCTTGTAACTGTCATACATTGAACATACACCACTGACATTCCAGATGATAACCATGGAACCGAACATGGGTGAACCAACCTGGTGAGGGTCAGCCTCAAGCTGCACCTCAGGACTCCGAGCATCAGCTTCCTGCGGACCAGGGCTGCGATGACCAGCCTTTGGCGGGTTCGAGCTGCGCAGACCAGTTTTCAAACGTCGGCGAGGTTATGCTGCGCGCTGAAGAAGCCGTGGCTGATGGGGAGCAGGCAGCGGTCGAGGACGCCGCACGATCAGGAACGGCCGTCTTAGAAATAACACCCGCTACGTCAGCGTGACGTCATATCGTTCGATCCTGTTGTCTCTGTCTTAGAGAGGGAAGGCACGAGAAACCGGCCGCCCCGCGCGCCGCCACACTTTGCTCGAGTGCTTGGCTGTGACGGACGTTCTCTCGGTTCAGGGACTGTGATATTTGTGACCTAGATCATTATTTCTGCCATAGGCATATTTCTTTATTGCGTTAAATTGATTTGTGGAATTATTGGTTTCGGTTATGTAATAAATCGATATCTGCTGGTGCCGTACATTACTTTTAAAAAGCACTCTCACCTCTGATCCTTAAGAGTAGTCTATTTATAAACTTATCTACTTACTATCTCTTCACGCTTTTATAAGTAAAAACCGGCTCTAAGACTAGGCGCAGACCATCGATTTTTAGTTGGCCGATAGTTGTGCACGATTTTAAATTGTACGAAGAATCGGCCAAATCAAATCGGTGTAATGTGCGCACTTCCATACTTACATGCCCATATTGATCAACTGCCCGACTAAACTATCGGCCGACGGAAAATCGATGGTCTGCGCCTAGGCTAATAAAGTGATAAGTAAGTAGGTAATTAACAAGTATAGAAAGTGAATTTTCCGGAAAATATTAAAAAAACAAAACTTACCAACCCCACAGCGATGAAAAGCGTTTTTCATCGTCGCTGCTCACAAATGAAAAGCAACAGAAAATTAACATTATGCGATCTAATGAAATTCCTCAGTCGCTGTTAAAGTCAATGACGTGGAGTTAGACACGCCCGTTAAACCGGGGAGCTATTCGTAAGTTTTCCAGTCGCCTATTATCGTTTATTACTATAGTATACAGAAACAGTAAGCTGTTTTAAAACTAACTTTAAAAGGGGCCTAATGTTAGTTATTTAGTTAGACCAGCGAATCGAGACACAATAGAAATCAATTGTTATTGTCACCGCGGTCTCTTAAGCGACCACTTAAGGTTCCACAAGCTAGTTAGGTACCTACATATACTTACTTATTTGGTAAAAGCCACCTTGAAATACCTTATAGAAATCAATAAGTACATAATTATGAATAATATGAATGAAGACAGTTAAATGAACGGGTCCGTGGCCGAGTCCCCCAGTATTTGACGCACCCGTGGTGGACGCCCCCGATTTAAATAAATTTAATATCATATTTTTTTCGGCTTTTGCACTAAGTACAGTCAACGAAAAAAGTTTCACAAGCTAATACTAAACTATGCATGTTTGACGCTATTTATGCAAACTGGGAGCAAAATTTTAACCAGCAGTAGTAAGAAACAAAAAACTTTTGTAGGAATTATTTTCATTTCATTAGATTCATTTTTGTGTTTAATTCTACTGGCCTAATAAATATTTATTCGTTTATAAAAATGTTTGTGCCTGACTGTACATTTGATTAAAAATTGCTTCAAATCGAATTTAACTGACCGGGGTCGTCGACCACGGGTGCGTCGAAAACTGGGGGACTCGGCCACGGACCCAAATGAACGGATACCTACATATTTAGATATAGTCATAGTCATATATGTTTATGAATGAAAATGTACCTAAGCTATTCTAAAGCTTAATTTGTAACCACTTTAGATTTGTAAATTATTCACCACAAACTTCAGACACTTATCTAGTAGGTATTTAGTAGATTTAACTAAGTAATGATTAAGTTCAAGGCGTATCCCAATTATTGCCAATCGAAAGCTGCAAATATGTTGGTAGTTGAATCTGGTTCAAACAAAAACAATGAGTCGCACTTCGATATCAATTGGTTTCGCAGTAGAGTTATAAATTAAGGAGGCGTGCACACCATGTATGTTATTGAGCCGGTGGCTGCCAAGTGCCGGCACCATTTATCAAGGAACCAGTACTGCCAACGATGTTCCCGGCAAACGGCCAAAGCTTCGATCGCTTTGGGTTTAGCTAGCCAGCCAAAAATTTTCGTTGTCCTTTGAGGATTATGTAAAAATAAATATTACAAATCCAGTTTACGACCCGAAACAAGGTTTAATTTTGCAAAACGGAATAGTGCCTTGGGCACTATTCCGTAGGCACTGTGCCTACGTAAAAATTTTCAGCAGTTTTGGGCTGCTATTATTTCACGAAAAAAAGTCTAGAACATTTAATTAATGAAGTCAGATTTTTTAGGTCAGATAGTTTAATTTAGCTCCTAAGCGAATATTTCCAGAGGAGGCAGCTGCCCCCATAGGCCTGACTATAGCTAGAATTAGTCATGCTTAGTTACCTACTGAATTACATACTAAATTCTTAATGAATATCATCCGCTTCCCATTAGGTACCTATGTCCGTTTCAAATTTTCTTTGAAATAAGTCTTGGAACTTATGAAATGTAATGACTCAATTTACAACAGTGTGTTAATTTAACGACTCATAAAGCGACGCGATTTTCCGACAGCTACAAAGCTTTCGCAAATCATTTTAATACGTTCATGGCCTGAATGCCAGCAGCCGAATTTGTTACACCTACCGTTATTTCTGTTTACTTCTCACTCATGTTAATCCCTAGATAATAGGCTATTTACTTATTCATTGTGATTGTTATGTTTGCTTTGGTTTTGTTTTTATAACATCCTAATAGAAACCAGTTTTTATTTTTCCTTGCCAAAAGACGTGAATCAGTGACGCATGAATTATAGTAGGTTTTTATACCGCATTAACTAAGTATAAATAGCTATGTTGTCGGCGTCCTCAGAATCCCTCAATGTACGAGGGGGTGGGTTTGCACTGCAAACGCAGCCGATCGTCGCTGCAAACTTTGCAGCGACGATCGGCTGCGTAAGCCATCTTTGGTCGCACCAGCGCCGCCAAGACAGAAATCGAAGTGGTCACCATGGCCGAAATCATCAGCTACAAAACAGAATTTTACACCTACGAAGCTGTAGTCAAAAGTAAATTTTGTAATAAGACTTCTTGAGCCAGTCCATGAAAAAAGTCAGAAAGTTCGTGGCTAAATGCGCATCATTGTTGTTGCTACACGTTGAAATTAAGCTCTTTCATCCCTTTTCATTGCGGCTCAAAGTTGTATATTCTCGGCGAAAACCCACAATAAACTAACATTGTATGTAGTAGCAACTTCTTTGAACGAGACAATACAAGGTACAAACTTAGGTACAAAGTATCCAACCTGTTGCAAGGACGTGACGTGGAGATGGATGGGGTCAGTTAGCTGAGCTCAAACCAAGTTAAGTTTTTGGCAATAAAGAAAGATCCGAAGATTCTCGTTAGTGAGATCACTTGTGAGGTTTAGAGACTATCCTATCCCTCTAATTTTATAATGCGAAAGTTTGTTTGTTTTATATGGATCTATGTTCGTACCTCTTTCACGCAAAAACTACTGAACGGATTTTGACGAAACTTTACAATATTATTGTTTATGCATCAGAATAACATTATAGGCATAAATTTCACGCGGGCAAAGCCATATTAAGCAAAAGCTAGTCTTAAATAAAAGAATCAAATTTAACATTAATACTTTTTATTGATTTCATGTCGCAGCTAACAACCCTCGTAAAAAAATAATGCTTAACTATTAATTGACACGCAAATAAACTTTATATCGTTAAAAACTTCATTCTCGTGCAATTTTAATTCATATTACATTAAAGCTATTTTGTAACCTTCGATTTATTTAGCAGATCTTTAAGGCTAGGCGCAGTCCATCGATTTTTCGTCGGCCGATAGTTTAGTCGGGCATTTGATCAGTATGGGTATGTATGGAAGTGCGCACATTACATCGATTTGATTTGGCCGATTCGTCATACAAATTAAAATCGGGCCCCAAATATCGGCCAACTAAAAATCGGTGGTCTGCGCCTAGTCTAATACTACATATAAACATTGATCTCCAAGCTTACAGTTCTACTTATGTAAGTTTTACTCAAACTGACTTAATGGATACCTATTTATTGGTATGTAATTTTAGATCCAATAGGTAAATATGTATATCAAGCCCGTAAAGTGACATTTTAATCAGACTGCTCGACGAATTTACATAGCCAAAAGCATTACTTCATATAAATGTTTGGTTTAAAAATAAATATTATTTTCTTTTGCATTTAAGTTATAAGTAGTACTGATTTCTCTTTAGTAAAACCAAATGCAATTCGTGGAAATGTTTTACAAGTCTCATTTTACCATTTTTTTAAGTTGACAGCAAACTGACTTCCATTATTAATACCTAATTGATAAGTATCAACAACCGTCTTATCGTCATGATTTTAAGTTCTTTCAGATAGCCCATCGCAATCCTATGGCATAGTCTTTAATTTATGAACTATTATCTTTATCAAGGCTGCACATGTCGGAATAATCACAGTTGTAAATGGAATCGTGGAAGTATTCTTTCAGTTGCTCCAGGGGACACAACTCGCTCTCACACATCGGCAGCTTTATTATTCTCTCTTGGTGCAACGTCAAAACGCGGTCGCCATCTTTGCACCTGAAAAAAAAACATGAGTTAGATTAAAATGTAAAAAATACTGCCATTTAAAATATGAATGTACTTATAATCTGAGGCACATTTAGAAAGGGAGACTGTAGTGTTTGTATCTACGTACTAGATAGATACAATACGCTGTCTCACGTACACAAGTGATAGGCAGTCACGTGACGTCGTTACGAGTGGGACGAGTCAGTCGTACGGCAGACGCCGGCGAGTACGGACGTGCCGCAGTGAGACGCTTGGTGTGACGGTGAGCCAGTGTGCACATTTAGGTACACTACAAGTGGCGACGAGGATAAATACACATTTTTTGAAAAATAAGGAAAATAAAAGGTCAGTTAAATACATATTTTTGAAATAATAATTAATTTGTAACAAACCTGCTATAATAATTAAAGTTCAGTAATGTGTCTGATTTTATCGAGTTATGGATAAAATAACGATTATTCTGCTTTGGAAAGGGCATAATTATTTTGTTGTATGAGAATAGTCAAGTTAGCAGGCGAAAACATTTTGGTTTTTATCATTATAAAATCAGATTTTATTAGAAATACNATTCGTCCTAATAAATAAGTAGGTAATTAGTAATTATTTTTCTACGTTTTAGTGTAGGTTTTTTGGAGTCGGTTTTATTTTTTTTTATAAAATTTTACTTTATAACCACAAAAATTGATCTGATTGGTCCCAGAGGTGAGGGGCAACATAGTTTTATTTTTTCAAGTTAAATTACCTGTTAAGTAGTTGTTTATAAAATAAATAAAGTTTATTTATTGGGCTTTAAAATAACACTATTATTGTCGGAGCACCATGATTGTGCCAGAAGAAAATCTTTAATTAAAGTTACTGTCGCGGGAGGTGCGATTACGTTGACGCCGAGTGTATAATATTACATGTTGGGGTTCCTTACCTTATCGTCGTCTCCAGGCTGCGAAAGCTTGCCCTGGGGTTCCATGTTGACGCCTTTATCAGAGGAAAGATATGGCGCTGAAGCCAAGCAAGGATACCGCGACACGAGTTCCATTACTGTAAAAATAATCAAATTAAAAAATATTTTCTTCATTTCGATTTCGGATCTCCTCATTTCTGATTCGATCTCGTAAAGAAACACCGAGCATAGCCCTCTTCATAGCACGCTGTGTGAGATATATTGAGAGGCCAGGTTCTGAAGTGGAGGCCACGTGTGTACCGGAAAACGCAGCGTAGGACCTCCGCCCACAAGGTGGACCGACAACCTCATAAAGGTAGCAGGAAGGCGCTGCAGGCCGCTCAATCGGTTACTATGGAAATCACTGAGGGAGGCCTATGTTCCTATGGCTGAAATGATGATGATAATGATGAAAATCTTTTCAATCCACGCGTACGATGTTACTGTATTACCTATAACTGACACAATAAATGCTTTGTTGATTGATTGAAGTCGCGGGCGGCCGCTAGTCAGTAAAGGACCTAATTTACACTTAATAAACAATTTGAATTTCTCACCTTCGTCAGTAAACCGGCAGCTGAAAGCCCTCATATGGCACACGCTCAGGAAGGTCCTGAACACGCCGTGCTGGCACTTGCCGCAGACCATCACGGCTCTGCTCGGGCACACAGAAGGGCAGTCCGCGTCGTACTCAGCTGGTTCTGCTGCTGTGATCGTATTAAATTAAACACAACGTGAATTCAAAAGGGAATTAACGGGAACACAGTGTTTTGTTGAGTAACACTGTTACAAAATGTTAAATCAATAAATAATTTGAGCAACAGTGTTACTAATCTTCAACTATTTCTACATTAATAATAGTAATTGAAATCGGTTCATTTGTTAACCGTGAAAACGCAACAATTGAGCGAGTTTCTTTTGCATTTATAATACGAAAACAATATATCGATACCTCTGGGCTCAAAGGTCGTAAAGGACAAAATACCGAAAATGAGTTATTTATACAGTTTTACTCAGAATTTAATTCTCTATCGATCTGTATATTTAGTTTGTCGAAATTCCCAAAAAAAGTGCCTTTACGACCCATCATATTTGATAAGCTAAACAGAATTCATCGTGAAAATTGGGATGTAAATACCATTTGATTTTTTAGTACAGTTACCATGGTAGTAAAGAACAAGTAAACACAAATTTTTGGGCGTATAATGTACATGTAGTATATCTATTGTCCTATACAACCTTACATTTTCATATCCAAGTCTGAATAATTTGTCCTTTACGCCCTTAGATTATCTAAACAAATATTTTAAAAATCTACACAGTGAGGATATTAAAATAACTGTGAAGGTAAATTTTATAGACGTTTCTTATAGCATTTAAGTATGTGCGTTTGGAACAAACGAAAGAACCTAAAAAATCATCAAAAATATACAATAAAACTATTTTAGAGTGTAACATTTATGTGATTTGTACATATAAAATGATGAAATCTACCCACATCGGGTAAAGTAATGTTGCTTTTTATTATTTCTCATATTTGAAGAAACTAGGTATTTGTCAGGTAAAAGATAATTATTAAAAGATGATTTAAGAAAATAAAAACATGCTATAAATTAATAACGTATTACCTAATTAAGTTAGGATAGTCATCATAAAAATTTAAAAAATGAAAAAGCTATAAAGAGAAAAAAAATTCACCTTACTGTAGTACCTTAGGTGTCATTATTTTGTATGCACAAATCACACAAATACTACACTTTACAATTATTTTTAATGACTTCCTAGTAATTTTGACTAACGCCTTGGTCAAAACCACTTTTGAATTTTGAGTGTTACAATAATTAGTTAGGTATAATAAATTAGTATAGTCTCTAAAGTTATTTGGATCAGCTAATAAAGAATAACTAGTAGGAAAAATATTTACACAACATCGGAAAATATAATATGTTGAGACTTAATCTACTAAAAAGCGTGAATGTAGTTTTTTTCGAAGTTATATTATTTTTATATTAAAAATAATTGGCTTTTAAAAACAGTATTGTGTAGGAGTAAAGTAAGTGGATGTACTTTACTGGAATGAAAACCTTCCTACTTATCTTACTTACCTAACTTTTTTACTTTTATACCAAGTACAATGACATAATTTTAAGCTACTATGAATTAATAATGTTAATTTTTTTTAGAATTTAGAATAATTATAGTTTGGTTTTCGTTTGTCCTTAATAATTATAATTCTATTTGCATTATCATAAGGTCAACTGGTGGACAGACTGCCCTATGGAATTAAGTCCGCTATTTGTAATTTTTCGAAACAATAATAATGATTAAATAAAAAAATTAAATTAAATTGGTTTCGGTTTTTCCTGTTGAGCCTCATGGCTTTTTAAAGATATAATCACGTCGTCAAGATACAAGAAAACAAAAAAGACTGCTATTATTATTTTTACAAATTGTTAAGTAGGAGACTAGTGTATCCATTTGGCATCCATTTGACATAGTTTTAAACGTGTTATTTTAGTGAATCTTGGATAAGTTCTAGAAATGTGATACTATTAGGTCATAGTTACATCCATTTAGTAAGTCTTTCTCTTACCTATTTGTTTTTAGAAGAAATTTCGAACTGAACTCAAAGAAATTGGAGTGCGTACCTACGGAATACACTCACTATGTGACAATATTTTACATTCATCTTGAGTTTATTTTGTAATTATCTTTTCCTATTAAAATAAATTAAAGTATGTCACCTGCATCTTCTTTTGTGGACTCTTCGTGATGTAAATTTTCTGCTTCATCATAATGATCATACTGTTGTTCATCTTCTACATTTTCCTCTTCATTAGAATGTTCTTGGGATTGTAATCCATTTTCATTTTCGGTGAATTGTTCTTCCTCTTCATATTCTGCATCGGGTCTTTCCTCATTATAGTCTGCTTCATCTGCTTCGTCAGGTGCACTTTCGTTGTCGTCGTGATCTATGATATGATGTTTATGTACAACCCAATCGAGTGGCCATCTCGCAACCGTGACGTCACATCGACGCTCTGGTACAGACGGGGCGGACGCAGGAAGGTGTGCGAGGGAGAGGCACATTTCAGCCAGGTGTGCAGTTAACTCAATCGGGTTGTTAAGGTCAAAGTAGCATTTAAACTATTATGCTTCAACCACACCCACGCGTGCAGATCGCCATCGTGAGCGCGATCAAAGGCCAATGACAGGTCGCACGACCTATGACAGTTCACGCGACCTGTCATTGGCCTTTGATCGCGCCGGCGATGGCGGTAAAGAAAACTAATTTAGAAGCTTTAAAGATAATTTAGCATTCAGGTAGCAGCGAAAGGCAAGTAGGTAAAATGAAATGTCCCCAATGTCTTAAAAAGTTACTTAATTACCCCGAAGTTGCGAAGTAGGTAATTACTACCCGTTCGCGCTAAGTTTGCCGGTCCGTGGAATGCGCGTCCCCTCTCCCAACCGCGATTAAACGCAATTAGTTAGTGATTAAAAAAACGCAATTAATGTGTCTTATTTTACGCAAAAACACAATTTTTATCAATAATAATAAATAAAAAATATTTTAAATATAGTTTGTTATAGTTATAGACGATTCCCTTCGAGTGACGTCATATCGCCAGCGGCAAACTTAAAGCGAACGGATAGTAACTAGGGTTAGTAAACAATAAGGTTTGGAAAAATTTCATAATAATTGGAGAGTTGTAACTCTCCGCTACTGCTTTCTGTTTTCTCCGCTACTGTTGTACCTTCATTTCCGCCTTCCATTTCAGGTGATCCAAATTGTGCTTCACTATATTGACCATCGTTGTTCGTATCTTTAATTAACTTGTGTTTAACTACCCCATCTTTTTTAACTGCTTCGTTTGAAGTGTGACCTGTTTTTTAAATAATAAGATTTACTTTTGTAATCTGTTAGAGTAGGCGCACACCGTTGATTTCTAGTTGGCCGATAGTTGTGTCCGATTTGAAATTGTATGAAGATTCGGCCAAATCGAATCGGCGTAGTGTGCGCACTCCCATACATGCCCATACTGATCAACTGCCCGATTTCGTTGCGGGTCCAATGACAGTTTAACTTTCCCCCGGGACAAACTTGACCTTCATTGGTTGGGTTTTTGTGGCGGTCAAGCTGTAGATCCTGGCTACACAGGAGTTGCAGTGGTGGGAACGAGAGGTGGGAATAGTCCCGTGATCAACTGCCCGACTAAACTATCGGCCGACGAAAAATCAACGGTGTGCGCCTACTCTTATTCAGAGTTTAAGGCTTAGGCTGAGTTGCACCACCTAACTTTGACCGTAACCATAAACGATAACCAGTGTTTTTTGTATAGAGTTAGACAGATTTTTGACGTTTGTCAAAATTGAAGTAAGATGGTGCAACGCGGCCTTAGTGAATTTAGGTAAATGAGATAGCCTAAACAATTTTATTTTATTATGCTTAACTCAATCAGTGTCTGAGGCATGGCAGCAGCACGCCCTCTCATGCTTTTCCCATACCTATGTTTTTGTAATGTCAAACGTCAGCGAGACTTCAGATTCCTGTAGGTCTAGACAAAGTGCAAATTATAATCGCAAACCAGTCGAAAAGTGGTCGAAAAGCCCCTTTTTTGTATGGAGTTTTGACGGATTCGATTTTCGATTCGATCAAAAAGTGCGTTTTGTCTAGGGGGGCGGTTCTCGTCCGTCTGTCATGTCATAATATGTCAATATCTCTCTTGTGCCGCTCCCATACCTCAGGCACTGAGTTAAACGCTAGACCTTTTGATGAAATAAACTTGGCCGAACCTTTAACGGAGATATCTTCTAAATATACTAAAAGGAGAAACTGACTGATTGACTGACATTATGTCAGTGACATATCAACGCACAGCCTAAACGGCTAAACGTAGGCACTTGAAATTTGGAACTGATGTAGCTTAGGTACCGCGGTGCACTAAGAAAGGAATTCCCGAAATTCCCACTTGAACGGGAATTAGCGGGAAAATCCTTTTGTATGAAAAATCTAAACCGCTTAAGTTAGACGATTGAAATTTGGCATGCAGGTACCTTAGTAAACTTAAAGCTTAGTTACAACAGGATATTGCAAAATTCCTACGGGAACGGGAGTTAGCGGAAAAAACATTTGTATGAAAAAATCTAAACCGCGTAAGATAGATGAAGAGGGTAAAACGGGATCGACGCGGCTGCTCGTACATAAATACTGGAGAATGCTAAACAATACCTTCATTGTTTCCAGATACTCCCCTTGGTCCACCAAACTGATATTTGCTGAACATATTCTTTGGGAACATTTGTCCAAAACCAACTCCCTCTTTCTCACCATCACCTTTCGGGGATTCTTCGTATGGGGTGTCACCTGTTGTTTAGATAAAGGTAACGAATTTATTGTTATATTATCTTTTATTTTTATTACATTCTGAAGAACAATCAGTTCTAAAATCTGTAGCACAATCTGTAGTCTGGTCTGTGAGCACGTAGAATTTTATCCAATGACCCCAAGCTACCCATCCTTATCGCTCGCGCGTAATTATGTTGCTGTCGCGCTCGCGCACAGTCACTGCGGGCGCCCGTCGCACAGTCGCGACAGCAATATAATTACGCGCGAGCGATAAGGATGGCTAGGGGTCATTGGACAAAATTCTACGTGCTCACAGACCAGGCTTTAGATACTCGCAGACTACAAACTTTAAGTTGGCCGATGATTCCAAGTCGGTGTAAAGTACGCACTTCCATGCATGTTAATGTTAATTAACAACCCCCTAACTATCGGCCAACTAAAGTCTGTGGTCTGCGACCAGGCTTCGTTCGTTTCAGCCAAATGACGTTCACTGCTTGACAAAGGCCTCCCCCAAGATTTTCCACAATGCACGGTCCTACGCTGCCTGCATCCAGGCTCTTCCCGCGACCTTTACCAGATCGTCGGTCCACCTAGTAGGAGAGACGATGGCCGTTGGAGCAGAAAAGTTCTCGAGTGGCGACTAGGCTTCAGTGAGCGCCAAATAGTTCGTAATATCCACAGGAAGGTATCAATTTACATTGATTGGAAACTTATTGTCGCTTCGGTACAGTCAACGTCAATTAGTTCGTGACACCCAAAGTAGCCAAAAAATTTCGCAACACCTCTTTGTTACTTGAAATAAGATTGTGTGGTCAACATTTGGCCACTTTGGGTGTCACGAACTATGAAGTTTAGTTACCTTCCGTAAGATCTTCTTTGGCTCCAGTTTTTCCCTTTGCGTTTCTATATTTTTGTTTATAAAACGTTTTGTGACCCAAAATATTTTTTTGTTTCTCTTTAAAACCTTCTTTGTTTGGCGCCTCTCCTGTTTGTTACAAGCATAGATTAATAAAACCCAGAACATTGGTTCCCAAAGTTATTTGAGACGCGCCCCCTTTCGACCATACAAAAAATTCCGCGCCCCAGTCAAGATTATTTATTTCATTAAAGGAAAGGTTTTTACCCCAAAAATGTGTCTTTAGGAGGATCCCCCAGTGTCTCTTCTTAAAGCGACTGGTAGTTACGCTAGAGCAATTATTGTTGTATTTTTATTTTTATTTTTATGAACTGTTAAATTGAGATTAGTTAATAGAGGAAACGTGAGATCATTATTTTGGTTTTATAACCTCAAAAATTGGTTTAATTGGTCCCAGAGGTGAGCCCCAAGTGAAGCTTTTTTCGAGTCACATTATTTTATGGTATCTGTTAATTGTTTATAAAAAAAAGTGTTTTTCTTTAAGTTTATATTTATTGGGCTTTCAAATAATACCAATATTGGTCATTGGATTGTGTCAGAAGAAAAACTTTAAAGTTACCGTCGCGGGAGGTGTAAAACGCTGAGTAGGTAACTGTACGAATTACCTTCCGTAAGATCTTCTCTGGCTTGAGTTTTTCCTTTTGGTTTTCCAAATTTCTGTTTATTGAACATGTTCTCTTTAAACATTTTATTGAAAAAATTTCCCTTTATCATATTACCGCCTTCTTTGTTTGGCGCCTCTCCTGTTTGTTAAAAGGCATTAATTAATTATTAATTAATGCGTGCGGATTGTGCGTACCCTGGGGGGGTAGAAGTTGCTCGCNGACAGACAGACAGACAGACAGACAGACAGACAGACAGACAGAGTTACTTTCGCATTTATAATATTAGTTGGGATTAGTTGGGATGTTATAGTCAAACCTCGAAGTTCCGGCACTCCTAGGTTTGACTAGTCAATCCTCAGGTCTGACTAGAAGTCTTAGTCAAAGCCCAAACATTTCGGCCTTTGACTAAATAATGTTAGTCAAACCTAGGAGTAACTAATTTGGTCAGGCAAAGGTCGAAACTCAATTTAATGAAATCGGGGTTTGACTAGTCAAACCTCAATTAAGACTTTAAACTAAACTATACTTAATTCTGATCTCGAACTTATTGCATAGGCCTTACGACGGTCGGTTTTCACGCGCACGCGCAGCTATCTCTTTAGGTGAAGGTACGAGTAACTAAACTTATACAATACTGAGGTTGGTTGTCAGTGTTTCTAGATCGAGCTTGATTAATTACTAATTTTTAGGGTTCAAAATTTTCATAATAATAGGGTCTAAACTCTTTATCCTTTAAGGTAACAAAGGATGCAGCGACGGCAACCCCTGCGCTTGAAAAGGCGCAACCTGGGAAGTGTGAACGCGCTTCAGCGAAGCGCGCCCGACTGGACGAAACCAGGTCTCCCAGGGGGGAAGCCAAGCGTGCAAAAACCGACGTGAGGCCAAAGCGGACGATGAGCTACGCGGATGCGAGTCAATCGCATCTGCAGATAGCGGTAACCACCGTCCCGCCGAGGGACCTCACTATGAGCCAAGCGGAGCGGATTCGTATTGCTATCGATGATAGAATCACGGATGCAGCTCTAACCCCAGGCACGCGTGCTCCATCATTGCGCGGTCGTCCCTATCTTCATGAGGGGGCTTTCGCGTTTTGGTGCGAGGATGCGAGGTCCCGCGAATGGCTGGAGAACCAGGTGAAATCCATTCCCTCACCTATCCCGGACACAACCCTGACAGTTGTAAAGCTGTCAGAAGTAAGGAGGAAACTGAGAGCGGGACTTCTCCTACACAGCCACATTACCGACCCGGTGACGCTGCAAAAGGTTATCAGTAACCAAAACCCCTGGTACAAGGTGGACACCTGGCAGTGCATCAGCGCCTCGGTGACAGAGGGAGCAGAAGAAGCGGAGGAAGGTCTGTCGTCTAGGTACAAAGTAGTGTACCTGGTCCTGGGGATCCCTGAGGACCAAAAACAGACCATCCTCGATAGAGACCGTCGGGTATCACACCTGTCTGGTGGTGGCTACATCAGATTCTTCAGTAGCAAGGAGGAAGAATCGGAGGCCACCACCACAACCACAGCAGCGACGAAGGAGACGTCGACCCCTGAGCCTTCCACCTCAGCTCCCCATCAGGGTCAGAGCGAGTTGGAAAAAGCCTCGCCACTAAAGACGGAAGGAGGGACCAGCGAAGACGAAGATGGCCTCCTCAACAGTCCCTAAGTCCACCATCGACGTCATACAAACAAACCTCCAGCACAAACAAATAGCGGCGGCGTCACTACGCAGGGTGCTGGAGGTAAATAACAATAGGACCGTCGCCCTGATCCAAGAGCCCTGGATCAGAAACAACAAAATCTGCGGCCTAAACAACACAGGAGGTAAGTTACTAGTAAACACCTCCATTGATAAACCAAGAACGTGTATTTACATGCCGAATACGTTAAGCTGTACCATGTTAAATCAGTTCTGTTCCAGAGATGTCACCGCAGTGAAAACCGTGACAGAACAACAAACCCTAGTGCTAGCCTCAGTGTATATGCCAAGTGAGGATGCAGTTCCCTCACAAGAACTCACCGCACTGGTACAACACTGTAGAGAGCAGGCCTGGGGCTTGATCATCTCCGCAGACTGCAACGCACACCACCCGCTGTGGGGAAGTACGGATACAAACAATGTACTGTGCGGGAATCGAACCCGCTACCTCCGGAATAGTTGTCCGTTTCGAACCACTACACCAAACGGCCGACGAGAGAGAGAGAGAGTCTGTTAAGGAAACTAAATGACAGAGGGTACACAGCCATTGGATATGCAGATGACATCACCATACTGTTAAACGGAGGGGCTGAAAACGTGCTATGTGAAATAATGCGTTCAGCCCTAAACATTGTTGAAAACTGGTGCAACGACCACCAGCTGTCAGTAAACCCAAACAAAACTGAACTAATCCTCTTCACTAACAAAAGGAAACTACCAGAGCTCCAGCTACCAGAACTCTTTAAAACAAAACTCTCCCTCTCAACACAAGTGAAGTATCTGGGCATCACCTTTGACCACAAATTGAACTGGGCGAGTCACATTGAAAACAAAACAAAGAAGGCCTGTATAGCATTTTATCAGTGTAAAAGACTCATTGGTAGCAGATGCGTCTTAACCCAAAGATAACACTTTGGCTCTACACATCAGTTATCAGGCCCTCTGTCACTTATAGATCAGTTGTCTGGTGGCCCAGAACAAAACTATCCACAGTAAGATCAAAACTCCAAAGCCTGCAACGTCTAGCAAGCATAGCGGCCACTGGTTGCATGAGAACCACACCATCGGCATCACTTGAGTACCTTCTGAATCTTAGACCCACCCTTAGATCTCATCATTCAGGAGGAAGCGCAAGCAGCCGCTCTAAGACTTAAAGGAAACGGCCTATGGAAGCAAAACAAGGAGATAGGCATAGCTGGGCACCGTTAATCAAATAGTTAACTTCGTTAAAAGTTAAACCGTTAATAAAAAAATTAACCTCGTTAAACGTTAAAACGTTACATTTAGCAAGATTTAACGCAAGTTAACGTTAATCGTTAATCCGTTAACACATGATAATAAAACGAAAAAAGTAATTGTATGCAAGGTTCAAATAATTTCGAAAGCTTGTAGCGCGTAGCGCAAGCATAAAAGAGGAATAAATTCCGTGCGGGCGATACGATTTCAAGCTTTCGAAATTATTTGAACCTTGCATACATTTACTTTTTTCGTTTTATTATCATGTGTTAACTTTAAAATCTGATTTTTGTATAATATTTGGGCAATGATTAGAAGTTGGTTCGACATCAGCCACACAGTTTTGACAGTTCCAACTCCTTGCCAGACAGTTTTTTAAGGATAGCTGCCAAAGCAACGATGACCCAAACTTCATAATCCACCAACATTCTAACCTATATTGGGAGCATACGCTGACAAACTTTCAGCTTTTTTATAATGACGTCGGTCTAGCGTTCACCAGCTCTTAGTCTATAGTATCTCAATCTCAGTGCCTTGGTTCAATTACAATACAATTTAGCACCAAAGTGCTCGAAAAGACAAATCCAACAAACCCAAACTCGATAAGTTTCCACCGTTTCGTTTAGGAATTCCTATGGCCACCTCCTGACTCCATCATCAGGACCCTGGACATCATCTAGTACAAAAGTGCTCGAAAAGACAAATCCAACGAACCCGAAATCGATGCGATGCCGCCGTTTCATTTAGGAATTCCTATGGCCACCTCCTGACTCCATCATCAGACCAGCTTAATGGTACCTACCATAACATTGCATTTTCATCGTACTTACATAAGTATACTAAATTTCAGCTCAATCGGTTGAGAACTGGTCTTAAATTCAGTTGCAAGATTTGTCCCACACATACTTATAAGTGAAGTCAATATAAAGCTTGTAAATAAATAAAAAATAGCATTTTTTATATCGTTTCGTTCTGGTTACAAAGACTGTTGTTTTGGGTTCTGGAAGTTCTGGAAGCCCGAACGTACTTGTCAGAACGCGGTTTTCTAGTGTTTTTCAGCGTGCCTGCTGTATCTTTTTGGTAAATAGTAGGTACTGGATTAACGATTAACGGACTTAGGATAATTTAACGGAAGTTAACGAGTCCGTTAACAATTTTTAAAGTTAACTTAAAAGTTAATCCGTTAATAGAAATGTTAACTTCGTTAATTAACGATTAACGGATTAACGAGTTAATGCCCAGCTATGGAGATAGGACACTCTGCGATCCTGCAGAAAACCATAAAAGAAATACCTCTCACTGAGGCACCCATCGATAGGATACCCTGTGAACATATTTTCGACCGAAGATATTAATATCCAACTTACAGCGGAGCGAAGCGGAATGCGGTTCCGGACGTATCGAAAAAGTTCTCCCGCAGCCTCATCAGACTAAACAGGGACAGCATCCGCAAGGTCTTAAGTGTCATAACCGGACACTGTATGCTAAACAAGCACCTATACAACATAGGTGTCACAGACAGCCCACTGTGCAGGGGGTGCATGGAGGCAGAGGAAACACCGCAGCATGTGCTCATGGAGTGCAGTAGCGTGGAAGAACAACGGGCTCAATTTCTTCGATCACCATCGTCGCTACAGGAGGCCTGCAGCAGCCTAGACGGGCTGCTCGCCTTCTGGGGGGATCTGGGGTGGTTGGAGTAGGAAGATATACCACAAATCGCGCACAATGGCCCTATCATGAGGCTAAGTGCGGTATTCGATTGCCCTGCAAAACTAACTAACTAACTATGGCTTCGGCTATTATTAAATAAAAATAGCTACAGCATCGAACGTAAACACGCAAAAATAGATATTTTATAAGTTTTTTAATTTTTTTGTAATAAAAGATTTGACTATTGATTATAATTAAAAATTTGTATTCTAACGTTAACGTAAGGTAGCAGGAAGGCGCTGGATGCAGGCTGCTACCAACCGTGCGATGTGGAAGTCATTGGGGGAGGCCATGTTCCGCAGTGGACGTCCTATGGCTGAAATGATGACGTTGATGATGATTCTAACGTTATGTGGCATGTAGGTTATTGAAGTTGTTGGTTGTTTTAGTACTACAGTTCTTGAACTTAATTTTCCAGAACCACCCAAAGATGGCAAAAGTAAACAAAAAATTGTAAGAGTTCATATTAATCCAGATTGTCATTCATGGGGTGAAGACCAGTGTCTACAGACAATGTCACGTTTCACTCTTTAGATTTTCTTTTTAAAGGTTTTTGCTAGGTCCATTAATGAATACGAGACGAATAGTAGATTGTATATAAGATACTTTATAAAATCAAAACCTATTCTCACTGTCAACAGTCACAGGCCACTAAGTTCAATTCGAATCAAAGGTCAAAGTTATAAGCACATTAAAGCATCGACATATCTTAGGTCTAAACTACTATCTAATACTAAGAACATTGCTAATTTATTTGCAACGAGCATACCGTTCTTGCCCGTTGTTTAGTGAAGCTATAGACCAGGGATGGTGAACCTTTTATGTATGAACAAACAAAATGATTGAAGTAGTCATAGACGTGCTATGAAGTAACACCCAATGAGGGGCAACAAGTGGCACCACTGGCGTGTGACAGGAGTGACTCTACAGTAGCACTAACTAATGAGGGCAAATACGATAGCCCTTATTCAAAATACGTATTTAACTATTTTATTTTACAGTGAATTATATGATTGGTGTCGTGCCGTGCCCTAAATATTTTGTCGCGTGCCATAATTGGCACACGTGCCATGGGTTCGCCATCCCTGCTACGCTCTGTGATCTCAAGCAGAGGTTCCGAGCCGCGGTCGGAAGGAATGACGAAATAAATCAACGTAATGATAGCCATGCGTCGGAATTTATTGTGCGTCCAAGGTACCAGCTCGAAACGTGGGAGGATTGATTTACAGGCAAATTTCATGGTACAGCAATGAGGGGTAGGCACAAAAGACGCGTATTCTTCTATCGTAGAACGCAATGAGCCAGTGCGCGATTTTCATCTGTCTTTTTATACAGAAGCTTTGCTTTATCCAGTTCAATACTGAAAATGCAAATATAAAAAATAAATTAAACATAAACATAGCTCATGCATTTGCAATATTCCTAACAAGAAAAAGTTTAAACTTCTTAATAGATGTTTCTAATTCTAATAACGCAACAATTCGAAATCGGCTAGATCCATCATATTATAAACACAAACATGCACTAATAGATGACAACAAATATGAAAGTAGCCGTCACCAGCTATTCATGAGTCTTCAAAAAAAAAATTAACAACTTTATTTTACCAAATCATGCTACTCTTAATGTGTTTCAAATGGACACACCGATTCGCGCTTCGCATACAAAAAGAACTGGCCCGTACCCCAAGCACGAACAAAATGGAAACGTAGAGATAAAGTTGTCATAACAACGGCTTGTTTGCTGTCACAAGATAAAATAATTCGCTTAAATAGACGATAAATTAATTAATAATTGGACAAGTTTGTAGTTGAGCTTGTGGTTCGTAATAATCCGTAGTCATGACAATTACAGCTCACGATTGCTGAACGATTACGAGTTATTCATGCTTGGGGTACTGAAGTCAAGTTTGATTAATGAAGTAGCATTTCTATATTGTGACCAACTCATTTGTCATTCGTGCGCTGGCGCTGGCAGACGGCGGACGTCTTTTGATGTGATTATTTCACGGGTCTCAACAGTAATTTATTGGTTTAGTAAAAGAATGCGATTTAGAAAACATACTGTCAAGATGAAGACAGTCAGCGTCAATTAGTTCGTGACACCCGAAGTAGCCAAAAAGTTCGCAACACGTCTTTGTTACAGTTTGAATAAGGTCGTGTCAATATCAGCTTATGGTCACTTTGGGTGTCATGACATCAACTATTTGACGCTGACTGTACCAGAATGACAACCAATTTATACTCTTTTCATTCATTGTAATCTCGTCATTGTTAAACGCATCTTAGACGTTATTATGTCTAATTTCCATTATCTCATCATACGTCTGTATAAAATACATTACCTACTTGGAGTATGATACAAGAAACGAAACAATCTCAGACAAAGCAGGAATCATATTTGAGGCAGGCGAAATAAAATCAAATCCTTTGAAATGTTTCTCGTAAACTTGAAAGCATCATAACCAT